CTCTGCAGACTCTGTGTCTGGGCACACGCTGAGTAAAATGATCTTGATGGAGAACGCCGAGGTCTCTCAGGATACGGGCTGGATGTGGGTTGACCACATTTACCAGCTAAACCTGAATACTAATTACTAAATGAGTTGCATTAACAAGCATTAAGAGATTTATAACTCTGAAAATGCCCCTGGACTATTTGGAGTGAAGAATAAGCACATGTTTCTGGACAGTACTTGCCTTGTGCAGCGTTTAATGAAGTGGTCCTGTGAGAACAGTACTGTAGATGTGGCCTCCTTTTGGACTGAAAAGACGGGTCAGTCCATCCTTCATGGGTCAGAAGGCAATTACATCACCGTGACTGACCGAGCAGGCCAAGGGGCCTCGAAGAAGGGGCAAACGTCACCGCCCTCAGCAACAAGCACAACAAATAAAAGTGTGAGAAATGATTCAAGTTCAAGAGCTTATCTTGGGACAAACTGTTCTGCGGAGGAAACAGAACAAACAAATAGTCGTTCAAACATTTTTTGAGACTGAGAATGACTGGGTGGAGCAGAAGCATGTGTCTCAATTCATCCATTCTAAAATACCATGCAAGATCTTGGCTCTTGTAAGTTGACCCTTCTAAAATGGTAAAAAAATATAGATTTTTCAAACACATTAACCCAAATCCAATACATAAGTCATGCAGTAACCAGTGGTGTAAAGTAAAAAAATTACAGTAATACTCCAATTACTGTAATTGAGTAGTTTTTCTCAGGAATTGTAATTTACTAAGTAGTTTTAAACATGTGTACTTTCACTTTCCCTTGATTACATATTTGGTGCAGTATTGGTACTTTTACTCCATTACTTTCCTTCAACTTGCAGTCACAACTTTACTTTTTCTTGTCTATGGGGATTAGAAAAATCCGCCCTGTGTTGCCGATCCAATCAAATCGAACATAGAAAGTAGATCCCATCATAATGAACTGCAAGACATGGGCGATTTATAATTGCAGCAAACAGTTTGGAGGCATTAAAAGTGTCCAAAAGAAGATGTTTAAAAGCTTTTCACCCATTGAGACTGTTTAGATGCATGTCACTGATGAGAAGTTGATGGATGCTTACTGTATGATGAGTAAACATGACGTACCCCAATGCTAGAGAGACGTTGCTTTTTGTTTGAAAATAAAAAACGGGTTGACGTCAAAATTTAATGTTATGTGGAAGTTAGCTATGATGTCTATCAAACGTTGAATTTTGGATGCCATACTTGATGAAAAAATGTAAGTATTTGACGTCAATATGACGGATTTTGATCACTTTCCAACACAGCCTAAAATCCTACCAAATATTACACACATCCACAAATAACATGCAAATTCATTAGCTTTTTACAGTGCAGTAGTGAGTAGTTTTGAATGGTCTACTTTTTACTCATACTTTGAGTAATATTTACAACAGATACTTTTACTTTACTTGCACTATATTTTTAGGCAAGCAATGGTACTTTTACTTGAGTACGATTTTACAGTACTCTTTCCACCACCGACAATAAAGCTAGATGTCTGCTAGATGCTACTGTCTTACTGCACTCTAAAAAAAATACAATACAGTTAAAGAAATTGGGATCAGTAAGATTTGTATTCAGGTATGTATTTTTATTTGGTTATAAAGGACTTATTCAATTGGTTCAATTGTTCTGTTTTTGGAATAAGCACATTTTTAATACACACATACAAAAAACGTATACAGCTAAAGGCAAATTTATTAGCTGTCCTGTAAAATTTGTATTGTTTTTTAAATATTTTATTTAAATATTTAAAGTGATAATGTGATCTTTAACAGAGCAAGTAAATCTCCCAGTATTTCCTACTATATTTTTCTTCGGGAGAAAGATTTATTTCTTTTAGTTTGGTAGAAATGATAAAAACATATATATAAATACATATAAATAATTTTTAAGGTCAACATTCTTAGCCCCTTAAATAAAAAAACAAACAAACAAATAAATAAATAAATAAATAAATAAATAAATAAATAAATAAATCTTGTTGTGCAATAATCCATGTCTTTGCTGGCATTTCGGCAGAATAAAAAACCATAACGTGAACATTGAGATGCGTAGCAAAAAAGAAATTCAACCCTTTTGACAAAATTATACGATTATTATTATATTATGAAGCATTTTTTCCCCTTACAAAAATAAACAAATAATAATGTAGATATGCGTCCACGCTTTTGTATGCTTTCATCTGTTATTTCGCAAAGTCTGGAAATATCCACATAGGGGGAGAACTATAGTAATTTATAATAAACATGTTTTTGAACCACATAGTAAAGTGTAAATTGTGTATATGTCTTTTTTATGAATGCTACAGAATACTGAAGCATAATAAACTGATATAAATACTAAATAATAAATTCTGTAACGTTAGTGTAAACTGGTGCATTGTGATCATAGCGTAGAAAGCTGAAGCTTATTGAAAAATTAGTTTATTACTATAGTTGTGTTGTACCACAGCAACAATGTAATCACTAAGATGGTATAATTCAAGTAATTATCTATAGTATGCTTCAAAACACTAGTATTTCATAGTATTTTTTATGTAATGTAATTATACAGTATGTACCAATTCGATGACAGGCAAATATATTTTAGTTCATAAAAAACTCGGCCCTCTTCATGATATAAAGACTATGCCCAACAAATGTGGTTAATTTCTATTTATTTTTTCTTTGAAATAAGACATAAATCACAAAATACAGACTTTCCTCCATGTCTCCTATTCAGATTTTTAATTCTTGAATTTTGTGCGTCACCAGAACCACGTGATTGAAAGCAACCTATAGGAACAAACCTATATTACATGGTTAACCCAATGAAACCAGTCAAGTCTTTTAATTATTATTTGTGTAATATGATGTAAAGTCTTCATGGCAAAGAATAAATAAATGAGTTATTAGAAATTCAATATTAAAACTGTTTAATAATAACAATGTGTTGAAAAACACATCACAGGCTTTGTTAATAAAAGAGAATTTAAGTTTCCCGAATTTTTGAATGGAGGATCGATAAATGCACAAATAGTTGTCAGTTTTCCTCTGATTGCTGTGCAGTTTCGACCTTATGCAACAGCTTGAGGCGTTTGGCTTTGAACTTGCAGCTTTTGATGTTCTAAAGCATAAATGTAAAATGAAATATATTTTGGTCTGAGTGTGTGTGTGTGTGTGTGTGTGTGTGTGTGTGTGTGTGTGTGTGTGTGTGTGTGTGTGTGTGTGTGTGTGTGTGTGTGTGTGTGTGTGTGTGTTCTCTACTAAAACGACTTCAATCACATAAACAGTGTTGCTAAAAGAAAAAAGAAAGACCAGTGTATTTACTGCTTTTTATATGCTGGTGTCTTTAAAAATATAATTAATCAGCAAGCACATTGGTGCAAACTTGACACCAAAACCAGCTTGGAAATTGATGCAGGACTAAGGTGGCTTTTTAGCTGGAAAAACTTGCTTCCAATCCAATGCGTGCAATTCTTACTTGCCTAAATCCCCATGTTTGCCTCCACTTCTACAGGCGATTGTTTTTCTTTACAGTGTGTCAATGCACCGAACCAGTTTTATCGCCATGTGATCATTGAGTTGGTCTTGGCAGACACGCAGAAAGAAAAAAAAATGAAGGCTGCATAGCAACAACGGTGGCATGCTTCAGTGGTTAAATAAACTGTAGCCTCAATCAATGCGGTCAGGTTTTTCTCCAGTCTGTTTGGGAGCTAGAGCGGGACTTGCTGTCTGCAGGGGGTCCAGCAGAGCTGAAGGGTGGGAAAAGGGATGAAAACAGAACTCCTGAATGGGAGGATAGATGAAAACAGAGCATGCGGATAGAAGGAAAACAGATGAGCAGAGAAACGGCTTCCATACGGGGGAGGAGTGTGAACGGTAGCGATCTTCAGTTTGGTAACTTCAACTCAGCGGAGGAGGTGTTGGAAAAAATGTCTCACTCACCTGTTCGATAAAACACCAACTCACTGGGTTTCTGCGCCTGACAGTTGTAAAGGAAATTTTGTTCATGAGCGTAAACACAAGTACATTAGTTCAGTCTTCCTTTGGAAATGAGCAAACATCCTCCGCATAATTGCAAATTTAATTTGCATAATGTGTAGCATTTCTGTGTGGGAAATAATCAGGTTGCCATGAATCCATCAGGATTGGATATTATTGGATTATATGATCAAAAAATATAATATTTATAACAAATAAAGTGATTGAGAAAGTCATTACACAAGTTAATTTCAGTGTCTTCAGTATTCAAAACCGTTTTTTAAAAATGTAAATATCCAGAAACACTCATGAAAGTTAACGTGCCGGGAAGAACCACAGAAGAACCATTTTTTTGCTTTCCCTTCAACTAAAGATTACAGCAAAGCTTGAAGAACATTTTAATAAGCTAAAAAAGCCACCATAAAGTACGTTTAGAAAACATTTCTATGGATGTTAAAGGTTATGCCAATAAAGAACCTTATTTTTATTTATTTTTTTGACACCATTAATGTCAATTATTCATTCATTCATTTTCCTTTAGCTTTGTCTCTGATTTATCAGTGGTCGCTACAGCAGAATGAACTGCCAACTATTCCAGCATGAGTTTTTACACAGCAGATGCCCTTTCAGCCGCAACCCTTTTCTGGGAAACACCCATACACTCTCGCATTCTTAAACACACTCATACACTACGGCCAATTTAGTTCATCCAATTCACTTACACCGCATGTTTTTGGACTGTGGGGGAAATCGGAGCACCTGGACAGAACTCCACACAGAAATGGCAACTGGCCCAGCTGGGACTTTAACCAACGACCTTCTTGCATTTAAGGAATAGTGTTAACCACTGAGCCACTCTTAATGTCAATGATGTCAGTTTTAATTTACTTGAATACATTTTATTAATAAAGATATGACTTATTGTGAGCAAACAGCACTACAAAATATTGATAACGCAAATATTTCTTACCTTTTTTCTGTTTGTCTCTGTCAGTTTTTATCAGATCGAATCCTGAAGGCTGCACGGGTAGTTTACAGCACTCTGATGGAGGGTAACCCAGGCCTGATAAGAGACAGAAAACACCATCTTAAGACCTACAGGTACATCGCAATAAGGCGCAAGATTTGTATGGCGCAATTTGTTGCTATTTTCGGACCAGAGCAATCCTAACTTTCATGTTTTGCACCACGTTATTTAAATAGCAAATCCTTTTGTGCCACTTTGTGGATTCATGGGCATGCCGGTCTAAAAGGGAGATGTGTTAAGGCACATTGTTGGTACATTACTATTTTGAGGAACTGAAATAGACCGCATGGTCTAAGGTCCAGCGTATTAGTTATGTGCCTATGCCGGCCCAATCGCTTACACATTGCTTAATACAGTGAGGACGTACAGCAATACACAAATATCTTTCCATATGAAAACAAATTAAAGGATTAAAACTGCCACGCGACACAACTGATTCTTAAAGGGAATGGAAGATGGGAGTCTGATCGATTTAATGCACCTTATAGTCAAAACACACTCATAACTCATTAAGAGAATAAGCACAACCCCGTTAGACCTTACCCAGGGTGCAGGCTGTATTTTTCAGTCCTTAAAATAGCAAAATTGGATCTGGACACGCCGTTAATGCTTTTGTGCCTTGAGCATCAAACTTTGAGCTTAGATTGTAAAAATAGACGCCCAAGTTGTTTGCACCAAGTATGCTATATTTCTGACAGAAACTGATCTGGCCATTTCCGAAAGTCACTCAGCATTTAATTGAGTAACAAATAAATCAACATGCATGGATTCAACCACAAAAACATGCAAATTAATGTGTAAATCTTCACTCAGTCTGCAGATTTTTGACAGCAAAATGCTTCTCTGGTTTGTCCCACAGACAGTGCTGCAGCGGAAAGGAGCTTGTGGATTGGTTAATGAAACTCAATGATTGTTTCCAGTCCCGGAGTCAGGCAGTCGGAATGTGGCAGGTTTTGGTGGATGAGGGCATTTTGGGTCATGGTAAATATCAACATCCTTTACAAGATTAAATATGCACATCTTCATTAAAAAACTACAGTACATTGGTAATATTGAGTGATTATTTTATTCATATGCAATAGTATTTACAGTAATGCAATTGTACATTGATGTCTCACTAATTGACAACCTATGATCTGTCAAAATATGCAGTAAAACAGGAGTTAAACTTCCATGACAAAGACACACAGTTTTACCGCTTTATGGAAGCAGAGTTTGACCTCAATCACACAACTAACGAAAAAGACTCCAAAGACGACGAACTACAAGAGAGTTTATCGCTACTAATCCAGATGGGCCCAGATGCTCTTTTGACGATGATACTGCGTAAATGGTAAGACATTGGAAATTGTTACTAAACTGTCTAAAAAACAACAACAACAATATACAGTAGTTTATAGTTTATTAGTACACTATTTTAATTCAGTTTATAAAGTAGCTGTTTGTTTTGGAGATCAAAGTTTATGATACATGCACTGTTGTTGTTGTTTTGTTTTTTGATATGGTGGATTTTTCTCATTTAGAACATCCAGGCAGTGTTTTGAATTAGTGTTGGGCGATGTCGACCAATTTGGCATTGTACGATGTCTAATGTGAAACATCACAATGGACGACGGCATCGTCGTCATAGCCGGTGGTGAATTAATTATTTACGAATAATTAATTAATTCATAACAAATTAATAGTTTGTAGTCTACTGTTTTAACTACCTTACCTGCATGGTCTTTGTTTTACCCATAAACAAATTAAATAAATTACTTGTAAATAACTTTTTCCACGGGACTCTGGTATGAATAGGCAGAGTGATCTGTGTCATTTTAATAGCGTCGACAAACTTGATTGGTAAAAAATGTCCACAACCAACAGAAACCAGCGAACAGTATCTGAGGTTTTTGCTGAAATTATTAAGTACAAGCATGAAAGATTGAAGCAGTGTACTGACACTGTTACCTGATAGATTCAAAAGACTGAGGAGTCATTACATAAAGACAAGATTACTTAAGTATCACATTTAACAACCATAGTGAGATGTGATCCAGCGGTACATCCTTGATAAACTAACCGACGTGCACTGCTCTCTGGGGTTTTGTGCTCAAAGTATACAATAATATCCAACTGGCTGCTGGAGCTCAGAGGTGCGCATATGCTGCAACGCATGCCTGTGTGTGTGTGTGTGTGTGTGTGTGTGTGTGTGTGTGTGTGTGTGGTCACATCACATGATGTGCGTTTTCAGCAGTATAGTGTGGAAGTAGGGTTTTTCAGAAAGGCTAGATGAAACGCCAGTGTGGATGTGGATCGTTTTAATCTAAGACGTATTAGTGTAAACAGGGCCTAAGTGTGTATTTTTCGCGAGCGGGGTGGGGTGGAGAATGTCTATCAGCCATCGGCGATGGACGTTGTCATCGTCTATCGACCCAACACTATTTTGAATTATACAAAAAACAACAACATTTGTGATGTTCATCGATCTGTTTGATATGCTTATGATAAATGGTCTAAGGCATTGGAATAGACACAAAATAATGTTTCTTTCATTAATTTTCTTTAAATAATATTTTAATAAATATAATAAATATAATAAATAAAACTTTCTTTAAGTTTGCCCAACTTATTTTAGTTCAGAAAAAGATTTTTTCAGCCACATATGGTAAAGATTTTATCAATTTATCTGAAATAGTATTAAACCTAAATATGTTGAATTGTTTTTCTGTCATAGAAAACTATTGAAAAACAACTGTATAAATGGACCTTTTTCCCATTTCCGGGTTTCTCAGCAGCTGAAGTCGTAATATTTGGGTACACTTAAGAGCAGCGGATGGGAGAATGCAACAAATACATTTATTACAATCCTATTTGCTCAAATAATGAAAGAAAAACTCAATGATAGTGTTATTAAGATATTCAGAAAAAGGAAAATAATTTTGTCAAACTAATAACGGCAGAACAACATCAAATTTACCATCCCGCCCACAGACACAGCATTAAATCACCTTACATAACGGTAATTAGTTGCTGTTTCTTTTGTAATTTGATGCAAATATGATATAATACAAAGTATAGCTTTATAAATGTACATATTTTTTTATCAAAATATTTTAAATGTTAATGACTATTAAACATGCCATAACCATCTTGTGAAAAGGGTCCATCATGTTTTTGAACATAAATGTAAAGAAATTAAAAAGTTTTTTTTTAATCAGAAAGAAAATCAGAATGCTGTTTTTAAACTATTTAGGTTAAAAAATAGTTTTTTATGAAAATATAATAAATTAAAATATGATTTATGTAGTGTTTGACAAAAATATTGTATTCTGATCCTCTGTTGTTTTTCCACAGCGTGATTTTTTGCTAATTGTATCGAATTCAATTAGGGATGCTCCATAGGGACATATTCAAAAATCGAACAGCATATGATGTTTAATCTCTATTTCTGAATGTAAAATTTCTGTATGTATTTATCGCTCTGTCCATGTCATAGCCCAAGCCAGAGAACCCCAGAAGATCTGGAAGTTATTTATGAAGAACTTCTGCACGTCAAAGCTGTGGCCCACTTGTCTACATCTGTGAGTCGACACTCACTGAAGCATGTCATATTTGTTTGTGCCACCAATTTTAATTCGGCCCTCATTTGTTCGATATTTTTCACTCTTTTTTTGTAGGTTCGTAAAGAGCTGGCATCAGTGCTGGTATTTGAAAGCCATGCCAAGGCGGGAACAGTCTGTGAGTGTGAAAGCAATGATGACATAGCATTTAGCGGTGGGCGTAAAGAAGAAACAGAGCTAATATTGAATTTGTGGTTAGCAAGAGAAAAAACAAAAAACAAACGAGCACTGAATTCCTGTTTAGACACCAAGGAATGTGAATGAGACGATTAAAACTTTTTATTGTGTAACTTCTTGGTTGTTTGATGAATTGAATGATTGACATTTTAATGTCAGTACGCTGAGAGACAATGAAAAGAAAGAACTTAAACACGTCTGGTGTCAAAGCAGCAGTCATTTATGCACTGTGAATAAAACAAGTAGGAGGCAGATGATTATCTAATTAGACAGTTTAGTCACTTTCAAAATCTGTCAAATTCATAGACTCTTATTAGTGTAGTTTAGTTTATTCAAATTATTATTATTATTTTTATTCTAGGACCTATTAATGCTATGCTATATTTACCTGTTAAAATTTTCATTCTGATATTAAAATGTACTCTCAGCACACACAGGACATCAACATGATGTCAGACTGACAATGTGCCCCAACATCATGAGGACATTGCATTTTGTTTTCGACGTCAATGTCCAACCAAAAATCAAAATCATGTCTCATGAGTTTTTCAGCTTGACGTTGTGTGGACGTTACCAATATGACATAGATGTAGGATTTTGGTTGCCATACCTGACAAATAAATGTCAGTATTTGATGTCAAGTTTTTCTTTATTCTTTATTTTTTTTCTCTATTATAGTAGCCTAGGGCTACTCAAGTTTTTTAATCGGCATAAGGAATAACTGTATAAATTAATTTTGCATTAAAAAAAGCATTTTGATATCGGTAAAGGTGTCTGCAACTTTTGCAAAGCGTCAAAACAGCAGCATATTGGCGGTCAAAACACATGCATGACTGCATAAATTATTATCCTTTTTTTTAAGTCGAATATCAATAAATTCTTATCAATAAATTTTATCTTTGAACCACCAGGTGGCAGTCTTTGTACTCTAATTTCGGAGTGCAGATTGCATAAGTTTCATTAATCTATATATTTTTTATTTTATATAGTTAAACATATATATTTATTATTTTCCCAAGTGTGGATAACTACTGTAAGAAAATATCAGCATTTGGTACATACTTTTGGTATTATCTTTGCCTGAACTGACCCAATCTAATCCTGCTTTTATGAAATGAGCCTGCTCTTTAGCAGGTTTGAGCTACCAGAACTGTTGCTATGACAACAAGTCTCAGATGAGTTTTGAAAAACTAAACGATCCTGGATCATGTCAAATCTTCAATATCCAAATTCAGCTAATTGAGTAATCCATGTACGAAGAACAGACCCCTGATGAATAAATGTAAGCATTTAATGTCAATATGACGTTGATTTAAGATGTTGGCTCATTGTTGGATTTTGGTCACTTTCTAACACAACCTAAATCAACCAAATATTAACTTCTAATGATGCTACAGCTTGATGTTGTGTGGACATTACCACCTTGACCTCTATCAGATGTTGGATTTTGGTTGCCATAATTGACAAATAAATGTAATAAATTTGATATCAATATGACGTTGGTTTAAGATGCTGGTTTAACATCAGATTTTTTTTGTAACGCAAAATCTTTCCAACACAATCTAAAATCAACCAAATATCAACGTCATTTGACTTTGTTACTGGACAAAATAACACTGCCTAGACATTGAATTCTGGTCACCTGACGTCACAATCTAAATCTAACGTAATATTAACATCTTTTAAATTTGTAAGCCAGCTGAGTTAGCTATTTAGCGTTTTACGTTAATATGCCAACACTAATCTCATTTTTCTTTACAATGCAACATACTGCAGAGTGCAATTAAAGATTTAACAAGCGAAATACTGTGTGTAGGGTCAATTTTTGTGAAAGAGGGATTAAAATAACATTATTATTGTATATTTTATACAGAAGTCAACATTTAAAGTGACAAAATGTTTTTCAAAATTGTCCTAGGAGGAGAATAGGTGTTGTTCAATAGTTTTGGGACAACTTTGATGAAAGATGATGATCTATTTAAAATGTTGACTTCTATATATCATGTAGGAGTATTATATAGGTTGGAAGGAGGATTCAAATGTAAAATGTAAAGTCCATAAATATTTATATAGTTTTTATTATTTAAATCATTACTTTAAAAATGTAAATCTTTTTTTTTTTTTTTTATGAAACCTATATAGGGTAAAAAAATAGCATCTATATCTGAAAATAAATCAGCCAATCAAGCTTTAGTTGCAATTCTGGCTTTTGGTGCCAAAAATAGAAGGTACATGTCAAGTCTCTAGGCACAAGTTTGTGTTTATCATAAGAATACAATGTGTAATCTGTTTGTATTTATGTCAGTGTTCAGTCAGGGGGACAAAGGGACTTCCTGGTACATCATCTGGAGAGGCTCTGTTAATGTCATCACACACGGCAAGGTAAAGCCATTTACCTTCAGCTGAGTGACTTTGAGTTTAAATTTAGATAACTTGCATTGTTTGAAGGTAATTCATAATGTGTGTTTTCTATAAAGATAAGATCATCTTGTGTATGTGCATGATAAATGACTCTAAAAAGGTGTTAAACATATCAGTGAGCATATGTTTATAAAACTTTGCACTTTCCTGTACAATTAAATTAAAATGATTTAATCTCAACACATCTCACACATATTATTTTTTTATTGTTTTGATTATTATTATTTAAAGTTTGTGATGTTTGTAAGTCACTTTGACCTGCATACTTTAATTAAGGCAACTGTACTGACACAAAAATATAAAATATTATTAGCACAACAATAATAACTATACTATTAAGCTAAAATATAACTGCTAACTTTATTTTGTCATACACAGATAGTTAAAAATAAGCAATCATTTTATTTGTTTTGTCTATCTGAATCACTATTGAATTTAAATACAAATACTTCCATTGTTGGACTATAAAGTGTGTGCTGCATCTTAAGTAAAGATGATCTCATTCAGGGCTTGGTGACTACGCTTCATGAAGGAGATGATTTTGGCCAGTTGGCATTGGTGAATGACGCTCCTCGAGCCGCCACCATCATTTTAAGAGAGGACAATTGCCACTTTCTGCGGGTGGACAAGCAGGATTTTATACGCATTCTTAAGGTAGGTTTGTGTTTGGATAGCTCAGCATGAATTTGAATGTGAGTCCATGGTGTCTTTAACCTGGATTTAACTGCAGGACGTCGAGGCAAACACCGTCCGTCTGGAGGAGCATGGTAAAGTCGTTCTGGTTCTTGAGAAGAGCTCGGCGCAGGATACACCAAGCTGCAACAAGTAAATCATTTTGTCAGTTTTTATACTATAGTGCACATATCAAATATTTAACTTGAGCTAAATAATTAAAACTGGCATCACCTGACAGAATAAAAAGAAGTGTGTTTATGCATTTAACTTTTGTACTGTATTATAAGCATTTTTAGCAATTAGATTCATCTTTAATTTTTATGGGAAAACAGCATGTTTTATCCTAAGCCAAAACACGTCAACTTAAGCAGATGATGTTAGATTAAAGGTTTTTATTTAGTTTTGAGGGTCTCATACAATAGGTTTACATGCAACTAAGATAAAAAATGTAGCGTATACTTTTTTCAGCCAGCAAAATTTAATCTGCATTTTCAAATTTTTGGTCAAAAGATAAAAATGAGCAAAAAAAAGCTGATTTACCACACTGCCCATCAGTGTTCAGCACAGAGGTTCTACTCTCCATCTAACCATTGCTACTGTAGGGTCTAAAGTGGTTTTCACACCAGACATAGAAAGTATTGTGCTATGAAACCCATTCTTTTCAATGGCATGCACCAAGCATAGTTGCTGCACCAACCAAAGCACAAGAGCAGCTGACCACACGTTTGACTACCTTGCACATTGGGATGGGTACCGAAACCTAAATTAGTGTAATATTAATAGTTAAATAAACACGCACATTCGGTTACAATGAAAACAGTCTTTTCTTTCTGCAGTAGCCTAAATAAATCTTAAAAATTAAAAAATCTTTTACATCAGCTGTATTTACAAATATAGCCTATGAATAGCCTAATAATAAACTATGCTTATTAGAAAATTATATTTAAAAAAAAATGCTTATTTTTACATTGCAAGATGCTCCAAAACTGTTTTAAAAACAAAGTTAACTCCCAAAACACCGTTTTCACTCATTTATGTGACCTCATTTATGTGAATGCATTAGTGAAAAATCATATATGTATAATGCTGGGACATTTATGTAGTATATTTGTTTCTGATGCTTGCAACATCGCTAGTTTTTTGTCATGGCAAACCAGGTAAAGGTCACCTTATGACTCATTTACTGTCTAATTTAGTTTAATGGTGTGTGATTATTTTAATTACATTACATATTATTAAGTTTTTATAATTTATCTTTTTAAAATCTATTTATTAAATATTTATTAAAAAGCTTTGATTTCGGTTTTTGGTCAAATGCATCCATAATTTTCAGTACATCCCTAAATAAAATTAAAAAAAATTAAATTTGCTCATAATATACATTTCATATTATCTTATTTCACAAATAGTGAAATGAGCGGGATATTTTACTGCTAATAGAGTAATAATTAATCACACTTAAAAATAAGCAATGAAAACATTCCTCCAGATCGATATTCTCCGTAACACATACTGTAACTAAAGAGGACTCTACTATCTATATTTAAGCAAACTTTCTATAAGAATCTACAAACTACATATGCTTGTCTTTGTCCAGCTCACCAATCAACATTCACAACACAGTTTACAACCTCACATTTAATGTATCAACACTGGGATGGTTATGTATCATGTATTGAAGGAGCATTCTTTCAATAAAAAGATTGCATTTGCTTTTGTACGGAATGTCTCCACCTCACAACACTGGGCTCATTTTAGCATTCCTGCGTGTAAATCAAATCATCCAGCATCTTTATAAACCATTTATATAACATCAGCAAGTGAAACAATCCCTGAATAACGAATATCGAGCATCGCTAAAGCTGTCCGCAAGGAAAGTGCAACTACTGATTCATTCAAGTACGTTACCAACATACAGTATGAGTGCTGTTGTACAATGAAATGCAAGCTCAATCCTTATTAGTCATCACTATTATTTGATTTCAAGTGCACTAATTCAATTATGAACAACAGAAATGGAGGACGCCTAACTATAGTTTGAATTATCCAGGTACACGGTAATGTCAGGAACGCCGGAAAAGATCCTGGAGCACATGCTGGAGGCCATAAAACTGGAAACCAACGGAGCTGACTTCATAGGTAAGGCAGATGCATGGTTTGTGAGTGACTTGTATAACAACCTGTTATTATAGTTGTGTACCACAGAAGGTCAGACTGAGGGAGTGACCAAAACATTCCAGCTCATTTGGTCTTGTTTACACATCCATTCAAAAGCAGCAGTCAGATGATTGAGGTTGTTCTGGGCTTCTCCACACAGCTCAGTGATGAAAACAAGTCCCTGTTGATGAAGTTTTAAGAGCTTGTTTTTTTTGTGCTTCTTTAGATCCCTGTGTGACTGACTTTCTCCTAACGCATCCCGTCTTCATGCCCTGCAGTCAACTGTGTGCTGCCCTCCAGCATCAATATCCTTACAGTATATTAGTCACTTATATTCTGCTTCATATTGATATTTCTCTACCAGAACATTTACATGAACATCAACATTCTCTATTAAAATAATACTCTGATTACAAGGATAGTTCACAAAAAAGACAATTCTGTGATCATTTACTCACCCTTGACTTGTTCCAAACCAGTTAGAGTTTTTGTCTTCTGTTGAACACAAAAGAAGATATTTTGAGGAATGTTGAAAAACGGTCCACTGAAATTCATTGTAGAAAAAAAGTTCTATGGAAGTCAGTGAACATGGTGAACATACCCGACAACACTCCAGTTTTTCTAGAGAGCTAAGAGCTGTTTGTGATTGTTTTGATGTTCCTTAACCTGCTCTTGCACTTACCAAGCGGAGCCGTCTGAAGGCTCAGACCTGGAGAAGGCAGCGTACGCTCTCAACACCAAGCAGAAGGTGGTGAAGCTGGTGTGTCACTGGGTGGCTCTGTTCGCTCTGCTGCTCAGGGACGATCCTGTGGCCTCTGAATTCCTGGAGGTAAAAATGAGTTAAATTCTGTAGTACTACTTCAGTGCTGTTAAACGTTTTATCATGGTTCACAAATGTAATTTAAAGTAAAAAGTATTACAAGTTAAAAAAATAAATATAATAATAACAAACTAGATTAACATTTTAAATGTGCTAATATTAATAAATTTGGCTGGTCTTACAGTGCATGAATCAATTCATATTACATATTATAAAAAAGACAAGTTAATGATGTTATTATTAATATTATCATCATCAATATCATCATCATCATCATCATCATCATCATCATCATCATCATCATCATCATCATCAACTTAATAGTAGTAGTCATAACCTACAAAATTTGCAATATAAATATTGTTAAAAAGCTGTTGTTGTTGTTATTATTATTATTATTATTAATGATAAAATAATAATAATAATAATAATAATAATAATAATAACAACAACAACGTAGCCTGACATTTAATTTCATTTAAAAATTAGATTTTTTACAAAAAAAATACTTTTAAAATATGATACTAATATATTAAAATATATAATATATAATATATATAATATATATAATAATAATTGTTAATAATAAAACATTTTCTTAAACAATAATAAAAAACATAATTAAATGATAACCAATTATAGTACCATACCCCTTCCATGTATTATGCAAAAAAATGTACTAATATAGTAGTAATTTTTTTTTAATCTATGTTATAACAATTCTGCCAGGTTTAAATATTAAGTATGGTATTTTTTCCACAAGAAAAACAATGTTTAATAAATATATTGACCAAAGTAATTACAAAAAAAGTTTAAAATTAGTCAATTTTCAAATGATGTTTAACAGAGCAAAAAAAAATTCACAGTATGTCTGATAATATTTTTTCTTATGGAGAAAGTCTTATTTGTTTTATTTCAGCGAGAATTAAAGCAGTTTTTATTTTTTTTTAAACCTTTAGAAGGTCAAAATTATTAGCCCCTATAAGCTATATTCTTGATAGTCTACAGAACAAACCATCATTATACGATAACTTGCCTAATTACCCTAACCTACCTAGTTAACCTAATTAACCTAGTTAAGCCTTTAAATTTCACTTTAAGCTGTATCGAAGTGTCTTGAAAAATATCTAGTAAAATATTATTTACTGTCATCATGGCAAAGATAAAATAAATCAGTAATTAGAAATGAGTTTTTAAAACTATTATGTTTAGAAATGTGTTGAATGAGGGAGAAAAAACAGGGGGGGCTAATAATTCAGGGGGTATAATAATTCTGACAACTGTATGTATTTTCTTTTGGAAACTTAAATTTAAAAAAATAAATAAATATATTGACCAATATTAACATAACCCATATAATAATAATAATAATAATAATAATAATAATAATAATAATAATAATAACTGTCAAAAAAAGTTAGAAAAAAGGCTGCGGTCATACTGGACTTTTCTGTTCAAGCTTGGTGAACTCTGATCTGCGAAATCGCATCACTTGACAGCATGAGACCAATTGAGGATCAAAAAATGACCTCTCTGGACAGAAATTTAAAATATGAACCAATCACTCGCTTTTTAATATGTCTAATTATCTTATTTAATCCCGCCCCTTTTCAAAGCGACGTAGTACAGAATTTGCATGCTCAAACTCGAATGTGATCACAGCTTTAAAACATAAGAAGTAAAAGTAAAAATGCATGAAAAAAACTACATTATATCATCATAATGTGTCCAATAAATCCTATATCAATCGAATAAACTAAGTGTCAACACACTTTATTTTTCTTTGAAGATTTTTTCACTCACATTTTGTGACATTGAACAGTCAAAACAGGCTAATTGTACAGTCATTTGCTGCTGCCAATCCTGTTGTCCTAAAAGGTAAATGTAATGGGAAAAACTGTTAAAATATCACTGTCATTTTCTATGATAGAAATTCAGGGAAGGAGTGATGGCAGACTCAAGACTTTCTAGCATGCTTAGAGAACAGCTAAGGGACAGGAGGAAGACAAAAATGTAAGTATAATACATACACATACAAACACCTGCACTTATATATGTGGTCTCAATATGTGTGCCATATAACCTTGTCTGTGACAGATGAATCATGAACATATTGAAAGTGATTCTTCAATGTGTACCTACTGTAATTCACACTTAGAAGGATCGTTTAGAGCCAAAAAATGATATAATCACATATGATGTCATAAAGTCATAACATAAAAAGCACAATTAATCTTTATCTGACCTGCTATTAAAAAGTCCACAGCTTGACTCTTCAGTTTGCTAAATATGTCATAAAATCTCATTACATAATCCCACATTTAAACCCTATTTATTGCACACTTTACAGAATGGAGAATGGATGTCACACTCTGACAAAGGTAAGAAGCAATGGTTTCTTGGTCTAATAGGAAACTGGCAGCGATAAGAAAGCCAATAAATCCTACTTTACAACACAGAGCGATAAACAAACTCTCCGGTGGAAAAGTCAACATCTCTGTTGCCGGAGATCTTAAGACAAATACAAAGAACAAAACAAAAAGTAGATCCTGTAATACACATTCATTACAAAAACACTGAAATGAAAACTAAAAGTAGGTCAGAATTATCCACGGTCACATGAACCCCAGCAATATTGTGTAGATATTTGCAGTATGATTCAGAACAAATGTTTAAACTAAGTACATTCACTACCTGACAAAAGTCTTGTCGTCGATCCTGACTGACTTGCTAGAATGTTCCACAGTTTGAATAATTATGGCTTTTTATTCTCTACTCTTTATCTACGCTACCTGACAATAGTCTTGTCTTCGAACTCATTTGTAAGAGCAAAAAATAATAACTTGACTTCTAGATGATCATTTGGAAAAGTGGCAGAAGGTAGATTTTTCTGAGGAATCATCTGTTGAACTGCATCCCAATCATCACAAATACTGCAGAAGACCTATTGGAACCCACATGAACCCAAGATTCTCATCAAAAATCAGAAATCAGTCAAGTTTGGTGAAGGAAAAATTATGGTTTGGGGTTACATTCAGAACGACACAGTGGCGCAGTAGGTAGTGCTCTAGCCTCACAGCAAGAAGGTCGCAGGTTCGAGCCTCGGGTCAGTTGGCGTTTCTGTGGGGAATTTCCCTTCATTCGCGTGGGTTTCCTCCGGGTGCTCCGGTTACCCCCACAGTCTAAAGACATGCGGTACAGGTGAATTGGCTTGGCTAAATTGTCCGTAGTGTATGAGTGTGTGTGTGTGAATGTGTGGATGTTTCCCAGATATGGGTTGCGGCTGAAAGGGCATCCACTGCGTCAAAATGTGCTGGATAAGTTGACGGTTAATTTCGCTGTGGCGACCCCGGATTAATAAAGGCATCAAGACAATTGTGCTGCCCATTACATTACAAACCACAGGAGAGGGCAAATTCTTCAGCAGGATTGCACTCCTTCTCATACTTTAGCCTCCACATCAAAGATCCTGAAAGCAAAGAAGGTCAAGGTGCTCCAGGATTGGCCAGCCCAGTCACCAGATATGAACATTATTGAGCATATCTTGGTTAAGATGGAGGAGGAGGAATTGAAGATGAATCCAAAGAATCTTGATGGACTCTGGGAGTCCTGCAAGAACGCTTTCTTTGCCATTCCAGATGACTTTATTAATAAGTTATTTGAGTCATTGCAGAGATGTATGGATGCCGTCGTCCAAGCTCAAGGGAGTCATACACAATATTCATTCTTTTTCCACTGCATTATGACTTTATATTCTATACTGTACATTATTTCTGTTAAATGACAAGTCTTTTGTCTAAGCACAGTCAGACCTTACTGTCCTAATGAAATCATTAAAAATCATATTTCATTTTGGTAAAATAAGCGTAATCTAGAGGCCTTCATATCGTTACCTTCATATTAGCCACTTCTGTTACCAAATGAGCAACTAGAATTCATTATTCGTCATTCCTAAAACTTGGATAGATGACAAGACTTTTGTCAGGTAGTGTATATAGGCAATATGATGCATAGATTTAAAGAAAGCCTATATGATGTGAAATAATGTCTATAAATACATTTATCTTTGAGTTGCCAGTGTGGACCATGTGCACTGCAAAAAATGCTGGGTTCCACACAGTTCCTTTATGTTGTCCCAACACAAATCGTTTAAGTCAACTTATTTTTTTTTTTACAAATTTAAGTGAATTGAACATAAAAAAATTTGGTTGTCCAAAAAATCCCTAAGACTTTTGTTGATTCAGCGTAACAAGCAGCAAAAATTGTGCAAAAAATCAACTCTTCCTTCATAATCAGGGAATCAACGATACACAGTGCGAAAGATGTATATTCGTTGACTTTGTAAATAGTAAATCCTTAATAAATTCAGTTCAGTAAAGTGAAATTGATGAACTTTTCACTGAATTATTGTCCAAATGACAATGTGCTTTTAACTTAGTGTAAAAACATAAACATTAAAACATATGCTGCCACCTACTGGTGTAATGAATTGAACTTCGCAAAACATTTATAAACTGTACTAGCTAGCAGCCAAATATCCGCTTGTTAGGTGTGACATCACACAAAGCGGCTTTCGGGTCTAAGCGCTCCATCAAACTGTATGGGGACGTTTTGGTGTTTAGTTGTTTTTTTTCTTTAATTTCTTCAGATTTTCACGTGAAGTTAAATTTTTACAAAAGTGAAAACATTAAATGCAAGTGTCTGCTTTAATGTTTCATTGTTATTACATTTTTTTTGGTGAAAAATTTTTTGGTGTTCACCATAACATTATATTAATGCAAAAATGAAACAACACACTCACACTCGTACATGTACTTATTAAAAGATGTAAAAGAATAAGTCACAATCATTAAAATGACAATTAATAAGGATTTTTACTCTGCACTGTGATACTTTAATATAATCTTTTATTATATCATTAAATACCTAAAAATATTGTTGGTACCTAAATTACATTCTAGTGATTACTTTCTGTAAATCATAGTACAAATGTATAATAATCTTTAAAAACAAAACACCAAACATTCTAATGCATAAAAAACCTATTCGTCTTAGACTCGCATTGACTGATTATAATACTGTATTGCATTAAACATCCAATCCACTGGTAGAAACCTTTATAGCTTTTTTTCTGACAAAAATCATCCTAACATATGGTTTTAAAATGCCATTTTGCCAATCCTTCACAGACACCTGATTTTTCTCTCAGATTCCTCACATTCTTGGAATTACACTGAGAAAATCCATCATTCCCGAATTCATCAATACTGTCTATATATTTTATACTCGGTCTGTCTCCACATCTTAAAAACTGCCTTTTAAAGCCCTGCAAGCTCTGATATCCAATATGCTCGTCTATTTATTTCAGCTGAACCAAAAGTTTGATTGGTTTTCAGCTTACGAAGAGCCGGTGGGAAAACTGAGGTCGATTAAAGCCCAAGATAAAGGTTTGTGTTTTTACTTCTGTAAGATTTTATACCAATCCATAACACAAAGACATTAAAGAAAGTCCAGATAAACCTGTGAAATTGTTTTGATTAATCAAAATAGACTGGCTGGGATTTACCTTAATTAAGAAGAGTTTGTTTTTTCTCAGTGTTGTATGAGATCTTTAAACCGGATCATAAGGCTGTCACTGTGATGCTGCCAGTTGATGCATCGGTGAACGACATCTTGACTACATTAGTGGATCCTGACAGAAACTATGTGCTTGTCAAGATGAATTCCTCAGGAGGTAAATTATCAGATTCATACGATTTGGGTTCAGAGAATCATTTGCCACTCTTTACTTGTTCCAAACCTTTATGGAGTTTTTTTTTTCTGTTAAACAAAATAAGATATTTTGAAAAATGTTCTTTTCCACAGTATTTGTTTTCTATAAATGGAAGAAATTGGTTACCGGTTTCAGCTTTCTTTAAAATATAAACTATGAGATTCATATGATTTGGGATCAGAGTTGGAAATTCTGTCATCATTTGCCCACCCTTTACTTGTTTCAAACCTTTATGAGGTTCTTTCTTCTGTTAAACACAAATTATAATATTTTGGAAAATGTTGGAAAGTTGTAAACATTGACTTCCACAGTATTTGTTTTCCCTAAATGAAAGTAAAAGCTTACCAGTTTTTAGCTTTCTTCAAAATTTAAACTATGAGATTCATATGATTTGGGATCAAAGTTGAAAATTCTGTCACTTTTTCCCACCCTTTTCCAAACCTGTATGTTAAACACAAAAGAAGATATTTTGAAAAATGTTGAAAATCTGTAACTATTTACTTTCATAGTAGAGATAAATATATTGAAGAAAATGGTTAAAGGTGTTCAGCTTTCTTCAAAATATAAACTATGACATTCATATGATTTGGGTTCAGAGTTGAAACTCTGTCATCATTTGCTACCCTTCACTTGTTCCAAACATACCTTTATAAATTTTGATAAACACAAAAGAAGATATTTTGAAAAAGGTTGGAAACCGGTAACCATTGACTTCTACAGTATTTGTTTTTTCTTCTATGGAAGTAAATGGTTATAGGTGTTGTGATTTATTTAAAATATAAACCATGAGATTAATATGATTTGGGTTCAGAGTTGCAAATTGTGTTATTATTTTTAATTGTTTCAAACCTTTTTGAGTTTCTTTCTTCTGTTAAACAAAAGAAGATATTTAGGAAAAATGTTGGAAATCTGTAACTGTTGACTTTCACAGCAATGGTTTCTCCCCTACTAAATGGTTACAGGTGTTCAGCATTCTTCAAAATATTTTCACTGGTGTTCAACAGAAGAAAGAAACTCAAAGATATGTAACTAATTGAGGCTTAGCAAACTTAAATTTTGTATTTTTGGGTGAAATCTTCGTTTGCTGACCTAATCAGATGTTTCATGTAATCAAAGTCTCATCTGCTTTGTATGTTACAGACAGAGTCCAGCTGAAGTTGGAGACCACAGCAGTGTCTGCCTCTTTAGGAGTGAACGAAAAGCTTTTCCTCTGCACTTCCAGCCAAGTTGAACAACTGGTGAGAGATGCCAACATGATTACCACCTTTATATAGTAAAAACACTCTAGAAATGAGCTGTAATATGCTTAACTCTGATAAATCTGTTGTTCTATGCATAAAAAACTGCATTAGAAATCAATTGATTAGGTAAGAGACTCGAGACTAAACAAGAGTCAGTTCAACTTTTGGTTCAGCTGAAAAAAGATGACTAAACTGGATATAAGTCTCATGATTTGAAGAAATTTCAATATAATTATTGTACCCAGATGTAAAAAAAAAATTACTTATTTATTATAAATTCTATAGAGTACAAAAGGAACATTTCTATTTTAACATTTTTTTCATACAATAACAATTAATGGCTACTAATAATTTAAACTTGAAAAAAAAAACTGCTAAAGTGATTTTTAACAATATGACGTTTAAAGATCCTTGTAACTAATTATTTTGCCATAATTATGCAATACCTTCAAACAATCTCAATATGTCAGCTTTTCTAAACAATAATTGGTTTGTTTTTATTGTATTTATTTAATCTGAGTAATCAATATCAATATATACACATGTAATTATGGAACCAGACAAAATGACAAATATTAGTCTGTATGCTTCTCTGTCAACTAGCATAGAAGAGTCTAAGTGCACCAGCAACCACTTAGAAACCATCCAGAACAAGACATCTCAACATCTTAAACGTCCTAGAAACCATCTATAGCACCTTAATTAAACCCAAGCAACTGCAAAACAATATTTCAGACAACAATCTGATTACCTGATCAACACAGACCTTAGAAATCTCACAGCAACCTTGAAGTCTCTAGAAAATCCGTAACAATATCCTAGCAATTGCCCAGAGTAATTTAGCAACCCCAGAGTAGCCACACAGAACACCTTAGCAAATGCATAGCAACAACCTACCTCCCAAATAAGACTGAATGCTTATTGCCCGGGATAGAAGGTTATAGTAGATTCTGGACAATATAGCAGAACAATAGTTTTGTTAATAGAGGGTCATCGTAAAACCCAATGTGTACGTGTGTGGTTTACCTCTGACAGACACCTGATAAAGAGCAGCTGGGGCCGGAGAAGAGCACCATGGACACTCTGGAGCAGATTTGCTCCAAGGACATGGCCAGTCAACACACCAGCTACGACTGGGAACTCTTCATGGCCATGCATGAGGTAATAGACAAACCAACAAACACACTTGTCACTGGCATATAACCGTTTCATTAAACATGCAATGACAGTTTCCATTTAAGGAGGAACAAGTGAAGTGTTCAGATGCAAAAACCTCTAAGTGCCATCTGAAATGGTCTTCTAAAATGAAGGTTTTTTTCTCAGAAATTCACTTTTATGGGAACGAATAGGTTATTTTCACTGTCCTTAATGTACAATAACTGAAAATAAACATACCCTGTAGAAGACTGAGAAAAAATGCTCATTTTAGATGAACATTTCAGATGGTTCTTGAGTTTTTTGCATCTGAACTCCTAAAGTGCTCCATTAAGATATTTTAAAATGTTGTTTTTAATGTCTCTTACAACTGGTTTACACCCATGCAAGGTAAAAAAAAAACAGTTCAATCTTCTCATTATGTACATCGCAGCACAGTTTCTGAAATGGTTTGTTCAGTGATTCAGTCTCTGAGACAAAAATGCTTTTCTTACTTAAGAGGTTTTGTCCCGTTTCCAAATTTTAATTGATTCTTAAATCAAGAAGCATTTTTAGACACGCAAAAAATATTTTGTTTTCAAACATAATAAGTCAAAATTGAGTGATGTTTTTGTCTTGTTTCTAGTCCAGATATCTACAGATTTCTTAAATCAAGAAGCATTTTCTAAACAAGCAATACATATTGTCTTGTTTTCAGAAAAAGTCTAAGTGAAGTGAGTTTTTCCGTAAAAATAGTTAAATAATCTGCCAATGTGGCTAGTAAAGTAATCTTGTTTTCGCTTTGAAATAAGATTATTTTGCTTATATATTTGCTATTATTTCGGAAAACAAGACAACATTTTTCGTTTGCTTCTTGATTTGAGAATTTTTAGACATTTGGACTAGAAATCTCTGAGTAAGACAAGGATTTTTGCAATGCAATTGGCCAAACTCAGCTTATAAGTCTTCCTCAACACTTGAAAACATTAATATAAACAGTGACAATGGCATCAATTTTACTGTATCAATTTAAGCTCACATTCTCATCCTTTAGAAGTGCATGCAAAGTGGATTTAATATTGCAATACAAAAAACAACAACATTTCCTGTTGTTACAAGACAAACCAAACTCTGCCGTTCCTCAACAACTTCAGTGTTCATAGGCGGCAAATAAAAAATATACTATGCAAATGTATAACAAACCCACATAGGTTTGTTTAGAAAGTCTGCAATTACTGATAACTCATTTCAGGCAGTTCCCTTTTCTTTTTGGAGACATTTATCAGAAACTCTGATCATTTAAAGTTTGCACATCGTTTACATGCACATTACAGACTGCATGAAAGGTAATATGTGCAAAAGCAACAGACATAATTATTCATTCATTTTCTTCAGCTTAGTCCCTTATTTATCAGGGGTCACTTGAGCGTAAAGCATATGTTCTACACAATGGATGCCCATCAGTACTGGCAAACATCCATACGCACTCATAAACTACAGCCAATTTGGTTTACCCAATTCACTTATTGTGCATGACTTTGGACTGTGGGAGAAATCAGAGCACACGTTAACACAGGGAGAACATACAAACTCCACACAGAAATGCCAACTGGCCCAGCCGGGACTCAAGACCTTCTTGCTGTGAGGCGACAGTGCTAACCACTGAGTCACTTTAATGGTGACGTTTAAATACTAAAATTAAATCATCCTTACCGATCACAATTAGAGCAGAGTGATGTTGTATATATTAGCTTTGGCATTTAAATAGAAATGGCGTCACGTGTTCAGGCACACAAACGTCACACGGATGTGATCAGTCATGTGTGCGGTGTATCGGTTCAAGAATCAAACATGACAGAGAGAGTGAGTCAGTGAAATAATTTACAGCCGAGCTGTCTGAATCGCACGCCTGGCTCACACCTACTGAGTAAACATTTGAAATATGTGACGTCTGCCGTGCCGCCAGCTCACAAATACACACATATTAGGGCCTATCAGATGTAGGAAGTAAAGTGAACACGTGTGTCATTTGGACTACTTGTCCTACATTCGGAAGAATCAGATACTTCCAAAGTTCACCCGAAATAAACATAAAAGAGGAGATAAATAAAGCTCTTATCTTATAGAAATATACTAGCATAGTATACTATATGCAATAAAATCAATTTAATATTTTAATTTATTTAGATTTGTCTTAACAGTTGAGATTTATACTAAAATGACACTAAATATTAAAATATTATACTAAAGATAGGGTTTTTAATGCTTTAAACACCTACATTTATAAAGAAAACACACTGTGAACATTAATATTGTGTGTAATATTATGCTAAATGCATTTATGTGACAACATTTTTTTGTTTTGCTCAAAAATAAAAACTTGTATAATTTTAATGATAATTTTTTTGTTGTTGGTAAAAGTCTTCAATATCCTCTGTATATTACAAATACAATACCTTGTATTTGCTGTACTGCAGGTGGAGCTTGTCTACTATGTTTTCGGACGGGAAAAGTTCCCTGGATCCACCACAGCAAACCTCGAGCGGTTTGTTCGTCGCTTCAATGAGGTTCAGTACTGGGTTGTGACTGAACTGTGTCTCTGTGAAGACCTGGGCAAGAGAGCCATACTGCTGAAGAAGTTCATCAAGATGGCTGTTGTGTGAGTATTACATCAACTGACAACACTGTTAGTGGCCATATACTTTATATATACAGTAGTAGAGGTTAATCAAAATCTGTCAATGGTTTAATCATTAATGCTATCATTACACAAGATTTATTTTACGTCACATGAGTTCACCTTCACAACTTGGTTCACCGAATATTTACCCAACCCACTAATTTACATAATCTTTAAACAAACTTTGTGCTCAGTTTGTGTCATTGCAACTGTACAGTTAGAGTACATGCACAAGATAATGCAGATATACCACAATAAATGTTAGGAATACATGCTGAAACAAATGTCTGTAAACAGTGGTATTGCTATTTGCATCATATACTACATGATTGGTTGTGTTTTTTTTTTTTTTGTTTTTTGGAGGGAAGGCTGTGGGGAGTAAAGCAATATAAAACCTAATAATTTACATACAGAGATGCACTAAGATTCCCATATATCAAGCAATGACTATAATACCTTAAGAAAGATTTGTGATTTCTTCAAAACTTTTTGCCATGCAAATGTTGGTGTAAAAAAGTGGTTATTTTTTAACTCTTAAAACCAAGTACTGACATATGTCAATCCATTTTATTTTCTTGATTAATTTCCTTCCATATGTAACTGTGCTCTTAATTTGGTGGAAATTGTCATTTTAATCCCCCTCTACAAAATCAATGTTATTTTGGTTTTGACCCATTTTTAGTTTTGCATTTATAAAACGGCCCAGCCTGTATTGTTTTCAAAAATAACACTTTTAATACAGTTTAATATATAAGCCTATATTTTTTAAGTTTTTTAAAAAATTATACAGTTAAAGTCAGAATTATTAGCCCCTCTGTTTATTTTTTCCCCAATTTCTGTTTAACGGAGAGAAGATTTTGTTCAACACGTTTCTAAGCATGATAGTTTTATTAACTCATTTTTAATAACTGATTTATTTTATCTTTGACATGATGACAGTAAATAATATTTACTTAAACACTTCTATTCAGCTTAAAGTGACATTTAAAGGCTTAACTAGGATAATTACATTAACTAGGCTGGTTAAGGTAATTTAGCAAGTCATTGTATAATGATAGTTGATTCTGTATAGCGCAGACTATCCAAAAAAGTTAGCTTAAAGTGGCTAAAGATTTTGATAATCAATAATAATTCTGACTTCATAATAATTCTGACTTCAATTGTACAGTAAAAAAAAAAGTAAAAAAATAAATATATATATATATATATATATATATATATATATATATATATATATATATATATATATATATATATACACACACATACATACATACTGTATATATACAGTGCTCAGCAAATATAAGCACACCCCTCACAAAGCTATCTTTTAAATTTGTATTTTTAATAGGAAGCTATACAATATTATATTTGTGCATATGTATTAGATTAGTCAGTACTGGAGCTTTGAAAACCAACAATCTGGAGCTTATCTGGAACTTATCCAAAATATAATTTGAATATATACATATATCTGTTTAATAAATCTGTTTTGTTTAAATGCACCAAAATATATTGCATATATTCACTGAGAAATGGATCAAAATATTCATTTTTAAAATGGGGTGTACTCAGTTATGCTGAGCACAGTATATGTAGATATATAAAAACATCTTTACATATTTGCCAAAGACTTTTCTCATTTTAATTTAATGTACACAAATAGCTAAAACTAAAAATTTTGCATAATTTTCATAAATGCACATACATTTTATAAAAAAACAAACTTAACAATATTGGAATATAACTAAAATATATATTAAAGAAAAGAAAATAAAGAAAAAAATTATATAAAAGAAAATAAATTAATATTTAAAACTGGTATTTAATATTTGATATTTTGGTATTATCAAAGTAACTGATTTTATAGCTCATATCATTAGTGACCACTAGAGGAAGCTAAATTTTATTTTATTTTTTTTACCTCTGTTCACAGGTCTTGATCATTAATTATGATGTCTCATGTATGACATATAACACATACTACCAATTATTTACAATGAAATAAACTCATATGACTTGTTTGTATTAGACAGTATGAGCTCACGGGCGTCTATTCTGATGTGTTTCAGTTTGAAAGAGCAGAAGAACCTCAACTCTTTTTTCGCAGTAATGTTTGGCCTCAGCAACAGTGCAGTGCAGAGGCTCAATAAAACATGGGAGGTAAGGACGAATGCGCTTTCTTAGGCTATATAATAATCTGCCTTTAATAATCTACACTACTCCATTTACATTTATTCATTTAGCAGACACGTTTTTCCAAGGCGCCTTACAAATTAGGACATTCCCCAGTTTTAATGTGCTAAATGTTATAAGTAATACTATAAAGATTACCATCATACTTTTCTTTTCTGAAACAGCTTGAATTGAAAAAAGTGCAATGCTAATTCATTTGACTTAATAAAAAAATACATATATTTTGATCTCATTGAACAGAGACTTCCCAATAAAACCAAAAGGATCTACTGTGCATACGAAAGACTGATGGTAAATGTTCACACACACTTTTCAGGGATTGTTCAATATATGTGAATGCTATATATATATATATTAATAATCTGTGTTTTAGGATCCGTCCCGTAACCACAGGGCCTACAGACTGACTATTGCCAAACTCAGCCCTCCATACATTCCCTTCATGCCACTGCTTCTAAAAGGTACAGTTCACTAGTGAATCTACAGTTTATGTTACTTCTACAGTAGTATATAGTGGATTACAGTTTAATCAGCTAAATGCATCACTTACCTACACAGATATGACATTTATTCATGAGGGAAACAAGAACTACACTGATAAACTGGTCAACTTTGAGAAAATGGTGAGTTTGTGGTCAGAGTGCTGCAATTAATTAACATTTAAACTCTATACTTTGGACAAAAACATCTAATGTGTGTCTTTTTTTATCTTGTTTTAGCGCATGATTGCCAGAACAGTGAAGACAGTTCGGGATTGTCGAAGCCAACCTTACGGTACGGCTCCCTCTAGTGGTGTGGTTCACAGAACACCACAGTGTTTAAAAGGGATAGTTCATCCAAAAATGAAAACTGCCTCATTTACTCTCCCTCATGTGATTTTAAGGAGCGCCTATTTGCATTATAAAAGGTCATAGTTTTGGTTTTGGGGATCTCCAACAAAATTCTGATTTGCATGCAAGGTCAAAAAACACTTTGATTGTCTTATAATATGCATTTATTTTTACCTAGTTATCCCAATGACTACCATATGAATCATTCAGTGATTCATTTGTTCCCAAACCCCTCCTTTGCGTGAGGCTAATATGTGCTGATTGGTCCAATGACCCAGTCTGTTGTGATTGGTCGACTAAGTTCAGCGCGAAACAGAGAGAAACAACAACCACAGCTATGAAGTAGCACAGAGTATGTCAGAGCTCAGTGCAGGAAGCACCAGCATATTACTCTACTCTTAACCCTAACCCCAAGTAATAACAACGACACACATTCAGTATTAATCCACACAGTGGCAAAAGTTGAACTATTTAGAAAATTGACCGCGCCGAACAGCTGATGGTGGCCATAGCAAAGACATACGGCAGAGGATCACAAGTTCAGAAATGCATTTAAGTTGGTAAAGTAAGAAGCATGCATCACGTTTTCAACGCTGTTTTGTACACAATATGTGAACAGCTTCATTTAGATTTAGCCTGAGGCCCCGTTTACACTAATGCGTTTTAGTTTGAAAACGCATACGTTTTGCTATGGTTACGCCATCCGTCCACACTACGCCGGAGTTTTCGAGCGCCAAAAACAGAGGGTTAAGGAAACGCTGAAGAGGCCGTTTCCATTCTAAAACGCTGCTGTTCTGTCTCAGTGTGGATGGGGGAAAACAGAGACATCTGAAAACGAAGGCGGGGCTGCAGACATTCGCCTCTCTGATTGGAGCTTTTTCTTCAATATTAAGTAGCCTACACACAGTTCAGTCTCGCATCCTCTCCGTGTAAGTTCAGACTTCGCAAGTTTGATATGGAAAACAAACTCCCGGGTGTACTTTATAAGATCATTTACATCACCCTGGCTATGCTGTTTTACTGTCTTATCAAAAAATTTAAAACATGTGAGGAACTGCCTATTTTCATTTTGGATATTAGCAACTTAACAGACATCAAAAATGTTGAGGTGTCGTGTAGCTCCACATTTATATGAGCGTCATCTTCATGCATATTTATAACAAAACCGAGCCTATAACATCACTGCCTCTTTTCATTTTTATTGAAAATACGAAACACCCTTTCTATAACTGAATATCATTTTAAATAACCAATAATGGCCATTTTAAAATATAACGTACAATAAGTTTATACAATAGAGAAAATAACGGCAAGCCATCAGTCAATTGGGCAGAATCTGTGTTAGCGGTTACATTAATTAAGATATTAACCTAACTTATACTTGCGCTCATCCAAAACACGTTACCTGAGAACAAGTAGCCTAATAGATTCAAAAGACCAAAGTCGGGGAATATGTTGATGAACAGTTCGACGTGCCCTGCTCTCATATGTGCTCAAAGCATGCTGCAGCGCATGTCAGATTGTGTGTGTCTGTGTGAGTGTGTGGTCACGTGATGTGCGTTTTCACCGTTTTAATGTAGACGGAGAGTTGTTCAGAAACGCTGGGTGAAATGCTAGTGTGGACGCGGATCGTTTTCATTCTAAAACGCCGTTTTAAAACTAAAATGCACTAGTGTAAACGGGGCCTGAGAGATACAGTGCAAGCACTGATCTATAGTAGATAAGTGATTACAAGCCGTGCAGAGCGATTTCAATTTACAAGACAATAAATACATATTTTGACTACAGAAAACGAGGCAACAATTTTAATTACACTTACATGTTATGATCAGGAGGAAGAAGAAACTTGTCCATATAAACTTTAACAGTTACTGACTAAGTCTCTGCCAAAGTCTGACAAAGTTCCATACATCAGTCTTTGCTGATCCTTCCTTTAATAGCAAACGGCCGGCGACTCCCGCACTGCAGTGTAGGTTATTGTATCAATCTTTAGAAAATGACAGGAACAACCACAGCACACGGTTGCCTATACTGTGGTATTGTTGTCAAAATTAGCGTTTACCCTTTATTCCCACAGCAAAATCTCCATCTGTCAGTGATTGTTATCTCCGTGTCATGATCAATCCCATAATCCCCGGTACATATTTGCTGATGTACCGTATCAGCGTCAATGCTTTCAGGCAAAAGATCTAAACCCAACACGATTCATTTATTGGACTCTGAATTGACTATTTCGTTAAAGAATCAATAGTTTTAAACACGATGCACTTTCCGATTTAAACCTCTGGATATTTTCATTCACTTGGTGCTGTCCTAAAACACTGCATAGAAGGTGATTTTCAAAAACTCTTCAACCCTTAAGTTTCTTTCTTCTGCCAAACACAAAAGATGATGTTTTGAAGAAGGCTGGTTGCTGTGACCTATCAGACAAAAATGACTCGGGAAGTCAATGTGTCCCAGCAACTAGCAAATTTCAAAATATCTTATTTTGTGTTTAACTTAAGAAAAAAACTTAAATAGTTTTTCAACAAGTGAAGGGTGAGTAAATTGCAGTATTTTCATTATTGGGTGAACGATCCCTTTAACACTGTTGCATTTAAAGTTGTCCTACAATGAAAGCTGATAGCCTTAAATGGCTGTGTTTACACTGCAAATCTTAAAGAAGTTATAAAATAGAACATTTTATTGTTTTTGAACACAGAAGTAAATAGAATAGTATAATCCATGATAGTATAAATCATATTTTTTACTAATACTATACACTTCTGGCGCAAAAAACTTGGTTTATAAAATATAATACATTTATATGTGAAAATGCATTTCATGACCCCTAAGATCTGATCTCTTGACCGTATTTGATTTTTGTGGTATAATATTACGCGTACATGCAAGTCAGATATGAATCTCTGGCTCAGAACAGATTAAAAAAAATTTATGGACATACGTTTACACTTATGGAACATATTCATCTCTCTGATGGGAGTAAAACAAAATCTGATTGTTTTTGTGGAAGTGTAAATGCAGCCAATTTGAAAACCAAAAATAGAGATCGACTTGATTTTTGTTGCTTGAAAATGAATGAAATGGTTGTGGTTTGCTGTCATTTTGATTTCAATTAAGTGATGGTGTGTCGTGTGCTTGCTCTAACGTGTCATCTGAGAAGAGATAGATATTGGTGAAGGAGGGAAGAAATACTTAAGTGCATGCATTCATGGATTAATGATTTATTAGAAATGGTGTCAATTCATTAAAAAAAATAATAATAATAAGACGTCAAACTTCATTTCATGGTGACTTTAATTCATATCTCACTTATTCATATCTAAATTCAGAGTTATTCTGTGCTTTTGCAGTGCCTTCATCTCCGCAGAAAGGCTTGACGGAGAGAATGTTCTTGGATGCTCAAGCTATCCGAATATCAACATGTACGTCATTTCTTTCTCCTCAGTCGTGATGTCAGGAATGCGGTTTCCAGGTCCAAGCCTCTATACTCACAATAGATGACCAATCTTTTACTTTTAAAACTACAGTCTCACAGTGTCCTGGTAATATTTCAGTGATTCATAAAAGATTAATCAGTGCCTGGCCATATGAGAAGCCAGTATAGATCCACTAGCATGATTTTACAGCACACAGAGAGCCTTAATACCATTTGTTTTTGGAATTAGGTAGATTGCTTGGATCTGGAAACTTGACGTCAGACTTAAACCCCTTTGTAACACTGCATGCTACATCCCAGATATCTCATAATTTTCCCCACCTCCCTCCTACTTAAAGTCTGCATCAAAAAGTTCATAACAACTTTGCATCAGTATCAGAATTGGATAGAGGACTGGATCAGCCGCAGGAATGCAGACCTCTAGACTGGGTTTTATTTGAGCTCTCCTCACGTCATCTAACTTGCAACAAACTAATTGTTACAGTAAATTGGTTAAGGATATTCCACCTCAAATAGTCAACATTATTAAATAAGAACTACAGTAGTAGATTGGTCTACTATAAGAAATGCTGTAAAATGTAAAATGATGTAAAATGTAGAACTGCAACTTATTATTTGACACACGCGTCTAACCTACAGCTTTAAGCTGGTTTAAGCTGTTTTTTTCAGCAGGGGTGCTAGTCAAAATAAGGGTTATTCTATGATTTTGGCACAATTGGCAGGACATGAAGTGTTCTTGTTGAGTGAGGCGACATCTTGTGGTGAAAATAATTACAACTAGAGAAAGGCACTTAATTTAGATGTAGCCTACGTTTCAACTCGGATTTTCCAATCGGTAACTGTTTTAGACATTACTTTCAGCGTTTGAAAAATGAAATGACAGGTAATGCGTCCTTTAAAGTGATGAAAGAACATTTCATTGTTTCGCTCTTACCTTACTGTTTGAAAAGACCATTCAGGGGAGGAAAACCTGACAGCAGTTTGGGCTTACGAGTCACGACTACGCACAGCTGACGTGACACGCTCCATTTGTCCAATCGAAATCCGCAAACAATCAAACGTTGACTAGGAATCTGAAACGCGTTTAACCCCGATTAACATTACACGTCTTCCCAAATTGCATACTAAATACGCTTTTTAACCCCGAATAGCACTGGACAGCTTCTGAAATCGCAAACTAAAAAATGTTAGTGGCAAAATGTCTACATTTTAAACGTCTAAAATACTACAATGACAATATAGCCTGACCAGCGTAACCAGGCTGGGAGCCCAGCTAAAACCAGCTGTGTCCATCCATCTTAAACCAGGCTGGTCAAGCTGGTTTTAGCTGGTCATTTTCCTGCCTGACCAGCTGAGACCAGGCTGGAATGGCTGGAAACCAGCCTGAAAATGGCCAAAACCCCTCTAAAACCAGGCTGGTCAACCAGCTAAAACCAGCTAACCAGCTTAGGCTGGTTTAAGCTGGATTTTTCAGCAGGGAGTGTATCCGGGTTACTGAAATTACACCCATGGCTAATTTATTTACCAATAAACAGGGTGCGAATTACAGGGGGGTTGATTGAGGTAAAGTTGGTTTTATATTCGCACATCCAGACTTTCTCCTTAATATAATTTCAGAAAAGTATTCACTGCAAATTCTACAGTGAAACCATATTAGCAGCCAACAACCATCAAAGTACAACATTGTTCATAGTCAATTAAATAGTGCTAATGTTTTTTAAAGTCATACTTACATGTGATTTCAGTCCAAACATTTAAAGTACCATTGTAAACAGTGTAAAAAGCTGTAAAACCAATTTTACCTCAATGGGGGTTTGTGGGGACTGACCCCCCTAATTAAAACTTAATCTCCCCTGAAGGGCGTCAAAACAACATAAATAGTCTTCTAAGTAGTGGGAAATAGGGTTTATTCTGATCTGTATCTTGAAAGATAACATTAAAAATGAAAATAACACATAAGTATACATTTTACCACCAATAATGGTTCATATTATTGCGAATGCACAATCAGTCTATGCGAGAAAAAAAAAAAATTTTATCAGTCTGAAACCATCAGATCAGAGCACTGAAGACAGCTTAAGTATTCACAAGACACTTTTCTTGTAAAATAGCAGTTTGTTTTTTTTACATATAGCCTAAAAGTAAAGTCTAATTATATGCATAGTTTATAGTTTGACCTACAGTACAGTACCTACAGAACAGCTAATTAGACAATACTGTTGGTCAGAATACACTAAATATTTGAGTTACTTTAACATTTTGGGTTTTACAGTGTTTGTGATTTACTGATGCATTACCGAAAAGTTGAACCTCCTTATCGTCAATGTATTATTTGCACCCTGCCAATCAGTACCTACCAACATTAGTTCACCCAAAAATGAAAATAAATTCACCATTTACTCACCCTTGTGTGGTTTTAAACTTTTGTGAGTTTCTACTGAACACAAAATAAGATAACAATTAGGCTACAGTGGAAGTCACTGCATGGTTTAGCTTTCTTTAAAATCTCTTCCTTTGTGTTCAAAAGAATAAGAAACAAACTGAATCAAGTAAAGGGTGAATAAATAATAATAAAATGTTCTTTTTTGGGTGAATTATCCTTTTGAGATGCAATTTTGGGTGCTACATTGGGTTCGATTCAGGAATGTCAAACACTCCTAGGAACAGGTTAATTCCAAACCAACTTCAACACACTTACCTGCAGGTTTCAAACAAGCCTGTATGACTAAGTTAGTTTGATCGGGAGTGTTTACAGTAATTAGAGTTAAAGCTAAACTGTGCAGAGCTTGTAACCCTCCACGAGTTTGACATCTGTGGTTTAAATTGAGCCACTGTTTAACAAGTATGACTATCTCTAAAAAAAAAAATTAAAAAAAAAGATGTGGTAAGTTATGTTACAAAAAGAGCAGAAATACATCAGGCTGTCTTTCTAATTCTCACTTTTGCCTTTTGTAGATTCAGACCAGTCTCTGAACCTCCGCAGTGCCACCAGTATCAGACAGTACATCCAGAACCTGAAAGTGATCGACAATCAGAAGAAACTAACTCAGCTCTCCAGAGCCTTAGAGCGCTGAGGTCCCGCAAAACTGCTATCTTCAGCCCATTCCTGCTCCATATTGGAGAAAAGAAAAACTGAACAGATGGAAGCCATGACCACCCTATGTGTGGTTAATTGGTGTAAATTCTCACAATTGTCCACCAGTGCTGCATGAACTGCAAAAAGTTGAGAGCTGGATGACAAATGCTGACAATGGACAATTTTCTTTCTTTTTTTTTATTGCCTTATCAGAAGTGTTCTGATGTTTGGGTCATATCTGACTCAGCCTACAACGTGAGCTAACAATTCACTTCAGTGCTGCTGGCATTAACTGTTATTTATAAAAGATTTATATCATGAAGATGTTGATCACAGTTCTATATCCATTCGCCACAGCCCTTCAATTGATTAATGAAGTTATTGTTTAGGAGGCAAAACCATATAAAATGTTTGACATTAACATTAAATATTCAGTAAGAGGCCATGCATTAAAATATTTTTTCTCTTTTGTTTTGTTGTGATCTCAAAATAATTTGTTTAGTCATGATCTCGACATAACTTTTTGCTATGACGAGATCATGATAAAACGAATTATGATTCACAAATTTATGACCACAACTTTTTTTTGCTTTTATGTAATAATAATAATATTAATAATAATAATTATTATTATTATTAATATCCTGCCTTGCGAACAGGGAGAGAATAGCTTAACTGCAGACGTGCAACACGTTAAAGACATTCAGAACAGCCATAATATTCATTATTATATTCATGTTTATGATTATATACTATTATTTACAATAAAATCCCCGTAACTGTTACCATTTTAAAGCAACTCCATATGGCGCAGTTTTAAAGTAAATCACTTGCGGTAATGGTCAAAGCAAAAGCAGGATCTTAATCGTTCTTCATAATTAATTCATACACGCAGCAACTTATTTTGAGCCATATAGATTTGCTTTAAAATAGTAACAGTTAAGGGAATATTATTGTAAATAATGATATAAAATCATATACATGAATATAATGAGTGTACGTTATTCATGAGCACGAACGTTTGCGCGCATATTATCATGGCTGTTCTGAACGCCTTAAGCTGCGGTCACACTAGAGTTTGTGTGTGCGAAGTTCTGTCGTGCGCCGCTGCGGGATTGAACAAGCTTGTTAGACATTTTAAAAAGCGAGCGATTGCTCCATATTTTAAATTTCTGTCCAGAGATGTCATGTTTTGATCCCCGATTGGTCTCACGCAAGTCAAGTGATGCGATTTCGCAGGGCAGAGTTCACCAATCTTGAACTTTGCACCGCAGCAACCTGCAAAACTTGACGCATGACCCTGCGTTTCCAGTCTGACGCATTTGCGTGCGTTTGAATGGAAGTCAATGGGAGGAAAAGCCCAGTGTGACCGCAGCTTTATGTGTTGCACGAATGCGCATCTGCAGTTTGGCTATTCTCTTTGTTCGCAGGGCCGGTGCAAACTCACTGGCAAGACATTGGCCAGATATTATTAATACTACTACTAATAATTATTATTACATAAATAAATAAAAGCAAAAAATAAGTCATGATCACGACGTAACCTTTTGTTTGGTTGAGACCACAACATAATTAAGTCGTTATCACGAGAAAACAACTTTTTGTTATGTCGAGATCACAAGAAAACGAGTTGTTAAGTCAAGATCATGAGATGATTAAGTCGTGATCATGACAAAACAAGAGGGAAAAAATATTTTAATGCATGGCCTCTTAGGACTTCCGTAGTACGTGGCATAACAGAGTGTGGATTGTTTAATTATTGAAAATGAATGTACATAAATGCATTGCTTTTCAATACAGTCATGGTCTCTCCGCACTTTTTATTAAGCAGTATTCTAGTTCTGTCCTTTTAGGAATATTAACCTTTGAATTTCATTGTTCGCAAGCACTGGAGAACAACTGATAATACAGATTATTATTAGCTGCTGTATATAAAAGCCAAATACCACTGTTTAACAATTTAAATATTCAGAAACTGTTTTATAGACAATATATATGAAAGTATATACCTAATGCATTTTTTTCTAATGGAGTGTTTATTTTTTATAAATAAATTATTGAACATTTGTGACGCTGTTTCCTTTGTTACTGAACATTTTGTGCATTGTCAACATCAAAACCAATATTGAATACAGTGCATCCGGAAAGTATTCATAGGACTTTTTCCACATTTTTTATGTTACAGCCTTATTCCAAAATGGATTCAATTAATTTATTCTCAAAATTCTACACACAATACCCCATAATGACAATGTGAAAATACAGTTGAAGTCAGAATTATTAGCCCCCTTTCGATTTTATTATTATTTTTTTTTATATTTCCCAAATAATTTTTAACAGAGCAAGGAAATTTTCACAGTATGTCTGATAATATTTTTTCTTCTGGAGAAAGTCTTATTTGTTTTATTTCGGCAAGAATAAAAGCAGTTATTAATTAAAAAAAAAACATTTTTGGGACAAAATTATTAGCCCCTTTAAGCTTATTTTTTTTCGATAATCTGCAGAACAAACCATCAATAACTTGCCTAATAACTACAATAACTTGCCTAATTACCTTAACCTGCCTAGTTCACCTTATTAACCTAGTTAAGCATTTAAATGTCACTTTAAGCTGTGTAGAAGTGTCTTGAAAAATATCAAGTAAAATATTTTTTACTGTCATCATGTCAAAGACAAAATAAATCCGTTATTAGAAATGAGTTTTTTAAACTATTATGCTTAGAAATGTGCTGAAACAATTGTCTCTCCGTTAAACAGAAATTGGTGGAAAAAATAAACAGGGGTGCTAATAATTCAGGGGGACTAATAATTCTGACTTGAATTGTATATATTTTTAAACTGTTGCAAATTTATTAAAAATAAAAAACCTGGAAAATCACATGTACATACATATGAATGCAGCAATGCACAGAGAGATCCTGAATAAAAACCTGCTTCAGAGTGCTCTTGACCTCAGACTGGGATGACAGTTCATCTTCCAGCAGGACAATGACCCAAAGCACACCGCCAAAAAAATCAATGGAGTGGCTTCACAATAGCTCAGCTCAGTGCCCTTGAGTGGCCCAGCCAGAGCCCAGACCAAAATCTTATTGAACATCTCTGGAGAGATCTGAAAATAGCTTGTACACCGTCGCTTCCCATCCAAACTGAGCTACTCAGTACTTGGAGGTACTCAAAGGAGGAATGGGCAAAAATTCCCAAAGACAGGTGTGCCAAGCTTGTGGCATCATATTCAAAAAGACTTGAGGCTGTAATTGCTGCCAAACGTGCATCAACAAAGTATTGAGCAAAGGCTGTAAACACTGATGTACATGTGATTTTTCAGATTTTTTATTTTGAATAAATTTGCAACAATTTCATAAAATCTTTTTTCACATTGTCATTATGGGGTATTTTGTGTAGAATTTTGAGGAAATAAATTAATTTAATCCCATTTTGGAATAAGGTTGTAACAAAAAAATGTGGAAAAAGTGAAGCGCTGTAAACCTTTCCGGATGCACTGTATAATCAAAATCATTAGTTGCAAATATTTTGTATATGCCAGCAAAAAAATAATTCACCAAAAGCTGTACAAAAAAATGAAAGATTTATTTTAAAAAGCAAACTGTAAATACAAATAATAATTACTTGAACATCCCTCTGATTCTCCCCAATATGGGGTGATGAAATACGTCAAATCAGTATCAGCTGAAAAATTAAAATAATCTCCTCACCAAACATATTTACAACTCAATGCAAAAAAAAAAAAACACAAACCAAGATTTGGGGCTGGTAAAAAAAAAAAGCAAAAGAAAATAAACAAAAAAAGAAGACATACCCAGTGTTTCCTCCTGTTTAAAATACAACAAAAAAAATCTCAAGACTAAAATCTAACTTTGGAGGAATAAATATTTGTTTGTAAAAATGTACAAAATACATTAAAAACATTACTAAGGATTCAAGTCGAGTCTGTGTGTCAGCTTCTTTGGTTGTGTACCAATTCAAACTACCCCATTTGTTTGGTAAAACCTGCATTTACAATATGGCAGACAAAAAAATGTCTAAAATGTCTATTTTATGGCATTATCACACTTAACCATTAAAAATAATTCTTCTTTGACAGATGAAGCCGTGTTTCTGTATGTTTTAGCCTACAGCATTACATTAATTACCTTAAATCTGGGCTAATTTCAACCCTCAAACTGGGTGTTGTCTTCAAATAATCCTTATTTCTGAGAGCGACACTAAAATAAAGTATTATTATGCACATAGAAAAAGTTGAATATTGCACTTCCATACAGATTTCCTACGCATCCCACGGTTCCAGCTGCTGTCGCCTTCTAGGCAGCTCGCTGAAACAGGAGTTTTCATTTCATTCCCGCACTCAACCACTTCAGCACCATGATGTATGGAGGCATTTCTACTGACTGTGGCACTCCAAGAAAAAAAAAAAAATCACATCCATACACACAAGCAGAACACAAACACGCATACAAAAGACAAGAAGTATACAGGTGTATTTCAACATTCAGTCCCTGGATGAGGCCTGCTGCCTTGGAAGAGTTTTTGTGTAAATCTCCATCCAAGTCTACAGTGGGTCTCCGTTTGCCCACAGAAGTTTGGAGTGATGACATTGTTTTTGCTCTTTTGGCCCGAGGGTCTGTTAGCGTAATGGCAAAGCACAGCTCTGCTTCAAGGCATCGGTGAGGTTTCACAGACTCGGATCCAGTTTTGTCCCAGATGACTTTTAAGGCAAACGGCTAACATTCAGTAGGGAAGAACGGTCGCCTTCCGCAAAGGATCCTGACAATGTTTTCCACTGAAAGAGCGCCACTTGATCCTTTACGCGGCATCACCTGAGAGTGAAACTTGGCTTGCTATGAGGCGACTGAGCTGAAAACATCTCGTTCAGAGTGAAAACTCTATCCATTAGAAGTCACGTGACAAACAAACATTTAAAATGTCTTCATAAACAAAATAGACAGCAGGAAAATGGAGATGAGGGTCCCTGGTGAGGTATCCGACTACCTCATTCTCGCTTGCAAGACACAATAAATCAGCAAAACCTGTATCATTAACTTTGGTTGGATGTGAAATACTGCATAGATGTTCTTTGAGGGTGTGTTTTAGTGAGATAGCATGCTAAAAATAGAAAATGCTACACTGCGGATTGTTTAACCTTGAGCAGCTGTGGGCTAAAAAAAAAAAAGACATGAAATTGTTAAAAAAAAAAAATCGAACATAATTACATTAGTGCAGATTGAGTCCAACTTGGGCTGAATCCGTTTTTTTTTTTGTTTTTTTTCTGCTTTAGCAGGTTGCCAGTGATCCTGAGCTTTGGTTCAGATCAACCCAAAACTGTTTGTGAGCGGCAGGCTGTAAGTGGTGGTTAAAAGTGGAAACCCACATCAAGGGGAAAAAACGAGTTAAAATAAACAAAGTCAACATTCATTTGGCTTTAAGTCCTCAGGGTCTCGTTATCTAGTGCAGTACAGTGAAGATCCAGTGATCTTTCCTCCGCCGTCTACTCTACTGCAGTCTAGTCTTTGTCTTTTCAACAGCAAGTCAGCTTCTCTTTGGACGGCCTTTGGTTAAGGACGTGAACCATCTCTTCGTTTAGGCCTCGGATGCAGCCTGAGGTTTGAGTTGGGCTTTTTCCATCGCAGTGCCGTATGGAGTTCGCTTGAAGAAGCCGAGCTACAGAAATCAAGGAGAGAGGGAGAAAAATGCATTTAAAATTGGTTATGGTAAACTTTTTCAGTACATCTATAGGCTAATTGGCTGTTAAGTGAAGGCGGTAGGTCCGATGTAGCCTTTGCATACCCTTCGTCATACCCTAACATGCACCTCTCAAAGAATCTAAATATACATTGTGATGATGCAGAGTGCAAGGGTATGATTGGACGGCTTGGAAGCAATGATAAGTGTGGACGAGGCCAAGAGCCTAGGGAGTGGAGCGAGGATGATTGAGCGGCACATCCTGATTTTGTTAAGTACGATGCGATCCTGTCTAAGTTGATCCTTGAACATCATTTTTGTTTGAAAATGTAATCCATGCCTATTCCATACCTCTAAACCCAAGCATAACTGTAAATTATATCCCAAATTAGAGGGCAATAATAGTTGGATAACATCAACAATATCATATAGAAGTGCATAAACCTAACTGTAAGCCTAAACTTGACATAAACGGTAAACATATCCCTCAACTCTTATTGGCTGATTGAAATGTTGTTCCAGGATCAACATAGATGTTAATCCAGGAACATGTCCAACTTGGTGAAATCAGATTGGCGTGGTTGTGTGAGTATTTAACAAATGCTATATCCGAAATCGCCTACTACTCAAATAGACATTGAATTTGAATTTACTTCACAACCATTAGAAAAGTACTATCAATATAGTATGACTGTGAGTAGTATGAATGGAACTTGGACGTACTACAATACATCCGCCATTTGTCATTATCATGTGACAGCATCAGTTGCGTCGCTTCACTCCCATTCATGAATTATCTCACGTGCCATCATAGGATAGCGAAGCGTCCCTCAGACGCGCACAAAATCTCGCCAGAAGTAGTAGGTCATTCAGGTACTTCTCACATACTGCTTTTTGATTACCATGAATTCTGTCATACTACTCTGCTTGCATGCGGTTTTTCGTCTACTATATAGTACTGAAGCAAGCAATTTCAGATGCAGCCTTAGTCATGGAGGAGCTCTGGATGGATATATATAGTTTAGTGTTTAGTTTATGTATAAAGTTGTGGAAGATTCACTGGTTCTCGCCTTTTTCTTCCTAGAATGAGTGTGAGTTTGAGCTACTTCTACAGTAGCTTCATACGCATTTCCAGCATAAACCCAAAACATCAGCAAAGATGCTCAACACAGTGGAACACTGAATCCCCATGGCCTACTAGCTTTTCGTAATTGTTATTGCCAGAGCAGCACAAACAGAATGCAGAAGTATAAACGCTTACTTCAGCGTCGGTCTGGAGGTAGTGGACATTTTAAAAGTGGGGGGGACAGCTGAATAAGATCGAAAAGTTTACTTTCATTTAATTATTATCGCCTGTTTCTAAATGGTCTGTCTCTAAAAGCAAGGGGGACATATCCCCCTGTCCCCTGGCATTGGTTACAAGCCAGGTATGCACCTTGGGGAACAGAGACCATTATTAACCACAGTTAACTATTAATAAGAGGATTAGCACACTGTCTGCTTAATATCTGCTATCCCTTTATTTTGATGATCATTAACATCTGTGAACTTATTATAGCCTAACTTGGTGTATTTATACTCTAATATTAGCAAAGTTACTTTTAATTAAAAGAATGTTAAATAATATACTATTTGTAGGTAGTTTTTTTATGTAACGAACAATAGTTCACTACAAAAGAGAACTAGTCTGACTACAATAGAAAAGTAGCAGATTATCAATTAGCAACATGCTAGTTCAGCTATTTGGGATAGGCTACCATTTTGATATCCCTACTACATGTTGACTGTATTGAATATGAAATTGTTTACAGTTATAAGTCTTTCTGATTAGGGAGAAAAAAACTGTAGCTTGAGATTAGATTTGGGATTGTCTCTATTTAAAGGCTCTATAAAATTAAAATAGTATCAATATTAATAGTTTTTCTATTATAGGTTATCTGTAAGCTTGTGCGCACTGAAATAGTAACAAAATTCAAGTTTATGAGATATAAAATTGATATACACATGTAAAGCTTGTAGTTTGTCACTAATGCTGAATGGATCAACAGTTTTATTTACGTCACCTCATACTTCAGTTTCCCCATCAAACCTTGACCAATCAAATGCTCTCTAGTATCTGACATGCCCCGCCCTCTACAAGAGGCTCCACATTTGATGCGCTTGTGCTCAACCTCACTCATTGGCAGAGTGGTGATAAAACAAAACACGATTGGCTGTATTTTTTTGTTTTTTTTTAAGGGAGGAGCTACTCTATATCCCTCAGTACACTTCACCCTCTCTTCATGTTTTGGTTGAGATTGCGATAAACAACGAATAAAAATATACATTTAAAAGCACTTCACGGGACCTTTTAAGTATAATATTTAGTTAAAATTCCTTACTATCTTGCTTAATAGCCAGGTTTGGAAAAAAAAATGGATAAGAATTGGTTTACAATTAGCAACAACCTACTCTAGAAAGAAAGGTATGATTTAGTTTTCTTAAAACAAGTACATGTGGTTACAAGGCTTTAAGATTAAAAAGAAAATGCTTAGTTACAACAAAGTCCAACAACCTGAATTCTTGACCACAGCTAGAAATGAAATCGGCAGATGCTGACCTTGTAGAGGACGTAGATGAGCAGCGCGAGCAGCAGAAGACCAGCTAGAATCGCCAGAATGATGATCCACAGAGGAACAGCGTACGAACTGTCCGGCTTATTCCACACCACAGGAGTCACCATCTGCAGTTCACACAAACATCAGCAGAGCATTTTTACAACTAAATACATTCTGTCTAATAATGAACATGAATTAGATTTGATAAAAATATATAAAATGACCGAAGTTTACCTTTTTAGAGCCACTAGGAGTCACCTTAGGCAAAATGGCATATGGCATCTTTTCCACTTTGTAACTAGCATGGCACTCCAGAATAAAGTTTTTATAAGTGTTCTGTAAATAAATCACGGAAAGCACAATTATATGTTATGAATAAGATCAACAATATCATAATTTATTAATGGCGTGTCTGCAGCAAAGGCATTATAGTGGCTAAAACATTGACGTTTAAAAGAAAAGGATACCAAACTAAATATAAAATTATAAATGATCTTAAGTACATCTAAAACAGTTACTGTAAACAACGCTGTTCAGCATTCATTTCATTCTCTACTAAATTTAATTTTTAATGTAACAGTCCTAGTCGCATCCAGATGGTGGCAGTATTGCTTCACTGGATCCCAACATTTTCTGACATTCCAATGCGCTGAGCTCTCAGGACTTCTCTTAATGTATTTTCAATGCACTGGCTTATAAACTTTGCATTGGCTGGAGCTGCATGTAAGGAGTCTCTCAAAAGAGCTCCTGTTTACACACCATCTGATTCTCTTCAACTTGAGTTAAACAGACACCACCAAATCTACATTACTACCTACAAAATATATCAGGAAATAACCACACTATACACTAAATTTTTAATCTGTTCAATCATTGAGGTGGACTTGGAGAGGGGTCTTATTTGAGATTTCAGAGTATAAAATTTGACTGTAAAAGCATCCATCATTTTGTTTTCAGTGCACTATTAGTAATCATTTCAAGAGACAACACTTTCTGCTCACCTCCATAAACGTTTCAGCCCAAATTCGTGAGCGAACATGAAGTATGGCACTCGTCCCTCGCTCCAACAGGCCAACATTACACATCAGAGTCCAACAGTCCACACTGGAGCAAGACTAAAACAACAGACAAGGAGATACAACGGAGTAACATCAATTTCAAAATTTGCTTTTGCTTATTTTATTTTTTCAGTCAAAAAGAAAGAGAAATATTTTAGGGTAAAGAAAACAAACAAAATCACAGATTTTTCCTGCATTTTTACCAAACATTCAAACTATTTTGGAATTTATAATGATTATAATGAAGTTTTCTATGTTATTGCTGCTTGTTTGTTATTTAAAATGAGCTAAAACACAATAATTCTTAATAACTTAATTGTTTTATGTTCAATCCACTTAAATTTGTAAAAACTATTAACTTAATCAATTTGTGTTGAGACAATATGAAGGTATTGTGTGGAGCCGAGTGTATTTCATCACACAGCATTTTTAGTTCCTGTCAGAAGCCACTGTAAACCCTTCATGAGAGCTGTTATTCAAATAAACAAATGCCACTGAAACGTAGCAACAGCATAAAAATTGCATTTCCAGGACTGAAATAAATAAATTCACCATAAAAGCATGCCTGGCTGTCATTTGCGACATGAGCTCTAATTAAAAAACCCAACTATAATTACCAATATGAGGATTCGTAGGGAAAGATGGACCATGAGACAGACATTAGCGTCACAAGCCATCGGCATTGACAAAGAGCCCAATGTTAGCGTATTGTACATCGACTGCTTTAAATTAGTGGCAATTCACTGGTAGAGTCACAGGACTGTAAAATCCTGACTACAGTCGCCTAAAGACAAATTCCGTCCCACCAACGCAATAACATTCAGCTCCCTGGATTTTACAGGCTGTACATTACCACATTCATCATCAGATCCCTGTGGCATGACACTAGTTACATTAGGAGGGGGGAAAACGATCACTGAACATGCAACTATATTTATTTAACAGTGAATGGATTTGCTCAACTTTTGAGGTCTGCAATAAGTTTTGTTTGAACCATGATCAAGCGGCTAATAATTACTTGCTAATACTAATAACATGTGTTCAGGACATCTGGAATGGCAAAGAAAGCGTTCTTGCAGGACTCCCAGAGTTATCAAGATTCTTTGGATTCATCTTCAATGCCTCCTCCTTTATTTTACCCCAGACATGCTCAATAATGTTCATGTTTGGTAACTGGGCTGGCCAATCCTGGAGCAGCTTGACCTTCTTTGCTTGAATTATGAGAAGGAGCACTATCCTGCTAAAGAATTTGCCCCTCCTGTGGTTTGTAATGTAATGGGAAGCACAAATGTCTTGATACCCCAGGCTGTTGATGTTGCCATCCACTCTGCAGATCTCTCGCACGCCCCCATACTGAACGTAACACCAAATCATGATTTTTCCTTCACCAAACTTGACTGATTTCTTTGAGAATTTTGGGTCCATGCGGGTTCCAATAGGTCTTCTGCAGTATTTTTAATGATTGTGATGCAGTTCAACAAACGATTCATCTAAAAAACCGACCTTCTGCCACTTTTACAAATGATCAACTAGAAGTCAGGTAATTATTTGTTGCTCTTACAACTGTGATCGATGACAAAACTTTTGTCAGGAAGTGTATATTATATTATATTATATTATATTATATTATATTATATTATATTATATTATATTATATTATAGATGCAAAAGTAATTCTAATTATAGTAAATTTACTATATATAAATGGCAAATATATATATATATATAAAAAAATTATTTCCAATGAGGTACAAAAAAAATACATTGCATTATATTATATGTGCAGTTTTCTTCAAGCACATTGCCAAGACTCGATTCACAGCTACACAGACATCAATAAAGCATAAAACACCTTGGATTTTAATTTACCATCCCTTCATCTCAGCTGACAGATCTGAAACAGGCTTGAACTTCAAAAACACACCTGCACTGTTCAACGTCAACAGAAATACACCAAAATGAGCACAAAACAGCCCTAAAGGAGCACGTCATCAAGCAGGAGATGATAAACATGGCTGACTAAGCGCAACAGGCGACAAAGCCCTCTTTCATTTGCTGAGGTGAAGAGCGAGGATGAGACACAATCAGCTGCTGTCTGAGAGCCGAAGCGCTTCATGACGCACAGAAAAACGGCAAATTAGAGGGTAGAGCGAAGACATTTGAGGCAGACCTTCACTTTGCAGAGTAATGAGGTCATTAATGCTCAATCGCATGGTCTCGAATGCACACACATATACCTAGACTGACCAAGCAAAACATTTTTAATGGCAGCCAATCAGTCAGAGCAGATCTTTGACCCTGTAGGACCTGACCCGTGCTTCTATGCTGGTGAGAGAAAGTTTTTTTTGTGAGGTCATGAGAATGAGTGCATTTGGATGTGTTTGTACAACATTTGCATTTTTGGCAATGTAAATGAGTTGTGTTGACCTTCCTGTTGACCACAGCTCAGTGGCTGTTCTCCAAAAACTGGTAAGTGAACCATGTAGACAGTATTTTAAAAGGTACACTTTAAACGTTTTACCATTTTTAAATCCAGTCTTTTTAGCTTAGCTTAGCATAAATCCTTGAATTTGATTAGTATACTAGCATATATAAAATATTTTTCTTATTTAAAGCTTGACTCTTCAGTAGTTAGATTATGGACTAAGACAGAAAATGAAAAGTTGCATGTTCTAGGCTGAAATGGTTAGCACTAGAAAGTATTTCATAGCTAGGTAAATAGTTAACAGTAGCCTATGAGAGTATAACCAGAATGAGAGTATAGTTCCTAGCCATATCGACCAATAAATCAGTTACTTTTTATTTCTGACTGTCTTTGTACACAATACAAAAGAGTCAAGCATTAAATAGGAAAAGTATCAAAACTCTGGTCATTTTTTAACAAGATGCTAATAGCCTAATCTGATTCAACGACTTATGCTGAGCTAAGCTAAAAGTGCTCCGGCTAGACTGAGAGATTGGCTGAATGGATTTTACAAATGGTAAAACTCAACTAACTTTAGAGGACTTGCAAAATGAGTCTAGTTTCAAACAAAAGTAGAGTAAGGCATCATGTTATGGGTATAAAGCTTGTTCCCTTACCCCTATATTAAGGATATAATAACAATAATCTCAAAGTTTACTGGTCACCACATGATTCGTTGATTCTTTTGTATTGGTAATGTGTAATAAATAAAAAGCTAAACATTGTGTCCACCAAACTGACCCACAATCTAGTCAGCCATAAAGAAATTTCCTGTCATATTATAGAACAGTACATTGGTAAGCATGTCAAGTATAAAAGCTTATCAATCGGAGTCTCACGCTGCACAAGTAAGCTTCAATGAGTCTCAGGTGACTACTTTTGATCGGATCACTGAAAATGGATTTTTATCAGGGCTTATGACCAGCAAACCTGTTTATGTCTTTGTTTTGTAGGGATTTGGATATTGAATGAGTTCCCTGAAGTATATAGTAATGCAGTATATAGTTATATATAGCATATTTAGCATATACACTCACCGGCCGCTTTATTAGGTATACCATACTAGTATCGGATTGGACCCCATTTTGGCTTTAGAACTGCCTAAATCCTGCAACCAGTGCGGATTTCTGCTGCTGTAGCCCATCTGCCTCAAGGTTTGATGTGTTGTGTGTTCAGAAACACTCTTCTGCATACCTCGGTTGTAACGTGTGCTTGTTTTGAGTTACTGTGGCCTTACTATCAGCTCAAACTAGTCTGGTCATTGTCCTCTGACATCAACACCCACAGAATTGCCAGTCACTGGATATTTTCTCTATTTCAAACTGTTCTTTGTAAACCCTAGAGATGGTTGTGCGTGAAAATCCCAGTAGATCAGCAGTTTCTGAAATACTCAGATCAGCCCGTCTGGCACCATCAATTATGCCACGTTCAAAGTCCCTTAAATCACCATTCTTTCCCATTCTGATGCTTGGTTTGAACTGCAGCAGATCGTCCTGACCATCTTTAAATGCCTAAATAAATTGAGCTGCTACAATGTGATTGGCTAATTGGAAATTTGTGTTACCATGCAGTTGGATAGGTGTACTTAATAAACTGGCCAGTGAGTGTATAAGCAAGTAGTGTAATGTAATTTTTTGTAACCAAGTAGTTTATTTGAGGGATTAAACTTTATTAGGTTGTTTTAAAACGTGTAGCTTTACTTAAGTTTATTTTTTTGTGCTGTATCAGCATTTTAACTCCACTTTTTTCCTTAAATATACGGTTACAACTTTATTTTGTATTGTCTTTGGTTATTGGCCAAGTAGAATAATCGGTCCCATAGAAAATTTGCAGGAGACAGAGCAACCTCAAGACATGGACGCTTTATAAATGCAGCAAGCATGTACATCAGCAGCAAAATCATTACACGCATACCATGTAGCATTAACTATCATGAACTAACATACTGTAACAATTTTGTTTTTACTACAGTAAACTGGTGTATTGTAGTATAAACCATATAGTTGTCAAAAACTGAGTATAGTAATGGATCATTAGTTTGTATTATATAGTTGTTGTATAACCACAGCAGCTATAGCAGGGATGTCAAACTCAATTCTTGGAGGGCCGCAGCCCTGCACAGTTTAGTTTCAACCCTGCTCCAACACACTTACCTGTAGGTTTCAAACAAGCCTTCAGGACTCAATTAGTTTGATCAGGTGTGTTTAATTAGGGTTGGAACTAAACTGTGCAGGGCTGCAGCCCTCCAGGTATTGAGTTTGACACCCCTGAGCTATGGAATTACCACAACAGATGAATTCAAGTATTTTAGTATTTACTGTAGTATTTGTTCGTGTGGGATGATTGAACACTAAAATAAAGCTGCAAAACAGGACTCATCCAGTCAACCTATCCCTTTCAGAATAGAGTTAATGTTTTATTCATGTTTTGCTTTGTTTCATCACTTTTATTTCACAACTTCAGAAATCTCACCAGATTGGTCAGTTGCGAGAGCTCTCCCTTGTGCGTGTCCCGCTTCTCAATGTGGTGTTCGTGCCCTGAATCTCGTACAGGAGGCTGCTCTGTTGAAGACTGCTGCAGCTGAAGAGAGAGAAACAGAGAAGGGAACATTAAGTGGAAATTCACCACACACTTCTGGACACTGTGGACTCTGACATCACGGTTCAGTCTGTACTGACGCCCTCTGACTCAACGCTAACACTGAGCTGGGAGGGACACGTTGAGCTGGACGCAAGGGGCATTTTGCAACAGATGTCAGATTTTACTCAACTTCTCCATTGTGCAGAGCCATGCACTCCTCCAAACCAAGAAGTACGCCCTAAATGGCATGAGAAACTGAACAAACAGCTAATTCAGGGAAGAATTCAGCACAGTCCCAGATGCAACAGCAGTTTTGCGTTACCAATCCGCTAGACTTGGTCAGGACGTCCTCAAAATGGGCCGAAAGGGGTTTATCCAGGCTTCTAAAATGTCTTATAGCTGATTCCTGAAATCACATACTGCTTGAGAGGGTACTACATTTGAATTTGATTTACCTTCATGACCAGTAGAAAAGCACATTTTATATCAGGGGTTATCAAACGTTTCAGCCCGCAACCCCCAAAATAACAATGCCAGTGACTTGCGTACCGCACTACCCTCTGAGGTGGTTATAAATATATAAACCTTGCACACAATGGCATACATAAACCAATAGGCTCAAGTCTATTCATTATTTAATTTCGGAGATCATCCTCTATGTTCAGCTGTGTCCTGTATTTACTTTTAATGTATGTGTGTGCCATAAAGGTGTCAGAAAGTTTAACCTGGTGCCATAAAATTTTTGTCTTTAATCATTGTCTTCAATACAATGTAATCACCCCTGGGGGTGCAAAAAATTGAAAGGCTGATGGTCTTTTATTTGCATGTTGCTTGGCTAAACCCTTCTCGGTCCATCTTGAGGACGTCCTGACCAAGTCTGTCAGGAAAAAAAAATGGAAAGGCTGATGGCTTTTTATTTGCATGTTTTTTTATGTAACTAGTAACTGCTTTTTTCTTCTGTAGGTTATGGATAAAATATGCTAATTCTAATAGTTTAATAAGATGAATTTGATTTTTGGAAACCACCAAGCGACCCCCACTCATTGTCCTGCAACTCCCCGGGGCATCCTGACCGCCACTTTAGGAACTACTGTTCTATATATTATGAATATGAGTAATGGAGTTCAGATGTACTACATCCACCATTTGTCATTATCACATGACGTACACACGTCAGATGCATCCCTAGTTCACTCTCATTATAAAAAGTCTCTCCCATGGCCTTATGGGATAGTATTCTTTTGATGCACACTTCAGACTCTCATAGGAACTAGTAGGTCATCAGGGTACTTCTCATCTACTGTTTTTTGAATATTTTGAATTCAGACAATCTACTCAGCTCACATACTGAATAGTAGGGAAGTATGGAAGCAGCTACACTAATTTTTTTCCCATCAGCATAAGCATTTTCTCAATTACCTCAGGAATACCCATCCTGAGGAAAACAGATCATATTTTGAACATTTCAGATGAACTAAACACCTTTTATATGATAACCTCATATGCATCAACTCTAGGCTCTTGTGAAATACATGCTTCAGCCTACATTTTTTTTGGTAAACTGCAAAAACGCACTTCATATGTTGACTGCAGTTTCAAGGTAAAATGAACATGAAGCAGTGTGACACCAACAACTTTTGTCCCTTTTCAGACTAATGATGTTTTCATTTATCATTGAATGAAGGATTATTTCCATGTTGTTCTTTGCAAAACACCAAATAAATGCCACAAAACAACTTAAAGGGGTCTATGATTTGTAATTAAATACATTTGTCTTCGCTATCTATCTTCAAAAGGTCAACTTTTCTTTGCTTGGTAGCTCATTTTGTACAGTGCTATACTTGTAATGCAGAGCACTCGGGTTTGAGTATGATGAAGGATTAAAAAACAATGTAAAAGCAAAGTAAAATGATGTGGTCACATTGCACTTTTTCCTTACATTTGTTTTTGAAAACACTATTGGTTGAGTTTTAGGGAAAGATTTAGCTCAGTTGTTCTCTAGCGGATCTGTATGACAAGCCCCGCTTTTCAGATTTGCAAAAATGTAGATAGCGCCCTCTAGTGGATTTGTCATCTGAAACAAGCATTGAAACATACCTGGAGCTATGTATTGATCCCTAAGTTCTTTTTTTTTTTTTTTTAAATGTAGGTTGAGTCATATTTCCAATGAGCCTGAGCTGAGATCAACTTAAAAAACGTAACTTTTATAATCCTGATCAGAGAATATAATCATCTCTTCAAAATTATTCATCTTGCTTGAATCTTATCATTTCCTACATGATTGTATCATCCCAGAACGGTGTCATTCTGCAATACAGTCATTAGTATTGACCTCTGATAACAACATCACTCTTTATTTGTAAAGTAGAACTATGATTTTTTTGTAAAGCCGCTTTGAAATTATACAAATCACGAAAAGCGTTTTAAAAAGCAACTTGAATTGAATAGAAATCATTATGAATTTGAGAAACTAGAAACATATCCCTCAAATCTTGCTAAATAGCACCTGAAATACTTATTATTATTTGATCCAGGGGTGGGGTAGAGTGAAAACTTTCAGTGGGAGCTTTGATTGAGCTGATGGATGTGCTTATGGAGACAGCAGTGGGAATTGAAGCATGATGGGAGTTCAGATTGCGATGAGAGTTCGGCAGGAGGATCAAAGCCTGGTTTAATGTCTTTGGGTGGAGCTGTATGAGGGACAGGGTGGGCTCAAGAAACGACATATTAGGAAATATGGACGGATGTGTGGTGTGTGCATGTGTTTGGCATATGCATTTGTGTGTATGAGAGCGAAACTGGGTGTTAATGACAGCGGATGTCACTTAAATTAAAATTGAGTCTGTCATCAACAAGCTTCGTCCATTTTAGGAGCTTCTCTCATCACACCGCATGCAAGTCTCCCATCTCTAATGTCTTGTGCTTAAAACATAACTTTAAACTCACTTCCCTTTAAGAATCATGTATATGTTCACTTGCATAACAAATCGATTTATGAAAAAATGTAAAAAGTGGTTCCCTGTTTTGTTTCATGTATATATTTCCGTCATGACAACTGTCAGAGAGATTAAGCATGGTAATTAATATGTATATGGTAATTTTGAAATGTTTGGTCTTGCAGGAATAGATCTTGAGCTTCTGCTACTGCTTTGATTATTATGGCAAGCAAATACTGATACTTGATGCTGCATGCAAACTGAGAATATAACACACTGCTGGTGCAAACATAATATAAGCAATTGAATTCAGAATTATTAGCCAACCTTTTTTTTTTATTATATTTCTCAAATGATGTCAAACAGAGCAATGAAATTTTCACAGTATGTGTGATAATATTTTTTCTTCTGCAGAAAGTCTTATTTGTTTTATTTCTTCTAAAATAAAAGCAGCTTTTAATTTTTAAAAGCAATTTTAAGGTCAAAACTATTAGCCCCTTTAAGCATAATTTTTTTCAATAGTCTACAGAACAAACCATTGTTATACAATAATAACCTGATTAACCTAGTTAAACCTTTAAATTTTACGTTAAGCTGTATTGAACTGTCTTGAAAAATATCTAGTCAAATATGATTTACTGTCATCATAGCAAAGATAAAAGAAATCAGTTATTAAAGATGAGTTATTAAAACTATTAGGTTTAGAAATGTGCTGAAATAATCTTCTCTTCATTAAACAGAAATTGTAGAAAAAATAAACATTGTGGGTAATAATTCAGGGGGGCTAATAATTCTGACTTCAATTGTGTGTAACTCCCGTAGCAGATCTAAACTGAGGTGGAGCTGGGGTGGAGAAGGATCTCTGAAAAATGTGCTGCAATACTAGAGTGTAAAACAACATTTGCTAATTTCAAGCGAAACGTATTGTACTAATGATAATTGTAATTATGCTAGAGATGTCTAATAAATCAATGCCAATATTACCAATACAGCGTCATATATCTTTTTTTTACATACAGTATATTGTTAACAGAAAATGGTGGCAAATGTAATACCATGTAATATACAATTAATTTATTAAATAAATACATTCTGTTAATAAATAATTTTTTTTTGTCTAGACTTTTACATAGTGATTCCCTGTCTAAAACATTATATGATCAGTAAGTCATGACAACATATGTTTTTAGTTAATTCATATAATAAATAGTTTTTGGTTTAACTAATTAAACTAAGTTAATCATGTTCCAACTTAATTTTATGAGTTGCACAAGCTGATTTAGTTTAATTAGTTCAATTTAGTTTGATATAATAGAAGTTCAAATGACTCAAAGTTAATTTGATCCGCTTAAAAATTTGAGGAAACCAGTATTTTTTTGTTACAGTGCATAAACATTATTATGAAAATTTATTAAAATGTAATAAGTATATAAGGTCACAACAACTAAGCTTAATTACACCAAAAAGCAGGCCTCATTTAATTTTATATTCTATTTGAAACTAAATCTAAAAGGTAATTTTGGGTGCAATGCAACTCATGCACATTCTTAATAGGCTTCATGAAGTTTACCCATAAACACTGCTGTGAAGCCTGACAGATCAAAGTCGTGCACATAATGACAGAAAGCACCCCAGTCTTAATGACTCCGTCAAGTCCAACCCTGATAAAAATCTCTGTCCTGTTGTTAACCCTGAACGTCTCTTACCTTCAGGTTGAGTGGGTTGATGATGTTGTGGGTGGTGCAGTTAACCGGGCCCTCCGTGGTGACCTCCAGCGGGTAAATGAACCGGTTACTGTGAAGCCTCATGGGGCATTTGAGCTGCAGTAAAGTGTGACTGATGCGACTCGGCCCATTGTTCACCAGCTGAGAGAGAAAGAGAGAGAGAATTAGAAATTAGTAAAGTTTTACAAATAATAATAATAAAAAAATCATTCCATAACTACACAACTATTAACCTATTACAAATGCATTTTAAAGAAAACACTAAAAAATATTAGTTATATTAGTACTATTAGATTAGATTAGATTAGATTAGAGTGAAAATTATACATTGACAATCGAGGGGGGTCAAGTTTTTTGATGATATTCGGTAATGTGCCACTGTGAATCAAACTTCTATATTTAATTTAGTTCCATCTAATTTATTAATCAATTTGTGTGGATTTTTAGTGTTTCTCAATGACATTTGTGATATTAAGTAAGCATATTAAGGGATGACCATGAAAAACAGCACGTATTTTTTATTTTACTGTTTAACTTTCATGTGCAAGCAGGTGTATAATAAAATACAAACTCTGCATCAAATTTTACGGACACCTACAGATGCCTATTTTACAAGAAACTTGTTCTGTGAATACGTAACACTGTCTGTTGGTGTTCTAGATTTGCCTGTTTCAAACCGCTAAATTATTAATTTTTGGCGCAAACATGCATTCACAATGATATGAACCATTACAAGGGTGATCAAACGTGTATTTAAGTGATCTATTATTTCAATTATTAATAATATCTAAGATACAGATCGGAGCAAACTATTTCTTAACTTTTAAAGGGTAGACCTGCCCCATACATCTTGTTTTGATGTCCTTCAGGGTGGATAAAGCGTTAATTAGGGAGGTCTGACCCACCAACCCCCCAGTTTAGAGTAACAGTAAAGAGAGAGAGACAAACTAGTCAGAAACATTATTACAAACCATGGTAAAGTTGTGTTTTATTTTATATATACTTCCCCCATCACATTAGTCTTTTTTCTTATTTGTGTATGAATTTATAGAAATAATTGTTTTCTTTTATGTACAGATGAAGTCAGAATTATTAGCCCCCCTGAATTATTAGTTTATTTTTCCCCAATTTCTGTTTACTGAAGAAAAGATTTTTTCAACACATTTCTAAGCATAATAGTTTTAATAACTCATTTCTAATAACTGATTTATTTTATCTTTACCATGATGACAGTAATTAATATTTCACCAGATATTTTTCAAGACACTTCTACAGCTTAAAGTGACATGTTTTTGACACAATAGTTTGTTCTGTAGAGAAAAAAATATAGCTTAAAGGGGGCTAATAATTTAAAAAACACCTTAAAATGGTGTTTAAAATTTAAAAATCGATTTTATTCTAGCTGAAATAAAACAAGTAAGACTTTCTCCAGAAGAAAAAATATTATCAGACATACTGTGAAAATTTCCTTGGTCTGTTAAACATCATTTGGGAAATATTTAAAAAAGAAAAAAAATCAAAGGAGGGCTAATAATTCTGACTAATTTTGAATAATTTTAAATGTAAATACATATTATATAATCACTAAAAAGATGTATTATTCATGTAATCTGCAATGCTTTGGCCAGTAACATTATAGAGAGAGAGAGAGAGAGAGAGAGAGAGAGAGAGAGAGAGAGAGAGAGAGAGAGAGAGAGAGAGAGAGAGAGAGAGAGAGAGAGAGAGAGAGATGATTCAAGTGTTTGGTATAATAAAGCCTCTTAACCACAGTGGTTAAACATCAAGGTTACGGTTTGTCATTTTCATGATTATATCGTTTGCCATCATAACCATAGGATTAAGTGGCGCTGCTAAAGTAAGTTCACAGGTGTTTTTGGACTCTCTGCTCATCATAAAGGGATGAGTTGATGCTTTATGCTATTTTAAGATTTATCCATGACAACCTCTGCACGTGTTTGTGTGACTCATCTGTAAAAACCGCACTACATTAAAAAAACGTCATGCAAAGAAACCAAACTGCAAGCAGCAATTTGGAGAACTAACTGAAGAGAAATAGGCTGGGTGACTTCTGTGGTAAATTAAAAAAAAAATCAATAAAAAAATATAATTTTTTATAAAAACAGACAAAAAATAATATAAATTTTTAATATATAAATATTTAAATAAATGTTTATAAAAAATAATAAAATGTTTGCTATATAAAAATATATTATAATAATTTATAAAATAATAATAATATTAATAATAATAAATTACAATTTCACTATATTTTTATTTCGGAGAAGATCTTCATCTGATATTATTATAACTGAGTAACCATTTTATTTGTACTAAAAGTTTGTATTTGTTTGTGATTTTGTTAAGGTTTTTTTTGTAATTTTTATTCATTTTTGTTTAAATAGTTTTAAATATATTTGTTTATTTTATTTTTCATTAAAAGTAAAAGAATATGGATTTAAAAATCTCTTGCCATCTATTGAACACATTTTTTTAAATATTTTTTAAAAAAACATTGAGTATATTTTTTGGGTAAAAATAATTTTTTTTAAATTTCCATTTGCATTTACATTATAATAAATAACAATTATACCTATATTATAATTTAACTAAATATAATAATTCTTCTAATAGAACAAACCATCCCAAATCACAACACATTTTTAAAAGCAAAAAATATGGTTACTCCTTTTCCATTAAATTATATATATATATATATATATATATATATATATATATATATATATATATATATATATATATATATATATAATTTTTTTGTTCGTTTTTTCAGCTATAAAATATAGCTGAAAATATGTCCACGAATAGAAGTTTTACAATCTCTAGCTCAAATATAAGCAAAGCTGCCATTTTAAATATCGACAATTTAACTGCTAGTTACTAGGCAACCATACATCCCAAAATGACAACATAGGGATTTCCAGCTGTTCCTCTGGATGCCTCCCAGTCCCCAGACAAGCTCTTTACCTCGTAAGTGTGCTGGACGGAGGGACCCACATTCTGTTCAACCATCACATTCTTGGTCAGCTTCCAGTTGGGAGGGGGAAAGAAGACCTTGTCTGGTCGGGAGACGCTGTAAAAGGCCAGATAAAGAGCGATGAGTGAGGGAACAGGGAGAGCTGTGGCCTTGTAAAGCACTTAAAAACGAACTCACCCCTGCAGAATGACATCAGAGCGAACCACCACCTCCAGCTTATAAGGGACCACTTCACTTTGAGAGTTGTTCTCATTCTTGCTGTAGATGAGAGATGGTAGATATGCATATTAAAGTTGCCCATATATCAACCACCTTAACAGTCACATATACTGTATTTTTTAAGTATTAAATACTAATTTGAATCGCATATATTATGGCTACTGTGAAGTATATTTTAATATACAGTTGAAGTCAGAATTATTAGCCCTCCTGTAAAAGTTAAATGATTTAATATTTTTCCCTAATTTGTGTTTAACAGAAAGATTTTTTTAAACACATTTCTAAGCATAATAGCTTTAATTACTCATTTCTACTAACTGATTACTTTTATCTTTGACATGATGACAGTTCTTAGGGAAAAATGAATATTTTTTATTATTATTTTTGACTCTTTTTCTTTTCATTACACAATTATTTGTATCGGTCATTTAAAGGTCAGATATTAACTAAAGTTTTTCTGGAGTCTGATGTTTTGCATATTAAAGAAGCATTTTTTCAAAAGTAGATAAATTCTGGTCCAAAATTAAATTCAGCTCTGCAGAAACTTCCTGTCAGCAGAAAGGTGTTAAAACTGAACACAGAAAACAAAGCCTTATGCTTTTAATGTTGTGCAGAGAATTAGTAGGAAAAGAGGACTTATGTCTGGGGTGCGGACAATGAAGGACTGGAGAATGATTGACAAGTGACGAATTTCACTAAACTCCACCTGTTAATATCAGTTACCTTTATAAGTTGAAGTTAGGAAATGTAAACGCTTGCGCAGCTCCTTAATGTAACTTTTGCATTGCATTGAGGATAACAAAATTCTGTGAATAGAACTATTCATTTGTATCCAATAAATTACCAAGATTTTTGACATTGAAGCTCTCCTGACCTTTTTTTATAAAACATGCAGGGAACTGATTAATTCAAACACAGTTCATACTATTTTACTAGATATTTTTCAAGAGATTTCTGTACAGCTTAAAGTGACATTTAACGGCTTAACTAGGTTATTAGGTTAACTAAAGTTAGGGTAATTAAGCAAGTTATTTTATAATGATGGTTTGTTTTGTAAACAATAACAAATATATATAGCTTAAAGGAACTAATAATCTTGAACCTAAAATGTTAGTTTTTATTATAAAAGGCTTATATACAAGCTAAAATAAAACAAACAGGACTTAGTAAAAAATATAGTGCAAAAAGTTCTTGCTCTATTTATTTGGAAAATAATTGAAAAATCAAATAAACAAAATAAAATAAAATAAAATAAAATAAAATAAAATAAAATAAAATAAAATAAAATAAAATAAAATAAAATAAAATAAAATAAAAATAAAATAGAAGTATGTGAGAGTAAAAATTGTAAGACACAGATTTTAAATTGAGTGGACAAAGTTTTATAAATTGTGACAGAGTTACATTAATAAATCACTCAATAGTGAAAACAGGCTTCGGACTGCATATTAAATTTAAATATTGTATTATTTTATATTGTATATTGTATTGTATTGTATTGTATTGTATTGTGGTGCTTGGTTTAAATACAACACATATGAACAGTCTTACCTACGAATCTGAAGGTCAAACTGTACAAAATTGTGTGTGTCCTTGAGACGTGGTACTGTGAACCGCAGACCAGCCCATAGCTGAAAATAAAACAATACTCTTTTTAATAAAATCTCATTAACTCTAAGTAATAAACTTTTCTGAAAAGCACATTAAGTACATATTAATTGATTTATCATAAATGGTCCAACACTATTTTCAATGTCACAATACAGTTCTCCACAGCAAACAAAGTAAAGGAATCCCCCATAATGCTCTGCCATGGCAACAGAATGAATCTACTGGATGGTGGAACATTTCTTTCCTGTATTCCATCCAAAAAACACAAGTGGAAACATGCAAACGCATCCTCTCCCATTCATCTGAGTGAGGTCATGTTGAGCTGCACTATCAAAAGCAGGATTTCTGTGGGGCCTTTCAACGTCTGCAAAAATGAAAAAAATCTATATTTTAGGTCTTAAAAAGTCTTTTGCTCTAAGTGTTAAATAATTTTAAAAGAGTCTTAACTGTCATTGTAACTACCTCTAATTATCAATTAAAGGCAGCAAACATGCTTCAGATTCTTTAATTAATTAATTTATTTTTTAGATTATGTGATGTTGTAGCTTTTTTATTTTGTTAGTCCACATTAATTATCTGTATTATGACCACAAATAAGACCAACATTGGGATTAAATATAATAAATATAATATATTCACAATAAAACCCTCAAATAGATTCACAATGGTCACAAAAGGTTTTAAAGTTCCTATGAAATCAAAAGAACATATTTCAGATGTTAGTCTTAAGGATGATTTATACTTCTGCATCAAGTACACGTGTATGGTCTGGCAAAACCTCCACATGGTCACATAACCCTCTCCGTGGCTGATGTAGATGCTGATGCTCCCCTTACAAAATGTAAAGCTCCTCACGCAAGCTATTAGATTGGTCAGTTTGTAGCGTTGACAAGTTTTTACAAGTGTTGAGTCCTGTGGAGAAGCATCATATGTAAACTTTTGTTTTGAGTTTACCTCACGATTAAAGCTGTTGCATGTCCTCCAGTTTTCACCTTTAAATGAGCAAGTTTTAGCTACTTTTAGCTATATAAAGGTAGTGTTTAGAAAAAACAAAACATCTGTGAAGAAACTCAACAAAGAGAAGCATAAAAACCCGCTGCCAGCTAGCATTTTGGAAGTGTTATTGCAGAGCAACACAAACAGCACGCAGCATTCCATGGCTTTGTGTAAGATAGACGCCGTGGGTCACGCCGATCACTTCACACAGAAGTCTAAATCAGCCTTTAGAGATATCTATCATCTAGTGTGCTCCAAAACAGTGACAAAATTCGCATTAGAAAGATTTAAACGTAAAACTTGCAGTTTTTCACTTCCACCTTAATGGATTAACGACTTTGTGACATCACATAATACTTTAGTTTCTCATTAAAACTTCTGACCTATCAAAAGCCCTCTCATTGTCTGACATACCCCGCCCATTTTCAAGATGCTATTGCTAGATGTTGCTTGAGCTCAACCACTTCCTTGGCAGAGTTGTGATTAAAACAAAACGTTACTGGCTGTGTTTTTACACAGAGGGAGAAGCTACTCTGCATCCCGCCCTGTCTTTATGTTTCAGGCCCCGTTGACACAAATACGTTCTAGTATTAAAACAGCATTTTAGAATGAAAATAACCCGCGTCAGTCCACACTGGCTTTTCATCTAGTGTTTCTGAAAAGTTCTCCATCCACACTACACTGCTCAAAACACACATCACGTGACCACCCACACACACACACACACACACACACACACACACACACACACACACACACACGCACGCACGCACGCACGCACGCACACGCACACACGCTCTGGCATGCACTGCAGCGTCTGAGCTCCAGGCAGTCAGTGGGAAAAATGATGAGAGTTTTCCAGGATCAAATAGAAATAACAAAATGGGAGGGTGGTGGGAGATGGGTCTGAAATACCGGAGACTCCCAGGAAAAACGTGAGTGCTGGCAGGTATAATTAAAACTGATATTCAGCAAAAGAGAAGGTGTGTTTCATATTTTCAATAAAAATGAAAGGAGGCAGTAATGTTATAGGCTGTGTTTTGTTAAAAATATGCATACAATGAAGATGACGGTGATATAAATATGTAGCTACATGACGCCTCAACATTTTTGGTGCCTTTAAGTTGCTAATATCAAAATGAAAAATGACAGTTCCTTATATCATGTTTTCATTTTATTGTTAAGAAAGTAAAACAACGTAGCCAGGGTGATGTGAATGAGGTTATAAAGCGCAGTGTTCTTTTTGAAGATCCTCCCGACATGTCCTCGGGAGTTTGTTTTCCATATTAAAAATGCGAAGTCAGAACCTACAAAGAAAGGATGCAAGACTGAACTTTGTGTAGGCTACTTAATATTGAGGAGGAAGCCCCAATCAGATAGTAGAATGTCTGCAGCCCCACCTCCGTTTTCAGATGTCTCCGTTTTCCCCCATCTACACTGAAACAGAGCAGCAGCGTTTCAAGATGAAAATGGCCTCTTCAACATTTTCAAAAAGCTCCATTTTCGGTGCTCAAAAATACCAGCGTAGTGTGGATGGAAGGTGTAACTGGGGCAAAACGTATGCATTTTAAAATATATTCGTGTAAACGGGGTCATAGTTTATGTTACAAAAATGAACATTTTGAAACATTTCACCGATCCTGACTTGGTGAAACCCACAGAAACCCTGACCACTAGTTACAAGCCTCAGTCCCATAGTGCTGAAATCTCCTACCAACCACATACTGCATGGGGGATCCAGCGCTCATTTTATATTTGTGGTTTTATGTTCACACCACATGCTCAAAAAAAACCTAAGACCCCATACCAGCAGCTGTTTTGTGTGAGAGTTTGTGTGTGGGTGTTAATGAACGTGTGTGTGTGTGATGTGTGTGATTTCTGAATTTCTCATTACACAAGATAAGATTACAGATAGAGCCCAGTCGTTTTGAGGAACCTCTTTGGTGGTCCATAAAAAATAATGGGCTAAAATTACGTTAATAGTAAAACAGCTGAATAAAACACCTAGATAACCTGCCCTGAAGTGACTACAAAAATAAACAGAGGTGTATGGAAACACATATTGAGCAGTTTGAATACTCAACCAACTATAGTCCATCTCTACAGACACATTTAAAAAAGCCATAAATCACTCCACCTTCACAGAGTGCCATGTTGTAATGGGGAACTCCAGTCTGTAATGGGGCAGAGCCAAAATGACAGTCACTTCCTGCATCGCTGGTGGGAACTTCCTGCCCGTCCAAACATGATCTAACAAGACCCCCAGACAGCACTATGAGCTGACTAACACACGTTAGATGAGTAATAAAGCGTATATGACTAACAAGACACATAGTAAGGTCTGGTTTTTGTTTGGAAAAAAATGCTCATTTTCAGCAGTCAGCAGTTCCATGACTTTTCCGGTCATTTGTCATTGGAAAACTGGTTAATTAAATGTTATGTACGGACATCACAAACTCAAAAGGTCGTGATCTGCACTCATTGAGTAATTCCACTACACTGTTAAAAAATGCTGTGTTCCACACAATCCCTTCCCATTGTCTTAACACAAATTAAGTTAAATTAATTGGTTTTACACATTCAAGTGGACTTAAAATAAAACAATTGAATTGTCTCAAAAAATGGAATTGTGTTCATTTTAAATAGGTTTTTATACCTTAAAAAGTAATTTGAAGAAGCTGCAAAAATTATTTGAGTGTATCTTTTTTATTATTACATGAGTCTGTGTCGCGAGCTGTATGTGTGCGCTTGGCAATAGCCTTCACTGAATGCGCGCGCACAGCCCACAACTGTGAAGGCTTTTATATTTGACGCGCTCACCGGAAATAAAAGCATTTATTATGCGAGACTGCCAACTGTGCAGACAAATATCAAATATGGCAAATTAGAAAAGGTTGGTCAGTGAAATTGTGCTACTGTAAGTGATGTTTATTCAGCAATAATTCTCCAGTACCGATAGCAGAACCGTTAACGTCAAAGCTTATCGATACTTCTGTCTTTTATAATGTAGCACCAATAACAATAAAGTTTCAGTACCCATCCCTAGTAAATACATAGTGTTGCCAGATATAGCTGAATTTTTCAGTCCAAAAACTGTCTAAAACCCACCCAAATGCACAAAAAAAAAAAAAAACGGGCAAATAATAGACTAATATTTTATTTTATTTAAATTTATGTAAATAAAAAATTAGCCTAGTTTCTTTAACTATCATTTTTTTAACCATACAGCAACCAATTCCAACAGTCACCAGAGAACAGAACACTAATAATAAAATTACAATATAACTGGATCACATCGAAACACTGCACCCATCTCACCCACACGCTGCACTTATTGTGGTGGACTGTAGATTACACTACCTATTAGTGTATGTTTTACTTTCAAAAATGCTGTATAAATTCATAAAAATTGTCCTGATAAACTGAGTTTAATTAAACCGAGTTTAACAGCATGAGTTTAACTGCATAACGCATTTGTACGCTAAGGGTAGTCAAATTTTAATACAACTTTCCTTCACCACCCCTTGAGGGTGGGTTCATGCAGTTTACCCTATGCACTGGTCACTAATAACAGAATGGACTAGGAGCACACAGTTATGTTTTGTTAAATCATTTGCATATAAAATTTACATTTTAAAACTGCCAACATTATGCCATCCTGCCTATAGCATTCTTTAGCAACACAATCAAATTCAAAGCCACCCAATCTGGCAACACTGATTGTAAAAAAAAAAAAAAAAAAATCTAATCAAGATAAAATGTAAGAGCTCAGCATAACTATAACTATAACTATGTGATCACACCGCTGTTGGAGAGTATCAATATTTGCTCTCACCTTGACATCAAAATCAAAAAACACGTTAAAACACTGCAAATCAATTTGATATCAAAACTCTGACGTCCATTTGACAAACATACATAGGTACGCCAAATATACCACCAAAACAGTGACACAAAAAGTATTATATTATAAGAAATAATATGAAAAATAGCTTAAATAATTGTCAGCCACACTGGCAAAGCAGTCTGATGAAAATACCCTTGATAAAATGTGCTCTTCAGTCATCCCAACGTGAATTCTCAAGCCACTCATGCATGTAAACACAAACAGAAAGCAGAGTAAAATAAAGCTGCTTACGCTGGTGCCCGACTTCATGGGGTTCCCCAGGTCACAGCTGAGGTAACGGGTCTGATTTTCCGTCTCGTAACTGCAGGTCAGCTGGGTCAGGCTCTGTCCAGAGAAATCCAGACAAATGAGTGAAAAAGACGCGTAAATCTTGGGAAACACACACAGAGATAACTCACAGCAACTGACTCGGGTCTTGACCTGTTTAGTCCAGTGCTGGTACTACTGCTGAATGATACATTTTTGCAATGAATCATCATTACATATGGTTTAAAGTTCAAAATAAGCACAACAGTTCACTAAAACAGTGGTTCACTCTTTTTTTTAGTAGACTAAGATGTTATTGTGAGAGCAATTTATCTGTAAAGTTATAAGAACAGCATGTATTATGTTCAAAATGAATATGTTTAAAAGGGGAAAAATATTTAATAATTATTCAAATAATTGATAACAGCACACAAAAAATATGATTATAAACAAAATTGTCTGAAAAAATGCCAGAATTGTGAGGAAGTCAAAATTATGAGCTGCAGATTCTGAATTGAGTGGAAAAAATTAAATAATTTGTGACATAAAATTACGTTATGGAATAAAAATATAGCTTTTTATTAATATTACATTAAAACATAAAATAAAATAAAAAAATTATTGCATGGCAGAAACACGTTTTATATTATATTATATTATATTATATTATATTATATTATATTATATTATATTATATTATATTATATTATATATGATTAATAGCGAGCAGTTATTATAAAGAGTTACCAAATATTTGATTTGATATTTGATCAAACTATTTCATTACTGTAACAAAATGCAATTGGATCATAACTTAATATTTAAACATCTATTATAACATTATTTATCCATATGTGGCTTTGAATTATCTGAAGCTATAGAAATTAAAACTACAACAGGAAATACGTTGGGACCATTTTTATTTACATTGTTCAAATGGTCCATCTGAAAGTTATTTGACTGATTTAATAAAAGAACAACTATAAAACTCTTATTTCACGTGGCTGCCATTTTAAAGAACCAAATCGAGGCTGCAGTGGGAAGTATAAGACCAGCACTGTAAACATTGCAGTAACATGCTGTGGAAGCAGATCAGTCGAGTCATCAACCGGATCGCTTGCCTGTGTTTGTACTCGATAAACAGCAGAGGGTAAACTGATGACCTTCTCTGCCAATCACAATTCTTTCTGTTGAGCATGTGAACACGATGGCAAATCAGCACTGTTTTAAGAAAGCCATCAACATTGCCTTAAATGTTAGTGGAAAATTGAAGGTTTTTCTTTTAATTCAGTATCCCGACAAGTCTAATTAGTGAAAGAATCAGTTCATTAACATTAGTTTGTTAAATGGTCTCTAAAATGTGTGTTTGGAAAAGAAAACATAAACTAACTAGTGCTATTTCCCTTAGCTGAAAATAAGCTCTGATATCCCTTTTTATTTTTACCATTCATTCAGAACGGACCTTCGGGTCACTCGGAAGGCAGTGAAATTATATATTTGTGTCACTGTCTCTTTGCTGATAAGATATAATAATAATACACCCAGCTACACAATGTTCCTATGTAACTCCCAACGATACCTCCGGGTTTCTTCCCACCGCAGCCTCGATTTCGCTTTTAAAAAATGGCGGTCGAGTGAAATCAGTCTGTGTTGTTGTTTTTTTTCACAATATAATTTCTAGTCATTTCAAAAACTGTTGTCACGTTTTGCCTCTCTTCAGGATTCCTCACCACATGTCTCCATTAATAAAAAGCACATCTTCTCCAGAGAATCAAAGCAACAGAACAAAGGTCTTTCTCAGCTGAAATGCTGAACACATGTAGGAGTTAATGGCGGGGGTCTGGCACACGTCTGTGTAATAGGCAGCACCTGGAGGGAGGGTCTCCATCTCTCACCTCATTATTTCGGGCTATTCCGCTGTAGTCGGCCTCTGGTGGTAGGACCACATACAGCTCTGCCTCGTAAGCGCCGCCTCCGTCGTTTTTCGCATTGAAAGTCAGGGTTAGAGAGTTGTCGTCACCCATGTACACTTCCTTCCTGTCCCTGTGGAACCCAAAAACATGGAAATGCCATGAAACTCTTGCGTTGGTAGCTAGATTACCTTCTGGGACAGTTTATTAGGCAAAAATTGCAATTTATGCTCAATGAAACAAAAGTTGGGTGAGGAGATACGAATTAATGTCCAATAATTAAATCCTGTATTAACCTTTTTAATAACCATGTATTAATCCACTATAAGAACAAAAACTATTTACATTTATTACATAGGGCAGCACCATCCTTTCCTTTCCTTCTTTCCTTAACATCTTTCCCTCCTTCCTTCCTTCCTTCCTTCCTTCGTCTTCCTTTCCTTTCTTCCTTCCTTCCTTCGTCTTCCTTTCTTTCTTTCCTTCTTTCCTTGTCTTCCTTCTTAACTTGCTTCTTTCCTTCCTTCTTACCTTATGTCTTCCATCCTATTTTTTCCTTTACTTTTTTCCTTTCTTCTTTTCCCCCCTTCTTTTTCTTCCTTCCTTCCATATTTTTCATGATTTCCTTCCTTCTTTCCTTGTCTTCCTTCTTTCTTTCCTTACTTCTTTCTTTTTTCCTTCCTTCCTTCCTTCCTTCCTTCATGTCTTCCTTTTTTCCGTTCAGCCCTTTCCTTCCTTCCTTCCTTCTATCTGTTCAACCCATTGTTTCCTTCCTTCCTGCCTTCCGTCCTTCATGTCTTCCTTTCTTATTTTTTCTTTACTTCCTTCCTTCATTATTTTTTTGTCTTCCTTCTTTTTTCTTTTTTTTCTTCCTTACTTCCTTCGCCTTTCTTTCTTTCCTTTCTTTTTGAGATGAGTTACAACATTTAATACAAATTTACAAACTATAACAATATTCACATGTACAAATTTTCAAATACATTTAAATATACAAATTTTGAGTTTTAGAATTTCTATTATTTCAGCTTTAAGGATCTTTTATGGCTATAAATTCGACCAGGTAATACAATACCAGCAGCAAGGTTAAGATAAGACCGTCTTTTTACACTTGACGTTTAAATACAAATCTTTTTCAAAAAACTTTTGACCAATTTCTGGATTCCTGTTTAGGAAAGAGTCTATGGAAGGGTCTATGTATGGACTTTTTTGATCTTTCAGCATAAATTTGCAAAATAAACCTGCAGCTTTCATTTCTCCTCCAAAAAAGTCTTTTTGTGTTGCTTTCTTTCACACAGCCTAGTTTGAATCCCATCACTGTATTTTTAAGAATTAGAGAATTCTGTGGCTCTTTATTCACATTTACATTACAAAAATACACTGGTGAATGTGTTTTTGAATACTTCTGGAACTGTTTTACTGGTTTTAGACCCTTTTTTATTTGTATTTAGTGCAGTTCACTTGTGTTAAGATAAACAAAAACATAGTTTACTTCCAGGTGTAAACAGAGCTAGATATTTGTCCAACTACTCTCTAAATTTGTGGTCAGCACATTTTTTCCTATCCTAACAAACCATACATCAGTGAAAAACCTATTTATTCAAACTAAATCTCTCTATAAAAAAATAACTTATTACTTTGTGGTCCATGGTCACATTTATACCTTATTTTCACTGTAATTTTTGATTCATTTAATGCATCCTTGCTGAATAAAAAGTATATTAAAAAGTACAAGTTTAATCTTTTGAACAGTAGTCGAATTCTGCTGATCTAGCGGTGAAATGTCACCCAGATCGTTCCAACAGGAAGCCCTTCCTCCAGCATTATACACACATTTCCTATTAAAAACCCCTAATTTCCATTGTAGCTATAAAGTTCAACATGCAACGACAAAGACTATGAAACATTCAACAACGTTCCCTTTTTTTCTAATTCCTGCATGTTTCCTCCCCCCTTTCTTTCTTCTCCCCCCATCTCAGACACAATGAGAAATTCCATGCGAGGGCCACACAGACGCTTCCAATTACCGCCTGGCCTCATAAAGCCACGCTGGGGAAGCCAACTCAAACGCTGGCACTCGGCTGGTGGCGACTCCAACCTACGTGGAAGCTGCATTTTCATAACAAACCCCTCAGGATGACATATACAAGACTGAGGTCGTGTCACAATGAGGTCAAGATGTGCATTCAGTGGCTAATCAGAATTAATATCATGAAACGAACACCACAATAAGTGATTTTTAAGTGAACTAGTAAATTTGGCTGGACGTCCTCAACCTGGAGCTGATGAATAGCCTGGTTGTCTAGATATAGTTTCATGTTGTCTTCTAAATTATAACCCCTCAGGTGAATTTCCAAGAGGAACTATTTTGTGCGCTTGTTGAATGTCACAGTTTAATAAATATGGGACCTAAAACAAATGCAACAAATCTGTGAGGTTTTAGGGAAGGCGCATTGTTGCAGTCGAAGAATAACAGATGCAAACAAATCTGTGTATAGAAGAGAAAGAAAATAGCCCACAGATTTCACAAATCAACTGCAGGGAACTTGTATCTGTAGAAGAAAAGAGATTTCCAAGCCCAGAATTTTTTAAGCTTATTCATTTAATCTATAGTTTTTTTGTCCCATAAACCAAGTCAGCCAATTGCTGCACCTGTTGCGTGCAAACAAACATGCAACAAACAAAAACAGCTATGCATGTCACTAATCTTACCTGGATACACTTAGTCCCAAAGCTGTGACTCATCACATTTATTTATCTAAATATCTAATCTGAACAGAAGCTGAAATGGCCATTACTTATTTTTATGTGCCTAAAATAGTTATGCTTAAGTGTATATTGTGCAACACGTGGACAAAACCCCAATGCTTTTTATTCCTTTTTTTGCATTCCCTGCTAATCATCTTACCCGTGCACAGAGAGTTTCAGGTCAGGGACGCAGATGTTGTCCTCTCCGCAGTCCAATAAAATCTGGGCCTAGAACACAAGCCAGAAAAGGTTAAGGTAAGTTAACTGGCAGATTGTAGTCAATGATAAATTGTAACTGAATGAAATAAAGTATTATAAGAGTAAAAAGACATTATTGGAGGAAAAAGAAATTATTTTATCTTAGGTAATGATTCAATGCTGAAAGTGGGCATTCTATAATATGAATACAGTCATATGCGAATACACACAACAGCTTTAATCTGCATCTTTTGTCCAGGTCAATACATTAAAAATGCAAACAATTAAAACATTCATTAATTTTTCTTCAGTTTAGTCGCTTTATTAATCTGGGGTCGCCACACTGGAATGAACCGCCAACTTATCCAGCATATGTTTTACGCAGTGGATGCTCTTTCAGCTGCAACCAAGAATTGGTAAACATCCATACACACTTAATCACACTTATATACTACAGCCACATTAGTTTATTCAATTCACCTAGAGCACATGTCTTTGGACTGTGGGGAAAACCAGAGCACCCGAGGAAATCCATGCGAACTCTGGGAGAACATGCAAACTCCACACAGAAATGCCAACTGACCTAGCCGAGACTCGAACAAGCAACCTTCTTGCTGTGAGGTGACAGTGCTAATCACTGAGCCCATGTGTCGCCACTAAAATATTTCAACATTTGTTATTATTATTATTATTATTATTATTATTATTATATATTTTGTAGTAGCAGATAACAAAATAATTATAATAATTCATTCATTCTATTTGTCGGCTAAGTCCCTTTATTAATCCGGGGTCACCACAGAGGAATGAAACTTATCCAGACTGTTTTACGCAGCAGATGCCCTTCCAGCTGCAACCCATCTCTGGGAAACATCCATTCCTGCTCATTCACACACATACACTACAGACAATCTAGCATACACAATACACCTGTACCACATGTCTTTGGACTGTGGAGGAAAAACCGGAGCACCCGGAGGAAACCCAACCAAATGCAGGGAGAACATGCAAACTCCACGGAAACGCCAACTGACCCAGCCAAGTCTCGAACCAACGACCTTCTTGCTGTAAGGCAACAGCGCTACCTGCCCCATCGCATTGCCAATTATAATAAAAGTTATAATAATAATAATAATCATATTTTAGGGGCTGATTATGCAACAAAATTTTCAGCCAAAAATGGAAACTTTTTAAATGTTTTGCCAGTTTGTTTACACTAAAATATTTTTTGGTTTGAAAACGCAACTAGAAATCAAGTTTCAAAGTGGTTTTGAGTTTCGGTAATTATTTTAATGGATCCGGCGTTAACTTGTGCGTATTTCCTTTTTTTTTTTTTTTTTTAAAAACCATAAGTAAATCTGACAACGAGCCTGATCAAAAGGAATCTCTAAAAAAATGGAACTGCATCCCTGGATCAGGATAGGAGGAGACAGAAGCAAAGTGAGTCAAATCAGCCAGTAAACATGACAGAAGAGGTTACTGTGAATCTTCTTGAAGAGTCATTTAATTATTTATTTTTTACTTAGACGTGAACCATATCAGTGGTGTTAGTAAGCAGAATAGTGATGTTTCATAAGAGATTTGTTTTGTAGATATTTTTTAATCTTATATGGCACAAAATTATTAAAGACCGTTCAGAAATGTGATGCTTTATTTTGAACTATCACCATTTAATGATGTAATGTTCTGTAAAAACTGAAATTGTGTGGCAGACGTCGGTCATTGTAACTTTTATTTCCTGGTTTTGTTCCGGGAATTATTGATTTACAAATTAAGCACTGGTTGTTGCTCAAAGTTTCCGAACACTTTATACATATCAAAGCTTTTTAGGCCTTTTCGCAGATATGTGTACTTGTTTTTAAAAAAGATTTTTTTCTCTCCATTTTTGGGTACATCTTTGTTGTGTAAACATAGTCTTACAAAAAGCCCAAAGGGAAATGTCAAAACTTTGAATAATGTCAGAAAATACCCTATGAATAGTTCACAATAAGACATAACAAGAACCATTTTAACATTAATGATAAATTCAAGAATAATAATGGACACTTAGTCATTCATTTATGAGCACTGCACTGTAAAAAAGGACTCCATCACATAATTTCTTTAATCATTTATAGAGCAGTCACTTGTGCATCATAGCCCTAAAATAAGCATAACAGACACACTTCCTATAACCAATAACCCAACAATCTCTGGCCACTCCACAAAAATATAAAAACAACCCAACAAACCTTAATGTATAACCAAAGCTTTTTGCAGAGCACTCAGATAAGTTCTTAGTACACACCAGACACTCATTATAAACAGTCCACCCAGTTAGGTCAAGTATTAGCGCATGGCCATGTAATCCCCAGAGGAGAGAGTCATTCAGAATGACTATAAACATTAGCATTAGCATCAGTAAACATCAGTCCTCAACCTACTGAATGTGAAGTTTTACATTAGTAAACACTGCTGAATGAATCCCGGCCTGAGGAGCAGATGTGAACGGGTTTGAAAAACGTATAAAGCTCCTTCGAAGGGCATAAAGAGCTATGGGTTTACCCATAAGACTGTTCAATCGGCCACCAACATCCACATCTGAGGCTGCCGATCCTGAACCACATGCTAGCTGCACGCGACACCACCCAGCCCTCACCACACACTCAATATATATAAATATATATATATATACACATCTACAGTGACCACCGTATATGATACACCCAAACAGATTTCTCAGGAAAACATCACTCTTGCTTTTAAATTAAAATATTATATGGGATGCCATTGAGTGGAAATATGGTTTATTGGTTTTTACATTAGATTAGTCGGTACCAAAGGTAATAAATAAATAAATTAATTAATTAATTAATTAATTTAAGATCATGGTGCAAAAATAAATACACCCCAATGATTATGTTAAGATAAAATATTAAATAAATCAAAATCAATGGGTCATTTATATATTACATTTAGTTAATACTTTACTACATTTAGTAAATACATTTACTAATGAAATTTTTGTAGGTTTTAATTATATTTGAAATAGAGCTGCACAATAATACATTTTATATTGATTGTGATGATTTTGTAGGGGAGTGAATCTGCATAAAATATAATAAACATATTAGAAGCATAAATTAATACAATATAACAAAGATACAAACTAAATAAACAGGGCTTTATGGTTTTCTGGAGAGCATCCGCTGTGGTAAACATATGTTGGATAAGTTGGCAGTTCATTCCGCTGTGGCAACCCCTGATGAATAAAGTGACTAAGCCAAAGAAAAATGAATGAATAAACGAAAATAACACAACTTTGCTGAAAAATTGTATCCAAGGTCAATTTTGAAAAACTTAGTTTGATCCACTTCAAATGTTGACTACTATAGGCTTCATTATCTAAAAAAATTAATTACAATTCATAAGTTAATAGTTTGCAGACAAACTTTTTATAATTTCTAGTGCCCAAATGATTTAAATGTGCTTGAAATCTTACATAAAGACAGGAATAAAAAAAAAAAAAAATCTTTCACTTTTTAGGGTTAAACTTTGTCCTGAACTGTGTTTTCTGTTTAATCATAATCCCACTTGACATTCTTCAAGGTGAAGATAACTAAAGTAAGAAACTCTGGTTATTTATAGTGAGTTAGGAATCATCTGATTGGTGAATCATGCGTTAGTAGCAGGACCAACCGTGATTAATCATAAGCACGTTCTTCTCTCGAAATTATTTAATAAATAATCTTCACTTAATAAGTCTTTTTTCGTAAAAATGTATTAATATATACTATGCTGAATGTTACATGATTGCAATCAGTAATATTACACAAATTACAAATATTATATTATGTTTACATTAATAATATTCCATTATATTGATACTACTATAATTCTTTATAATCATTTGACAATACGAGTAATAATACTGAAATTTCCACTTTTTTATTCACTGGAGTAAAGACAATTTCAAACTTTAATCAATAAGAATTGTAATATAATTTACAAAAAGTACAATTATTACAGTATTTTTTATAAAACAAATGGCAGGTTAGCAGAATACTTTTCACCAGTAGTATATATTATCCAAATAGATAAACAAATCGTAATTTTAAAATCATAATCATCATGTAAACACACATCAATTAAACCACACACATATTAATGAGAGACCGTCTATATACACTATAAATGACTGAAAAAAATAAAGAAATGGGGAAAGTCATATCGGCTAATTGCTACCACCTGACGCTGAACATCCAACATGTGCGAGGATGACGCAACATGACGATGAGGACACAAAAAAAAAGTAAAAGAGATTAGAAAGGGCAAATTGTCTTCCCTGTAATCAGCAGTTTCAGAGCTCTAATTAGACCGGCCGCTTTTTCCACAGCTCTGCATCAGGCCTTTCTGAACCTCCTCAAGAGGATTGTTTGGATTCACTGCAGCAACCAAACAATTAGAAAGCACAGATACTAGAGGATGGTCAACATGTGCATATGTCCTTCCTAAACCAGCTTCAAGTGTTTACGGAAGTGTCAAGCATGAATGGGTCAGCAAACCAGAGGACGACACAACATTTGTTAAAGGGAGGCCCGAAACATGTTCATTCATATGAGAAGCTTGACATTACTCGTAATGTGCAAATATAAAGCATATGAATGCAATTTTGTTCAGATGAATTCATCAATTCATTAATGATTGAAATAGAAAGGCCTGCCTAGTTTGCAATAGAAAACAATATACATTCACTATTTTTAAAACATCATCTAGATATCTAGAACTAAAACATCTAGAACTACATCTAGAAACTAAAAAAATATTATTGCTAAAAATGTATTATTATTAGACAGAAAGACAGATAAATAGATAGATAGACAGACAGATGAACGGGTGGACGGATGGATGGACAGAGAGACAGAGAGACAGACAGACAGACAGACAGACAGACAGACAGACAGACAGACAGACAGACAGACAGACAGACAGACAGACAGACAGACAGACAGACAGACAGACAGACAGACAGACAGACAGACAGACAGACAGACAGACAGACAGACAGACAGACAGATAGATAGATAGATAGATAGATAGATAGATAGATAGATAGATAGATAGATAGATAGATAGATAGATAGATAGATAGATAGATAGATAGATAGTAAATAATTCATTTATTATAAAAGCTTTTATTCATCAAAAACGAAGTGCTTTCACTTTGGCCTGAATGACTGAAAGTTTCAGTGGACCGCTCCCTCTGCAATGTTTCCAAGACCTTTGGCTTGAATGTTTTATGCATATGGAGAGATCGACCCACGTGTTCGGCACAGTCTCAATAACTACCGACAGAAAACTGCCACCCAAAATGTTAAACCTAAACAGACAACACATGGTCTGTGAGAGGGTCTGCCCAGGAAAAAAAAAAAAAACACAAATCTGTTCACCCTCCATATGCACACACCTCTCCACAAGGCACAGTAGTTTTCTTCTGATAGCACAATGAAAAGTTCTCTGCTGTACCTGCTACGCATTTCCTCTAGCTCAAAAACTGCTTTCCAGACAGCTAGAGAACTTCTTGGTTTTCAGACACTGCACAATAACATTGTGCATGCTTTAGCTATGGTATGGCAGTAAAGTTCCTTAATTATTACGCCACAATGAGAGTAAAGTTCCATACTGGTCTAGAAAATCAGCTATTTTTCTATCTATTTTTCTTCTACGTCAGTCTTAATAATGTCAAGTTGTGAATAGGAAAACCAGTAAAAACTCTTTGATGCTAATGGTCTAATCTGATTTAAGGATTTATGCTAAGCTAAGCTAAAAGTGCTGCAGTCAGAACTTTGGTTCAGCTGAATGGATTCAACAACATTCAAACTCTAAGGTTTACCTCTAGATGAGTTGTAAAAAAAAAAAAATTTTGAAACTAGTGTTTCTTTAACACTGAAAAGTAAATATTAGAAAAGTTCCTTAATTATAAAAGAGTATAGTTCCATATTGACCTAGAAAATGATCAATTTTTCCATTTGACATCAGTCTTAGTACACAACATAACTACAAAAGAGTCGAGCTTTAAAATAGGAAAATCATCAAAACTCTTTAGTCATTTTTGAGTGACATGCTAATGATTTATGCTAAGCTAAGCTAAAATTGCTTTCGCCAGTCCTTGAGTTCGGCTGAATGAATTAAAAAATGTTAAAACTCAAAAGTTGAACTTTAGATAAGTTGTAAGATGAGCCTATTTTTAAAACAAGTAGAGTGTTTCTTTAACACTGGGCCATGATTTTGGTTTTAAACCAAAAGACAAGCACAAAATGTGTCAATTTAATTTATACTGCTGCAATATTTCTCTGTGGTATCAAAATTGGTATCAAATAATATGGTGTTGATTATTTTTAGATAGTTAGATAGTTAGTATAGAATATAGTAGTTTTAGTTAGAAATTCCAGTATCATGACAACACTATACCACACCATGTAATATGACTGTTCATGTAACGCTTTGTGGGATATGTGGAGCAGCAGCAGATGTACGTACTTTCTGTTCAATGAGCTCTGCCGTCTGGTAGTTGAGGATGGGCTGCAGTCCGTGCCTGTCTGCTGCTGCTTGAGGATTCAGGCTGAAGTTCAGAGCAACGAAGATGGGAGACAGTTTATCCCTGAAGTCCTTCTCATCCTACACTCCGGCGGAGAGGAAAACAGAGCGGGAGTTTGTGAGAAAGGTCACAAAGCAGGACGAAATGACACTCTTAATCTCGCGCTGCATTTTTGGCGTCAGTTGCCACACTCATCTTGCTTATCCTCACTTTTAACACTTGTGCTGAATCAAGGAATGGAAAACTCACTTAAAACAGCTCATTTTTCCACTGTTTAGCTCACCGTACTCTTAATTCTCTTTGCCTCACAGCACTGTTCCTTATAAAATGTACATAAAAACCACAAAAAAACCTTCACAAGTTTATTAATGATTAATAATAATACCTAGCGTTGTAACAGTGTCTCATGGCACAGTATTAGCATTAAAGATATTTATTTCTGTATGCATCGAAATACAAGTAGTGATATGGATCCTGTATATTTCACCAAAAATGAAAGTTTAGACAGATATTTATTTACATGAACACTGAATCCATTCATCTATCCATCCATCCATCTAATCTATTTAGTCATCCATTAATCCATCCGTTTGTCCATCCATCCTTCTATTGGTCGTATCTCTCGAATCCATCCATCTAATCTATTTATCCATCCATCAATCAATCTATCCATCTGTCCGTCCATCCATCCATCTATCAGTCGTATCTATCAAATCTATCTCTCGAATCTATCCATGCATCCATCCATCCATCCATCATTCCATCCATCAGTCGCAACTATCGAATCTATTTCTCGAATCTATCCATCCATTGTTCTATCTATCTATCTATCTATCTATCTATCTATCTATCTATCTATCTATCTATCCATCCATCCATCCATCCATCCATCCATCCATCCATCCATCCATCTATCTATCTATCTATCTATCTATCTATCTATCTATCTATCTATCTATCTATCTATCTATCTATCTATCTATCTATCTATCTATTTCCGATGTAAGGCCAAACTGAGTCTTTCATTTTTGTTAACACTTTATCAGATGTCTTAGGTGGGAAAAAGATCAATTTGCCCTAAATATTATATTGTCGCATCAGTAGTGTGTATCAAACCAAGCTGTAGCAAGAGTTTATTGCAATAAGCTAGTAATACCTTTATACAGTGAAAGGTCACCAAAAAATTAACAATAGCATTTCTTAAGCTTGGTTATTAACAAAATGCACATACATATACAAAACGAATATACATTTGCACAAACTCTCATGTGAACTAAAGCCGTTTAATTACCTTCATAAGATCTTAATGTTTCCTCAGAAGCCACAGGTTTAGCTTTGCCTATATATGATTTTTGGACTCTCAAAATGCCAATCACTAACTTGCATTATAAATCAACAAGCACTAAAGTTTCAGCTAAAAATCTTATACACTTCTGAAATCGGTACTATAGGTAACTAATGAAATGCTACCTAAATCTTAAATGGCCTTAGGTTGTGTAGTTTTTTTTATTTTATTTTAGATGAACTTTAAACCTACAATAGTAGAGTAAAAAGACATGAATCAAAGAGGGGGAGCCTATCAGGAAAGGTCTGTGAGCTGGGACACAAACTTGGGATGCCGAAAAGAAGTGTTTAAACTAAGAGCAAAGTGTCACTGTGTGTAAACCATCCCTTTTATGACCAATAAAGTCTCAATTTACAATGCTCAGTCTATAGTTAATTTGAGGTCAAACTCACCCGCAGGTAGATCTTGGTATCGCTGCAGACTCTGGCTCCATTCGGCACAGTCAGCGTCCGATGCAAAGCAGGGAGCTGTGTTTCTAAAAACAGAGCTCTCCGTACGGCCCCTTTCTGCTGTTGCTTCAGACGGTCCAGCTGAACTTCCACATTAAACTCTACAACACACACACACACACACACAGATATATTTAGAAATCAATTTGGCTCCCCATTCAGGTGCAAGACTGCGCCGTGCTGACACAGCACTAAATCTATTGCCTATTGGTCAGATCAGATATTTCTGCTCTGGCGTTAGGTGGAAAGTCCTTCCAAACATTCAGGATTTATCATCATCCACCACCTGAAGGGAAGGACTGTTAGAAAAGCTTTTGATGGAAAGGGCATGAAGGAATTTGCATGCATGTTGGGCACCTGTGCTCTGTTATCGGAGCGAGTGCAGTAGGTGTTATTTTTTGCACATAGTCAAGGCCTCTAATGGCAGGGCATATGGTGGTATCATTAGCCCAGAGGGGAATAGAGGGAAGTAATTACTGAATAAATACGTTGTAAAGGTTGTTGATGCAAAAACAAGGGCTTATAGATTGGGGTAGCAGTGAATGCTCTGTTAGATGCCGAACAACTGGTTTATTTTTAAAACAAAAGTTAAATTAACACTGCAGGCAAAACACATGCACCTGCAACTTTTAGATCGACTTCAGGGTTTTTCTGAAGTGTTTTTTCAGTCTAACAGAAAACATCCCATTCGCACTGTTAGGAGTTTCTTTTATACTACTTTATTGATATGTGACTATTTTTAAGGCTGTTTTCTCCCAATCAATTATGCACTGAGCCATATTTCTCCTTCAGAAGCACTTACACACTCCAAATGTTATGATTATATTCATATCTTAATTTTAAATATGTACATAGACATAAATAGACATTTCAGGCTATTAAGAGTATTTTCTTAATTATGCAGTTAACAAAAAAGAAAGATTTTAAAAATTCCCTTTGTAAAAACCTGACTACACTGTAAAAAGCAATAAGTTAACTTTGCTAAAAATAGAGAGTAAACTCCTTGCCTTATAATTATTAAGTGAATGCATAGATATATTAAGCATTGGGTTTACTTACTTTTTTCAACTTGTTGCTTTAAAGGCAACTGGTTTGCTTATATTTTTAAAGTATCTAATTGCTTTTCACAGTGTAATATAGTTTGTTTAAAAAAAATAAATAAATAATCAAGAATATTGAATGAATGTTCAGATTTTTTCAAGTAGCAAATTGTAGTGTTTTTCGTATGCAAATGCATATTTAATTAATGTTAATTAATCTGTTTGTTTAAACATAAGATTCTGGAAAAATACTAATAAATGTTAATAATACATGACAGATTAAAGTATCGCACACCAGACGCGCACATTCGAATGATATTTTACATGAAACTAATCAGATGGCGCTCTGTGGCGCGGCTGAAAAATGAACTGCGTCCTGAGCCGTCGCCGGGCGCCGCCGACAGCCGCCGACTTGCGGCGCCGGTGTGTGTATCCTGATAGAAACCTATGTTTAGAATTCTAAAATACATGGCGCTGCGTGGCGCTGCGCGGCGTGCCGCCGAGCAGCGCTTCTGGTGTGCGACCTGCTTTAGAAGTCTTTGCACACACACACCAGTTCCTGATTCCCCCTAATTAAACACACACAGCTGGAAATTCATGATGGAATGATTATTCATTCATTCATCATTTTCCTGTGGCTTTATTCAACAGGGGTTGCCACAATGAACTGCCAACTTATCCAGCATATGTTTTAAACAGCAGATGCCCTTCCAGCTGCAACCCAGTACTAGGAAACATCCATACACACTCATTCACACAAATAGACCACGACCAATTTAGTTTATTCAATTCACCTAGTGCGTGTCTTTGGACAGTGGGGGAAACCAGCCGGGACTCGAACCTTTTTACTGAGAAGTGACAGTGCTAACCACTGAGCCCCCGTGTCGCCCCATGGACTGATTACTAGGACTATAAAAACACCTCACTCACACACACTCTTACACACACAGACACACACGCACACACACACATTGCTGAGTCTTGTTTACATGTAACAATAAAAAAGCGGGATCATTGTCTAGTCTTGCCATGCCTTTTAAGCCTTGCCTTGTTTCTTGTTTATCCTATTTGCCGCCTGCACCGACCTCTGCCTGTGACCACACTACGATTTTGGATTACCCTTCCTGTTTAACCATTGCCTGCCTGACTAAGCTGTAAATAAACTGCGTTTGGACCCTCACCCTCGTTGTCACCCTGACTCAATGTTAAAAGTGCATTAGCACAAAGGTTTGTCAGACTTCTTTTTACTTCTATTAATAAAACAAAACTGAACTTCAAAATGAGAATATATTTGGACACTGAATCACATTAAGTCTCCTGTACATTACATGAGCAATAGTAATAGTTTGTCGTATGCCATTTACATAACAACCACCAGTGTCGCAAATAATTTTTTCTAAATTCGGCATATTGTTTTAAAAGCTTTCTGTTTGTGATAACCCCGGAAACAGACTCCTATAGCTGGGTAAACAGGAGCAGATGTGACTTACCGAGATGATTTGGCAGGTGCTTGCCATTGGCTGAAAGGCAGAAGCTTAAGTTGACACTGTAAGCAGAAGAGGAGACAAACAATGAAAGATGAAGTGGATTTATTACAGAGAGGCATTAGAAACACATTGCTTACATCTCTTCGGCTATGGAATATTTGGTTTTATTGTTTCCTAGGGCTATATGGCTTGACGGCTGGAAGGAAAGAAGACTAGAGTGTAATGGATCACACAACACATGTAAAGATGTTTTCACCCAGGAGAGTTTAAGGTCGTGTCTGTGCCGGAAACTTTTGTAATATACACTACTGTTCAATAGTTTGGGGGCAGTAAGATATTTTTATTTTATTTTAAGAATATGTTCTTTTTTTCAACAAATATGGCAATATAAAATAAAGCTTTTCTCTATTGTTATATTGTAAAATATATATACAGTGGTCCCTCGGTATACAGTGGTTGACCTTTCACAGCCTCGTCGATTTTTTTTGTGCTATTTGACATGCCTTTTTTCAGTGTATTGTGTTCTGCGTCCTGATTGGCTGTAGACCATTGTCAATCAATGTTCTCCGTGTCTCCTGTACAGTACAGAATGTGTTCAGCTTGCCAAATTAACATAAATCTTTGATCACTAGCAGTGCGAATTTCAACAAGGATGCAAAATAGGGGTCACACACTGGATGAGCTGCGCCACGTGCCACACATCGCCATACAGTTTAAAATTGTAAACATAGGTTTATATCAGGATAGGCACACCGGTGCCGCAAGTAGGTGGCTGTCTGCATTGCCTAGCTACAACCCAGGACATGGTTAATACTTCTGCCGCTATACAGAGCGCCATCTGAATAAATTCAATTTTAAATAATGTGCGAATGTGTGCGTCTCAGGTAGTGTTGCCAACTACTTTTAATGAAAAGGCGCTAAGCTCGACTCAAAAAGTCGTTAGATCGCATCATTCGTCAATTTGCATATTAATGATGTCATCACGTCCAACAGTTTCTTTTTTAACAGTTTTTTTTTACAATTTAATTAATGCATTGTTTGAATTCAGTAGATGTGTAGTGAATTTGCAGAAATCTCAGACATAATAAACTCAGTTTCTAAAGTTCAGAAACTGGTGTCACTAAAAACTCTGTGTAAAAAAATAAACTATCAAGTTTTATTTAAAACAGAGGAGAAGCAGATCGTTTTGACTGTACCAAGGAAACACCTCACACTCGCAGCAAAAATCTGCCATTTGTGAGCAGAGGAATGATCTGCTCTCAGGCTGCAGGTGGGAGAGACGGTAAAAGCCTGTGAGCGCTCAGGTGGGGGAAGGGCTGATGGAACCAAGCGCAGCTCATTGAGAAGAATAGGAACGCTACAGTACGGACACATGAGAATCTATAAAAATGTCCAGTAACAAAAAAAAAGTCACTAGATATGTCCCTTGTCGCTTTTTTTGAAAATGTGTCGCTAGGAGGGTCTGAAAAGTTGCTAAATATAGTGACAAAGCTGCTAAGTTGGTAACGCTGGTCTGGTATTTGTTACTTCCTACTGTCATGTGTGCGGCACATCCAGTGTGCGACCCCCTTAAAGATAGAGTGTGCTTTAGTTTTGTGGATCAATGACGGCAGGAAAAAGAACATTACACTGGGTGCCAACATTATACACACAAAAGCTAAAAGGCTATATGAACCTTTTGCTGACAGCCATGTATGTTTGCGCCTGCCAACAGGTTTTGATCTTTGGTATCATTCATTGGACTAAATTTTTTACAAAGTTTGAACTTTGAGAGTGTTTAAACAAGAGAGTAAAATGTGGAAATGTTAATGCTTGTCTGAGAAAAGCGTATAAAGTGTGTAGTAAGAGGTTTTACAGCCCTAACACAACTATAAAAATTGTAAAAAAATAAAGTTGACTACTTCGCGGATTTCGCTTGTTGCGGATTATATTTATAAAATGTAACTCCCACGAATAATGAGGGACCACTTTATTATGATAGGATAGTAGAGGACAGACAGGAAAGTATTGAGAGCAGAGAGAGGGAAAGAGTCGGCACAGGACTTTGAGCTGGGAATTGAACTCAGGTCACCGTGTGCACCACAGTGCTATAAGTCAACGCAACTAACAACTAGGCTAATGGCGCCGACATTATATAGTATTATAAAAAGCATCACATGATCCTTGAGGAATTATTTGTGTTGATCTGATGCTCCAGAAACATTTCCTATTTTTATGATATATTATGTTTTTGTTATGGAACATGTAACGTATTCAACAGGATTCTTTGATGAAAAAGGATAAAAGTCTTAAGTGTTGCTTTTGATACATTTAATGCATCTGTGCTGAACGCAAGTAATAATTTATATTATTTTAAAAACACAAAAAGTTAAATAAAAAAATTAAGCAACAGTTTAATCTAAAAGAAAGCCTTACAATCTGATCCTTACAATCTAAACCAACTATTTAGATACTTAACTTTTTTTTTTCATCAAGGTATTTATCTATTTTATTGAACTAAATCAGGGTCCAACCCAAATCAATCAAGAAAGAAATACGTTTAATAAAGCAATGGCAGCTTAAAAAAAATTGAAAACACAGCAGAAAAAGGATTGAAAGTTTGAAAGTCGAAAGAAGGATTGAATGAGTTCAAACAACTGTGTCCAATAAAAAGAAAAACAACAAATGGAAATAAATAAATAATGAAAGGCTAAAAAAGGAGAAAAATCACAATCCAGGCTGCTTCTGACCTGTGCAATAAACTCAGTGTTTCCCCATGTGTGTTTCTAAGCTTCAGTATACATCTGTGTGTGTGTGTGTGTAGCTCAGTGCGTCCTGATGTTTCCCAGCTGTGTTCCACCACCAAACAATATCTCATTCAAAGCCACTGCTAGACCCTCTCTCTCTCTTATTTCTCCCAAAAGTCTGTGTCTAGGCAACGACGTGTAATCAAGACCTACGTATACAAACTTTCCTTGTATAAAACAGAACAGGCGGAGACACACACGCTGCACCTCAGACAGAGACCAGCCCTTCAGAGTTTCCTTTCCCTCTGCCGATAGGATGCATATTTCAAAAACATGCGTCATAGAAGTGGGAAAAGCCCATTATATGCTTTTCGCCACCTTCTTGGCTCACTCTATACCAGCACAGCGTATCTAAACCATTTGGAAAAGCCTTTGCTGACAGCATATCTACACCCCTCCAGTGTTGTTGCAATACTGGAATTTCTAACTTCAGTTTTATACCTTGAAAGAAGTTTTGATATTCGACACGAAAAACTGCAGTGTGGCGCAATATTCAAGATTTTTACTTTCATTGTTTTGAGCCTTCTAACATTGCAAAAATTATGCCACGTAGTGTTCTAATACATTTCACAATTGTTTATTTCGGTTTCAGCATTAGAGAAGTAACCACTAGCCTAACATATAAGGAATAAAAGGGATAGTTAACCTAAAAATAAGAATTCTGCCATCATTCACTCACCCTTCACTTGTTCAAAACCTATTTAAGTTTCTTTCTTCTGTTGAACATTAAATAAGATATTTAGGAAAATGCTGGTTGCTGGCTTCTATTGACTTCCATAGTAGGAAAAATACTACAGAAGTCAAAGTGACCCAGCAACCAGCATTCTTTAAAATATCTTCTGAATGTATTCTTCAAAATATCTTGTGTCCCACAGAAGAGAGAGATGCATAAACGTCTTAAAAAGCATGTTAGAGTACATGGAAGGGAGTGATAAAATATCCTTAACACATTACTGAAAACAAGTGAACAGTCTACAGTGCAGTCTACAGTACAGTCCATTATAAACCAATTAGCCAATTACAACCAATGATTCAAATAAAGACAGCTGAAGAAATATACACGCTGTGTCTCATTTCAGATACTGCATCCTCTGAAGGATGCATTCGAAGGGAGCCGTGTCATCGCGGCTTGACGAAGGTTGTCAAATTTAAAAAAAATTAGAAGCTCTTTCAGATGCAGCCTCAAAATGCGTCATTGGTTTCCCAGGTAATGAAGGACACAACTGGTGGATCATTCGCGGCCTTAAACGTTCCAAGATTAATTGCGCTAAAAATAGCAGGATGTGTTTAAAAGAAAACTGTGGTTTAAATGTATGAATTAGGTTTATTTTACTTGGATGTGTAAACACATGTTAAAATACAAAAAGGGTATGACATGTCTTACTAAACAGTGATTTTATAGACAGTTTATATGTTTATGTGTACATGTATGAATCAAAGGAAATATATTTCCAGCGGCTGTAGACCTTGCTTTGCCTTCAGATCGCTTAAAATAAGTTTTAAAATCAAGAGTCATTACAAATTTTATCAGCGCTTATTAACACCAGCTGTTACAGTAGCCTGGTGACGGGATCTGTCCTCTTTAGGCTAGATCGTCTCATCTCAAAATGCTCAGTACGGCCTGTGGAGATTTCGAAGGATTCACCTTCAAAGTCTGCATCATTCGGAGGACGCAGCCTCTAAAATGAGACACAGCTACAGACAAAAACATTCTTTATGTCTACCAATGATTTTGTGTTTTGTTTTATGACTGTTAATGACGACTGCGGTTTTTAGAATGTTGTCCCTTTAAAATTTTTACTTTGGACTGAACTGACTGGAATTTAAAGACATATTTAGAAGGTCTCCATATAATATCATCACAATACTTGTGTCACGATACTCGTGTCACCGATACTTGTCACAAAAATTATTGTGATTTTAAATATATTGTGATATACTGCAATTTATTACCGTTTTAAAACCTAGAATTGTGTCCCCAAAGGAAAACTTTGGCCATTAAGTTTTAGCTAAACAGAAACATTTCTCAGTTTGTTTATCTCATTTCAACCAAAATATATTAGACGTTCTAAAAAATAGCCAAAATCTTTACACTACTAAGTAACTTCATGCTGATGGTGACTCACAAGAACACTCCCATTTAGTGAACGGTAATGAAATTGACTTTAACATTGAACCAAATAGTGATGTTGATATGGGTTGTAATGTATTAATATATATTATTGCCGCAAAAAAATGTGATTTTCCACTACCCCTAATATTTGGCCTATTGAAGCACAACAACTACACTTCCATACGTCCAATGCTGACACACAAAGACTGGGTGCTGATGTAATGACCTAACCTTAAGACCTTAGTCTAATGAAGACTATTTACTGCTCTGAACAAGGAATGCAACAAATTCAAGCAAAGACAGCAGACATACCAGGACACATGCAGCGTCTCATTCCCACGGCTTATGGCGCAGACTTTCTCCTCAGGATTGATCATAATAGGGTAGACATTTAAGATGGCACTGGTGTTCACAATAGGACGGGACCTGAAAATGGCATAACATGAAAAAAGTATTAAGCCTGCACTCGTTTAGATATAAAATTATGATTAAAAGGTAAATATAACTAAACTATTCTAGTTTAGAATAGTTTGGGTTGGTAGGATTTGTAATGGATTATTAGATCAACAGTTCAATATAGAAATAAATGTTTTAAACTAACAATTAAACTAGTGCTGGGCAAAGATTAACCGTGATTAATTGCATCCAAAATAAAAACTTTGTTTTTACATAATATATATGTGTGTGTGTGTGTGTGTGTGTGTGTGTGTGTGTGTGTGTGTGTGTGTGTGTGTGTGTGTGTGTGTGTGTGTGTGTTATATTTATTTATTATGAAGCTATTTCAATTTCTATATATAATTTGCATCATATACATAAATATTCTACATCTAAATATTATCTAAACATTTTCTCAAATATCAGTATGCATGCATGTATTTATATATATCCATAATAAATATACACATTATTTTGGATGCAATTACCAGCAATATTTTTTTCCCAACACTAATTTAAACTATATTTAATACATACTAAATATAGCAAACATTGCAGGTGTCAAATATTATTTTCAGTTTTAAAAATATTTTTTTCGATTCATTTTAAAACACAGTCGATACATTTTCCATCTTTGAAAAGTACAAAGTCCAAATGAACAGCATTGAGTTGAATTCTAAATATACATACAAAAATGTCCAACTTGCCTGTAAAGAACAGCTTTGTCTGCACCAAATGCCCCAACAATGAGATCTGCAGTCACAACAACAAAAAGAAATATGTTATTAGATGTTATTTCAATAATAATGGTTTATGATAGATAAACGGACAATGCTTTCTCACCTGGGTAGCCATTGTTATCTAGGTCTTTGCCTCCGCGAAGTGCATAACCAAAACTAGCAGGTATCGCTGACAGTCCGGCAGAAGCCCATTGTCCAGAGATCACCTGAGAGGGCTTTTCCCTGAGTCCTCCAGCATTCCCATTATATATGAGCACCAGCCCTTGCTTGTCTTCACCACCAAATGGACTGCTGATGGCCACATCTTTGAACAGGAGATTGCAGAATTAGGGGAAAACTGAAGTTTTTGCTAATACCAAAAAAATGTGATTGGCTTAAAAACAGTTTAAATTACAACCATAAATAAATTAATTACCAGATCATATCCAAAAATAACAAATCCTGTCCATATCCAATCCCAAAATAAAATAAAATAATTGAAAAACAATGACGCTAGGTTACCAAAACCATACATAAATTAATTACCAAATCATATCCAAAAATACCAAATCATATCCAATCATAAAATAAAAAAATAAATAAATAAATAAAATAATGATGGTAGGTAACCACAATCATAAATAAATTAATTACCAAATGATTTCCATACCCAATCATAACCTAATATAAAATAAAATAAAATAAAATAAAATAAAATAGAAAAACAAATACGGTAGGTAACCACAACCATAAAAAAATTAATAATCAAATCATATCCAAAAATACCAAATCATAAAATTAAATAAAACTAAATAAATAAATAAATAAATAAATAAATAAATAAAGAGAAAAACAATGAGGGTAGGTAACCACAACAACAAATAAATGAATTACCAAATGATATCCATATCCAATCATAACCAATCATAACCAAAAATAAAATAAAATAAAATAAAATAAAAAATAAATAAAAAATTAAATGAAATAAAATAAAGACAAAAACAATTACAGTAGGTTACCACAACCATAAATAAATTAATTACCAAATCATATTCAAAAATACCAAATCATATCCAATCATAAAATAAATAAAAAAAAATAATAATAAAATAAAATAAAATAAAGAGAAAAACAATTACGATAGGTAACCACAACCATAAATAAATTAATTACCAAATCATATACAAAAATACATAATCATATCCATATTTATTCACAAAACAAACAATCAAACAAAATAAATAAATAAAAATAAACACAACTAAATGAAATCAAATTTAATAAAACAAAATTCTCACCATTGTATCCATCTTGGTTGAGGTCTCCAAGTGGTGTAATGGAGCTCCCAAATCGGGCAAACATTTGTGTGCCGGTGAGGTGAGGTAGCTGAGGAATGAGATCCAGAGGACCTTTTTGCATATACACATAAACTCGACCCAACTCCTCCAACCTCCCATCAGAGTCACGAACCATGAACATGGGAGCGCCAACCAGCAGGTCCATCATTCTGGAGGTGATGCAAACCACAAACTTAAACATTGAACACATTCTTGCGCGGTGCACATTCTTGTGATACCTGGTTTTGGTTACTTACCCGTCATTGTTAATGTCAGTGGCAGCCACAGAATAGCCGTAGTAAGACCCCATCTGAAAAAATAGGAAAAAAATGTAAATATTACAATGGAGTTTAATTATGAAGAATTATTCAGAAATGATAGTTAAAATTGGATGGAATTCGAGTAGTGCTTTTAGAACAATGGTTTAATAAAATAATCAAAACCATTTCACAAAAATCCTGAGAACTGCAATAATTGTAGCATTAAAAACATTCACAGATGAACTTTCTGAGGAGACATCCTCAGGCATCACTAGTCTCACACACTGCTCTGTTCCCATAAAGAACTCTGATTATATATGCAAATTACATACAGAACATGCAAAGTCATATTTCGATATCGATATATCTAATATTATGCATATGTGACATATTATATCTGATATCTAAATATGCAAAAACCATGCATGACAAAAAAGTTAATATATTTAAATGTACACAGATAGATAATATGCAGATTGCTATAGATTTATATTTGGGTTGCGATCTTGAGCAGCTACAGTTTCTTCCACAGTTGATTGATTGATTGATTGATTGATTGATTGATTGATTGGCTGATTGATTGATTGATTGATAATTAATATTTGACTAATTACACTTTATTAATCCAAGAGGCAAATTAATTTGTCTAAGCTGCACACAGCAGCACATATAAAAATGGGTAGATAAAGTAGTCTACAAAGATTTTCAATCAGGTTTAGATCAGGACTTTGGGTCTGCCCTTTTTTAATGTATCAGGCTTCAAACAACTACTTGACCCATTTTGCTGTGTGGCAAAGCTCATTGTCCTGCATGGAAATTGCTGTCTGATTGAGTGATGGAAGCGAGGAAAGGAACCAAAAGTTACCTCTGCCATCTAACTGTGTAGACCATTTCAATTTGGTCATGTCAATGGTCTATTAATGTTTCCTGCTCATTATCAAACTATTTCATAACTGTAACAAGTTATGATGATTCAACCATAACTTAATGGTAAAACAGCTATAATAATGTTATTTATCAATATGTGGCTTCTTTTGGACTCTCTGAAGCTATAGAAATTTAAAATGTAATGCATTGTTTTTGTTTACATCCTTCAAAATGATCTATAAGAGTCCCAACTTTCTGCTGTATAAAACATCCATGGCACGGCCACCTCAACCTTTCACCTCTTTACACACTTTGGGTTCAATCTTTGCCCATTTTGACAACGAAACCTCAAAACTGAACATCAAAACAAAGGAAATGGGTTGATAATAATTATTCATCTCTACTGTAGATAGAAGCTTCTCATTTTATCCATTACATGCAAACTGTATTTCACTTGAGCAGCAACTTTACGCCTAAAGGCACACAGTAACATTTACTCCACTTTGCTATGGTGCGAGTACATGAAAAGAGCTCTTTGATGATTCAGATGTGGCTCTGCTCTGGAGCCCCCTGAGGTGGGCACACAAATGCTTTTTGATTGTATTTACTCAGCTGAAGCAATCAGAGCAGTTTAAGTCTTCCAACTATTTCCATTTGCAGAAACTGTGGCGCTCATTTAGGAAAATTGCCCGTAAGCTCTTGCCTCACATAATCCGCCCTTTACTGCTTACCACAGTGCACTACAGCCTGGTTTAAAGAGTCTTGTAAAGGAAATGATTTTTTGCTTGTTGTGCAAAAGAACAGCACAGTGGGATGAAGCTTCGCAAAGGAGTGAAATAACTTGCATTTCTCATCCCAAAATAGCTTTAGTATAATAACATTAATATTAGATTTATTTCGAACAGAAATATCATACATAAAAATTCTTTAACAAAAAAATACATTTCAACATGGTCGAAACGGAATGGGACGACGCACAAGCGTATTATTTTTCCCACCTTGTTACCACACACATCAATCATTTATTACTTCTTCTTTTACTTAGCTCTTCTTTTTACATAACATATATCTTATCCTTTTAGCATCTTTGACATATTATATGTTTGATTCCATTTGTACATTTACATTTTATGAAATAGACGCAAAAATACATAGTATTGTAAACAGCCGTTAATTGAAAATTCATCATACCTTTCTCATTTCATTCTTTTTCAATCACCTATATTCATCATTATATTCCTTTAATAATATATATTCATAGAACTGTTTAAATTGATTAATATCCTGTCATTGTTAAAGAATTTGTTCAAGACTGTTCCATAATTTCACACCTCATACAGACAAACACAAACTTTTTAAATATGTTCTTGTTTTCAACCTCCTAACATTTTGTTTATCTCTCAGAGTATATCCCCCTTGTCTTTCATCAAAACACTTTTGTATGCATGTTAAAAGTAATTTATTCCTAGCTTTTAACATAAATTGTGCTGTTTTAGATTTAACCAAATCATTGAATATCTTTTGTATGCTCTTAATACCCCACTTTTGTTTTCAGTCTAATTCTTTTTTTCTCCATTGTACATTGTAGGATCATAAGTTAGATTTATATGTATTGCCCCAATCTGACACTATAAAAGCCAAAAGAACATTTTAGAAAGTAGATTTACGCAGTCAAATATTTCGCCGAACAGATCAGCCACTTTTGACGCTCATAAACAATCATAAAGTCCTTGTGTTGCAGGGATTAGGAGGTTTGCTAAAGGTGCAGTGAGCGGTTTGCATCTTTAATCTTTATAGCTTGCGTTCATTAAAATGTACGAATGATTAATAAATCCATATGAAACGGTTCCTTAAAAGTCACGTCTCGTCTTCATTTTTGGGCTCAGGCACGCTTTGCACTAACACTACAAGCTGAGCCCAAGTGAACCACGCTCTGGCACACCTCTTTCAACCAGGCTGCCGAGCTTGATTCAGACCACTCACAATTCTCAAACGATCCGGGAAATAGGCCTGGGCACGGTTCAGATAGCATAGTGTGAGTGCGCCCTTAGAATCACTTATCTGGCAACACAGCTACAGTATAACTTATACAATATATCTACCAAAAGACAGATATTATTGCTTTACAAACTATACTAAACACAAATCATCTAAATGTTACCATATGTTTTATTATCTTATTGAAATTAATATAAAACCTTAATAAATACAGTATAAATGTACACACATTTACATAAAAAAGCAAATGGACTTAACAATGCGCTCAAAAAAACTGTATTTCCGTGAGAGAAGATTTTATTTGGGCCTAGTTATAGCACAAAATAAACATGAATAAACATCTCAAATCTCCTGTAATCACTTAATCTTGGAAAAGCATCAATAAAACAGAAAGCCATCAAACTTGCCTGTTCACCAGTGAACATCTTCAGCACATCCAGAGAGCTATTGAGAATGGAAACCTGATTTTAAAAAAAGAGAACATATTTTACAATTTGCTCATCAAGTACCACAACCATTGAACAACAAACTAATCACTTTTGACAACATTTAAGAAATGTTATCACATTTTTTTAAATTGATAAACTGTGAATACGCAAGTCCATATTTTACATGGAAATGTTTCTGGCTAAATGTCAGAGTTGATGTTGTGACTGTTTTCTCTCACCTGTCCATGCAGTCTGACTCCCCTGGGAACTCCAGTCACAAAGTCTGAACGCAGGCGAGCCAAACAAAGAGAGGAAAAAGAGAAAGATTTAGTAGTGGAAACATGGAAATGAGTGGGTTCCTCAGGAACTCAGAGAATTCTGGCGATCACAGGCGCACTAAGTCAATCTTAAGGGCTCTATTTGGAAATTTGTTTAAGTGAAATGGATTCATAAAGGGTATAATAATAACACTTCCTTTCAAAGGTTTTACTAACAGTATTCTGTTTTAATGCATCTGCCTATAGCTCTTTAAACAGAAAATGGTTATATTAAAGCATTAGCTGTGGTACAAACAGTCACCATCATCAAGATTTTTGTGTGTATAATAAAAATGACATCAAAATAGTCCAGCAATACGGTAACCTAAAAAAGCTCTTATAATCTGGGTGTAATTAGTTACAAGTAACTAAATTAATTATCATTCATTAATTCTTTCATTTTCATTCAGCTTAGTCCCTGATTTGTCAGGGGTTGCCACAGTGGAATTAACTGCTAACTTATCCAGCATATGTATTAAGCAGATGATAACCTTCCTGCTGCAACTCAGTACTGGGAAATAAATTACTTATGTGCTGAAAAATTAAATTAAGAGATTACTTTTAATTTTTAGGTAATGTAATTACAGTCACTTTTAACATACTCTCCTTAAATACTGAACAGAAATTCAACAATTTAGTATAAATCAGAAGTAGATTGTTTTTTTATAGTTATACAAATATATTTTGTAGAATAATTCTATTCTATTTAATTCTATTAAGGTTTTCTTTATCAAGATTGCACTTTTAAGAAACAATAAATGAATAAATTTGTTCAATATATGATAAATTAAGAACGGCAAATAAAAAACTATTAAAATAAAATGTTAATAAAACAAAGACCCATATTTGGGACTAATTTAAATAACTAAAAGTTTAATTTACATTGACTTTGAATTGTACAGATCTATAGGATTTTGTGTACTCGGGTATTTAAGTAATTAAATTAAGACAGGGTAAAAAGAACATTTCTTTAAAGACTTTAATTTTAATTTTATATTAATATTTATATTTTTTAATTATGTAATTAGTAATTCCTAACTTTCTTAAGTAACCTCAATCCTTTAATTTACGTTCATAACGCTCACCTTCATCATCATCACCGGTAAACTCGCCCACAGCCACTGAATAACCTGTTCAACATGAAAAAATGTGGTCAGTGACAACAGAGAAAAGTTCCTGTGATAAGAAAATAATATACATTTTATGACTGCACATACCCATGTAGGTGTCATCAAATCTGATCTCTTTTCTCTGTTTGGTCTGGATCTGGCCACCCACTGAGGTCAAGAAGTATCCTGGGTAATAGGCTTTGACAATTTCTTGTTTGAACGCAGTGATTACTTGGCCTAGAGATGGTAGGAAAATATTGATCTTTAATTGCGTTTACATTGAGCTGAAGGTCACAGTCAATGCAAATAATGAATGTGCACGTCTATAAGAACTGATGGAAAACTGGTCCAATTATGAAACTCATACACATCTACCATTCAATATTTCATGGTCAATATTTTGAAGTCTCACATGCTCTAAATTAGGAATATTTAACCCTTGTATATTTTTCAAATGTACTACAATTCTGTTATGTTGGTTGATGTTTTTTGGCCCCATTGACATCAATTATAACCACATTTGTTGATTGCAAAGCCATGACAGCATATAATCCTGCATTCTTGATTGTTGGTGCTTTTTCCTGTTGGGAAGAGGTAAAATGTGTAAGTTTTGCCATTTATCATCAGTTGGCACCATAAACCCTCTAAAAGGCCTGTGTAGAAATGTTACAGGTTTTTATATGAAGTTCTATGAAGTATGACAGCAAATTATAGTGTAGGTGCATAAATACACTTACTATGTTTACTGTTCTGAGAGCTGAGCTGCTTATTTTGATTTTCTCAGGCATATCAAGGCAAGTGCGCAATGGTCACTCACACACACTATACTCCATATAACTTCATAGAAAAGCCAGAAACAAAGCTTTTTTGCACTGCAGCTGATGATCAACAACAAAAAAAACTTGACAAACTTGACCTTTTCCAAACAGGGAAACCAGCAACAACCAAAAATGTATGATTATATGATGTCTTGGCTTGTCTTGGTGGTACCTTGTCAAAAGGTACACATTTGTACTTGAAGGGTCCATATTCCTACCTCAAATGTATATATTATTACCTACAAATTTTAAGAAAAACACTTTTGTACCTTTTAGGTACTAATATGTACCATTGAGGTATTAATATGGAGCTTTTAGATACAAATTTGTACCTTTTGAAAAGGGACCACCCCAGTCACAGCTCACGTGCCTTTGTTTTTGAGAGTAAAGGACCAGCTACTGCGAAGGCATGGTCACCTCTGCATTTCAGCCTCAACTTAGGGATGCATAATAGTCTCTGGTTAAATGACTGAAGAGACAGACCAGGCTAATGTTTAATCAACATGTCTGACAGATAAGAAGGTGTCAGGCCATTTAGAGATTTAAAAAAAGGAGAAGTGTTTTAAAAGTGACTCGATAGTGCACAGGCAACCAGTGCAAAGAGTGTAAAACTGGTGTAATGTGGTCATGTTTCTTGGTACAGTTGAAGTCAGAATTATTAACCCCTCTTTGAATTTTTTTTAAATATTTTCTAAATGATGTTTAACAGAGCAAGGAAATTTTCACAGTATGTCTAAAAATATTATTTTCTTCCGGGGTAAGTCTTATTTGTTTTATTTCAGCTAGAATAAAAGCAGTTTTTAATTTTTTTAAAAACATTTTAAGGTCATAATTATTGTCCCCTTCAAGCTATTTTTTTTATCGATAGCCTATAAAACAAACTATTATTTTCAGAAATGTGTTGAAAAAAGTCTTCTTTCTGTTAAACAGAAATTGGGGGAAAAAATAAACAGGAGGGCTAATATTTCAAGGGGGCTAATAATTCTGACTTCAACTTTATCTGTTAAAAACCTTGCAGTAGCATTTTGAAGTAATTGTAAACAGAATAAGGTTTTCGGACTAATCCCAAACTATAGTGAGTGAGTTATTGCGAATCGTCCAATCTAACGGTGATAAAACCATGGATTTTTTTTTCACAGTTTTTTCAATGGGGCAAAAACAGTCACAAACGTAATAAAATGTTAGTAAATTTGAGTGCATTGTTGAGTTTTTGAAAACTCAAAAAAAAGCATTTTCTCAAAATATGGATCAAAATAAGATTAGTCACGAAAGATTTGTCACCAAAATTTGAGACTCAAAATCATCCCAGAGTGGATGAAAACTTCTCTAACAGCATACAAGGGTCAAAATAACCCTTTGTTATTTTAATAAATAAAGTAGAGTTTCTACCAGATACGTTTATGTCCTTTCCTAAATTGTATATTTAATATAACTGCATTTATATGAAATTGAAAGTTTTGTAGTATTATAAATTGTTCATTTTAATTACCTAAATGCTTTTGCTGAATGAAGTTATAGATTTCATGTATAATCTTCTTACCACATTTCATGTAAAATGTTTATGTACACATATATACACAGTAGAAAGCCAAACCTTGCCAGAAGTAACTGCCAGGTCCTCCCAGCACCACCTTTCCTTCCTGTAAAAGCAATAGTTTTTAGGTGAGACCAGAAATATACAGCAGATCAGCATTGTATTTACGATCTATTCATTTCCAAAAGCTTCTCACCTGAGTAAAATCAGCACTGAATCCACCTTGACAGTAGCCTTGCCCTTTCCTTCCACGAAATTCTGCAACAGAAAATACTGTTACTTTAAGCTTAATTTCTTATTTATTTAAAGCCTATTCTGTGCACCAAGGCTGCATTTATTTCAATAAAAATACAGTAAAATTGTGAAATAATTTATAAAGATTTTTTAGGATTCTTTGACTAAAAATAGCATTTATTTAAACTAAAAAAAAATTTACATTATACATTTGTTTTACTCTTAAACAGTTTAATGTGTTCTTAATGAACAAAAATAGTACAAAAAAAATAATGGCACTGTACCAGTTTATTATTAAAAATAAATATGTAATCATATTTTAATGATTTCTAAATGAATGAGTGAAAAGTTTAGGATTATTCTAATTTCTTGATTTTTGTATTTTTTAAAGCCTGTGCTGCACACCAAGATCAAAAATACAGTAAACAGTATTTACAGTGAAATTATTAATAATAAGATAATTTTATTTTTTTTTACGATTCTTTAATTAAAAAGAAAATAACAGCATTTATTTGAAATTAAAAAAATTTTGCACTATAAATTTTAAAAAATTAAAACTGAATAAGAATACACTTGAATGGTATTATATCACAGTTTATTATAATAAATAAATATTTCATCATAGGATCCTGACACTGAAGTAATGATGATAAAAATTTTGCTTTAAATCAAAGGAATAAAACAAACAAACCAAATTCAATAAGAAAATAATAACAAAAAAATAATAATAATAAGTAAAGAAAGCAATAATATATAACTATTTAATGAATATATATGTTACCGTTTTATTATAATCTTGATAAAATAAATGCAGCCTTTGTGGGCAGAAAAAGCTTTTTTTTTAACTTTAGAAACTTTTTTTAATTGTACATATTTCACATCTTGATCAATAGTGTACACTTAAAATAAAATACAATTAAATAAACTTTTGTTAATAAAATAAAAGATTGCTAATAAGACAAGATAAATATATTCTTCATAAAAACATAATAAAATTTAATTAAAATTAAATTAAATATAAATTACAATTAAATAAAAATAGATTAAAATTAAATAAAATAAAACAAAACAAAAATAAATATTGTTAATAAAATAAAAGTTTGTAATAAAATAAAACAAATATATTGTTAATAAAAACATAATAAAATAAATTAAATTTAAAATGTATTACAATTTTAAAAAAATAAATGAATTAAAAATAAATAACGTAAAATAAAATTAAATATTGTTAATAAAATAAGATTGGTAATAAAATGAAACAAATATATTGTTAATAAAAACATATTAAATTAAAATATGATTAAATATAAATTAAAATTTATTTTTTTTATAAAATTAAACAAAACAAAACTTATTGTATTATATTGTAAAATATTGTTAATAAAATAAAAGATTGTTAATAAAATAAAATAAAAATATTGTTAATAAAAAATGTAATTACAATTTAGTTAAAAATAAATTCAAATTAAATAAAGTAAAACAAACAAAACAAAATTAAATATTAATAATTAAAATGAAATTGTTAATAAAATAAAATAAATACATTGGTAATAAAGACATAATAAAATAAAATTACATCAAATTACATTTAAATAAAATAAAATGAAAAATAAATTAAAATTAAATTAAAAGTAAAACAAACAAACCAAAATTAAATATTGTTAATAAAATAAATTAAATATACTGTTAATAAAAAATAATAAAATAAAATACAATTTAATAACATTTAATTTAATAAAATTCACCAAGTGATTTCAAGCTCACCTGTGCGGCACGGAGCATATTCCACAAACTTGGTGAAGTTTTTGACAGACATAAAACAAGAGCCAGTCGTATCAGCATGAGGAGTGTCCTCCTTGGTTCTCCACGAGTAAAGAGGAGCACAAGCCTATGAAAAGAATCATGCATGAGGTTAAAGTTCACCTCCTCTAAGAGAGGTCAGCGCTACATCTGGAGTAAAGAAAGCATGACGATAAATCCAGGTCACAGCTTGATCATCCATAAAGTAAAGCACCTGGGCTTTGATGTAATAGATCCAGCATTATCCACAGAGAGTTCATATTCAGAAAGACAATAAAGGAATTATGACTTATGAATAGAGCTGGATTTGATCATATTGCTCATAATCTGAGACTTACACAGACAATTTAAGAGCATAAAATTAGATTTGAGTCACAAAGGCATAGACTGTGCTGAGTCACAAATGCTGTTCAACTTATTTTAAACATATTTTTGCACAAGAAAGATCTTACCAGCACACTGTCTTGATGCACTCGTACTGTTGCTCCAAACCACTGATGGGATTTGAACTCTCCTTGATGGTCTGTGTCATTCACGGACATGTTAAGATCTCCTATAGCCAGAAAAAAATATATAAATATACATGTTGATGACTATTTTATCACCAATCTGACCAATATATTTATCAGCCAATCAGAATTAAGGAATATGTTCACCGTTTATGTAGTTTAGGCTTATGGTTAGGCTTATGTAAATTCATATGAATGCTATCCAACTATTATTCCCCTCTGATTTTGGGAATAATTGGGAATAATTTATAATTTATGGTTGGGTTTAGGGAATAGGTATGGATTACATTTTCAAACAAAAATGATGTTCCAGGATCAATACAGATGTTAATTCAGGATCGCATCGTACTTGGCAAAATCATGATGAGCTATCAACACTAGAAGAAACGGTTATAGTAACAGAACAAAACAAAAACAAAACAAAAAATAATACACATAATATATAACACTACTCTAAAATATAATAATTATACATAAAAATAAACAAAATAAACAAAAAAATAAACAAAATAAAATAACAAAAAAACAGCATGAAACTAAACAAAAAAACTGCAAAAGCTAACATAAAATAAAAATAGATAAAATAAAAAACAAAATAAACAATAAATAAAATAATAAACAAAATAAAAAACAAAAACAAATCACCACAAAACTGAACAAAAAACAACAACAAAAAATTAGAATAAAATAAAATAATTATACATAAAAATAAACAAAACAATAAATAAGATAGCATGAATACATATATAAAAAAATAAGCAAAATAAAATACTAGACTAAAATAAAGTAATTTTACATAAAAAATAAACCAAATGAAATAAAACAATAAACTAAATAAAATAAACAAAAAACAGCAAAAAACTAAACAAAAACAACAAAAATAAATAAAGTTAAACAAAATAAACAAAACAAAATCAACAAAAGACTAAAATAAAATAAAATAATTATATATATAATAAACAAAACTAAACAAATTAACATAAAATGCTAAATAAAGAAAACCAGTGCAAAACTATAACCAAACAAAAAACATAAAATAAACAAAACAAAAACAACAAAACACTAAAATAAAATAATTATACATATAATAGACAAAACAAAACAAAATAATAAACAAAATTAAATAACCAAAAATAACAAAACACAACAAAACTAAACAAAAACAACAAGACTAATATAAAATAATTTAAAAAGTAAACAACAAAACAAAATAAAATAAATAATAAATAAAATAAAAAACTAAAAACTCAACAAATAAAAAATAAATTAAAATAAAATAAAACTAAAGCAAAGCAAAGCAAAGCAAAAAAAAAAAAAAAAAAAACAATTACTAAATAAATTAAAGAACCAACACAAAACTAAATTACTAAATTAAAATACCACAAACTGTGATGAATAAACATATTGCTTTAGAATTTCTTTAGTCAGTTCAATGCAATACATCATTGCATCAAACCTTTTCCATTTAAGTTGTGTTGGAGGCGAAAACTACGAAGTATAAATGTCAGCATATCAAAAGTCAATCAAACCACAATAGATAAAATCAGTCCAGATCAATGATATTTCCCCAAAAAAATTTTAGTGCACTTAGAAATTTCTTATTACAAAACAGGAAGAAAAGAACAGACTGCACAACACAAGATCAGGTGTCCACTGAGGTTAAAGGTCAATTCATGAAGTGCCCACATAAGAAAGGGAAAAGACAGATGGTCACATACGGCCTGAAACAAGATTCATAATCAAAACAAAGGTGACATTTCCTGACCAATGAGAAAAGTCGAAACTTAACAATAAGACCACCAGACCAAGACCATCAGAGCTCATGTACATCTGCCAGAACAAACTGAATCACTTAAAAGCCTCCAAAAACCTTTAACACATACAAGACGCATGCGTTACCAATAAATATTTAGGACCACACAACTCGCAGCGGAGTAAATCCTTTAACACGCGGCAAGCCGTTGATTATCTCGCTTATTCCATGGTCATTTGCCAAGGTAGGTGTAAGTTTAGATTAGTTTTGCTTTTTGCAACGCAATATTTATCCAAATTTTTGTCAGTTTTTAAATGTTAGATTTTGTAGTCCCTCCACTGAATCAGCTGTGACAGGCTGACAGACAGGGAGACAGAGAGAGATAATGTGCGTGCTGTTTATTCCTGCTAATATTAAGATGCGATTTCATCAATCTAATCAAAGGTGGACAAATAAGACATTCCTAGTCACACCTGAAGTGTGCTTTCAGTCACACGTTTCTATTGTCTACTTTACCTGTTCTCTGATGAGGGAGGACCTGTATGTATACTGGCTTTTTCTTAACATTACCTTTAATTCTGGGAAAACTGGGCTACCTATAGCAGAATTTACATTTCATAATCAACAAACAAATCTTATTAAAGTATCATATTATTTAAATACGCTTTAGGAATATGTTACGCATTGGCCAATGAAATTAAAGATAATTTATTTCCTATCAACTTTAAGCCCTCACACTTTAATTTTAGCATGCTGTTTTTTTAAAAAAAAATACCTTTAGCAAATATTTTTGAACATCTAAAGTACATAAATTATGTTATTATGCCTCGTTTGAATCAAAGTATTAGACAAACTAGACAAACTGATCACATGGAATTGATCTAACAAAAAGACTGTGATGGCTGCTTTAAGTAGAATAACTTCACAATTATTAAAACACTTTACTTTATACAAGACTATACATATGAAATAAAACATTCACAAAGCTATATCTCATGAAACGCCAGTTTAAAGGCACATAAGATGCATTAAAAAGAAAGCAGCCAAAGACCATTTCAGAAATCTTTGCTGTAAAATATGTAGGTAAATTTAGCAAAAGAAAAAAAATATAACAGCACAGGTAGGAGAACATTCTGCTTTATTTATCGCCTTTAAAACAAAAGCAATCAGCCAGACATGCAGGAAGGTGTAATATTACATTAATTACAGTCAAATTAATTCTAAGACTCTGCAATCTGCCAAAAAATACACCCGAGAACGAATAATAGGTTAAAAAGTCCAAAGACTGACCGTCAGATACACAAAAGATTAATTATGTCACGTTTTAACAACAGAGATGCAAGAGAGAGGCATTCGTGGAGTTGCTGCTGAACGCCTGGAGTTTACAACATTTTTAAGCACGTGCCATCCATATACATAAACTGCCGATTTGACTTTATAATAACTATATTCTCGCTTGAAAAACTCTTAAAACTTGATTTTGTGGCATACTATAGGAGTATTTTCCCAATTTTGCGGCTTCCTGTCCACCATTAACAGTCCTCGTCAGTTTCCTGTTCAGCACATGCGAGTAGCTATGGTAATTAGAAATGTTTGGGCGAGGCACATTTATTTCGAACTGTGATCAAAACTGACTGGAACTACCTGTGCGTTTCAATGAAAACAATGCACATCCTCCGGCCAATCAAAATCAAGAATTTCAACAGACCATGGAATAAGCCTGTGATGAAAAATACAGGAAGATTGTAATGGATGGATTTTTCAGTGGTCTTCATTGTAACAACTCAAGCTTATGAAAGGTTACAGGTTTCCAGCTTTCTTCAAAATATCTACTATTTTGTTGAAAAAGGTTTGGAACACGTGAAAGGAGAATAAATTATGACAGAATTTTCAGTTTGGGGGAACTGTACCATAACTGTCAACAATACTATTAAACAATATGATCCTATTTATGGTCAGTTAAGCATAGATGTCAAAAACATGGATAGTCTTGTGGTAACTGGGTTCACCTGCAAAATATGTAGAGTAGATGCAAGGAAAAATGATGAGAGATTATTCAAATTCAATTACCATGCTTGCTGAAACCGAACAGGCAGTACTGCAGACACAACACCAACGAGCTGTGGTTTTGTGTTGTGTCTAGAAATGGGACGGTATAAGACTTTGATGGTATGATAACCTTGGATAAAAATATCACGGTTTCACGGTATTATGATTACGGCTCTAACATATATTCTTTCTTAATGTCTGGGTTAAAAATAAAAATAAAAAATCCCTTTTAAACACAACATATTTAATTTTATACAGTTCAAATATTTTGGAAGAGTAAACATGTCAGGTTAAATTAATTATGGACTTCTGCTGTCTTCATTTGTTTCAAAAACAATTGTTTGCGATTTAAAATGACATCTATAGATATATTTCCTGCTGAAGAGACTGTTGTCCTAAAAAACAGAACAAAAAACATAACGGTTTTATGGAAAATTTTGACGGTTTTAAAATCTTTACTTTTCTAGACCACAGTATTCCTTGAAAACTGTTATCATACCATGCCTAGTTGTATCTACCAGTTTGTTGTGTCTGTGGTTGTTGGTGTTGTGTTTGTGTGTTGTGTCTGTTTTGAGACTGTTTCGTCTGTATCCGTCACTGTTGTGTTTGTTGTACTGTCTGTGGTTGTTTTTACGTTGTGTCTTTGTTTGTGTCTGTTTGTCTGTGTCTATTGGTGTTGTGTCTGGGGTTCTCGGTGTTGTGCCAGTGTATGTTTCTGTTTGTCAGTGTCTGGGTACTGGGTATGTCTGTGTGTTGTGTCTGTGTGCCCTCATGTCTGTAATACTCTGTGTTTGTTGGTGTTTTGTCTGTATGTGTGTGTGTGTGTTTATGTTGTGTCTGTGGTTGTCAGTGTTTTGTCTGTGTCTGTGTGCTGTGTCCGTGGTAGTGTCTGTTGTTGTTACTGTTGTGTCTGTTTGTCTGTTGGCATTGTGTTTGTTACTGTGTCTGTGAATGTTTCTGTTTGCCTGTGTCTGTCAGTGTTGTGTCTGTATGTCTGTGGTTGTCGATGTTTTATCTGTGGTTGGTGTGTGTCATTTTCCAGATTGTCCTTAAAATGCACCATATAAGCACAACTAAAGCCTGGTTTATACTTCTGCGTCAAGTGACCGGCGCAACTCACGGCGCAGGCAACGCGCGTGGCTGTGCATTTATACTTCTGCGCGCTGTCTCCGTTGGTCTGCATTAACACTTCCGAAACGCTAGTGGGCAGTGAGGTGTAAATGTTCCTCTGTGTCGAGTTTC